GAGCCAAGCATCTAAGTCGAAGAATACATTTCCAATTCCAGGAGTCAGAGGCTTTTTCTGTTTGATTCCATAAACTGGTGGTGGAGCTGCGGTTGTGATGTTTATGCCAAGCAACCCAAAGAGACCCGCTAGTTGTAAACAGAAGCCAGATCAGCCTAAGACATAAGGTTCTGTTCCATGTAGCAAATCTCCTAATCCCTAGTCCACCTTCATCTTTTGGTAAACAAACTTGGGACCACGCAACTTTCGATATTCCTTTATTATCAATTCTGCCCGACCATAGAAACCTAGAACAGAGGGATTCTATTTTCCTTATGCAGCCCAGAGGTAGGATGAATGCAGAGATCCAGAAGTTGACAATGCCAGAGATGACTGAAGTAATAAGCTGAATCCTGCCTGCGAAAGATAGAGATTTAACCGACCAAGCATTAAATTTCCCATGAATTTTCTCTATAAGGGGCGCATACTCAGCCACCTTCAACTTTCTGCTCATAAGGGGCAAGCCAAGGTATCTTATAGGTAGAGACCCAAGCGTGAATCCATAGCTTGCCAAAGCATTGGATTCGGGTTGGCTCAAACCTGCATGAAAGAGTTGAGTTTTCTCCTTGTTCATGTGAAGACCAGACCAGCCTGCAAAGTCTTCAAGAGTTTCAAAAATACCGTGCAGAGAAGAGCTATTCCCATCAAAGAATATCATGACATCGTCGGCAAACATCAGATGAGAAATCTCCAAATCAGAGGTCTTGGGATGATATGAAATGTAACCTGATTCATATCGTGAATGGAGAAGGCCAGAAAACACCTCCATAGTAAGAACAAAGAGATAGGGAGACATTGCATCACCTTGTCTTAACCCTTTTGAACTTTTGAAAAACCCGCCAGTTTGTCCATTGACCAGAACAGAGAAGCTTGCAGTTGAAATACACTCTTGAATCCAGCCAATAAATTTCTCAGGCATGTGAACAGCCTTCAGCGTAGCGATAATAAAATCCCACCTGACAGAATCAAAAGCCTTTCTTAAATCAACCTTCAACATAGCACTCGGAGAGATATCTTTCTTGTGGTATCCCTGAACAATCTCAGTTGCGAGAAGAACATTCTCCAGAAGCAACCTGCCAGGCATGAAGGCAGATTGGGCGTTATTAATGATGAATGGAAGGACAGCCTTGAGACGCCCAGCCAAGAGCTTAGAGACAACCTTGTAGATTGTGTTAAGACATGATATAGGTCTGAAATCAGACATGTTGGAAGCATTAGGGATCTTAGGGATAAGAACAAGATTTGTTGCATTCCACTGCTTTAGCAGTTTACCGGAACTGAAGAACTCCAGCACTGCTTCAGTAACTTCCCCTCCAATAACTGACCAACAACTGCAAAAGAATTCAGCGCTATAGCCATCGGGACCACTGGCTTTGTTTCTGGGAAGGGAGAAGAATGCGTCTCTGATTTCTGCAGGGGAGAAAGGAGAGTCCAGACAAGATTGCTGTGCTGGGGAGCATTTAAACTTAAGCAGGAGAGAGATATCATCAAGGATGAATGATGGCGATTCCTGCTCTCCTCCTAAGCCACTTCGGAAAAAATCCACACAATGATTATGAATCCCAGACTGTGATTCAATGCGGGTACCATTCACATCAGTCAGGAAGTGGATATGATTCATGGCTTGCCTAGTAGAGGCCATTTTGTGAAAATATGAAGTGTTGAGATCTCCTTCCCTTAGCCAGGTTACCCTTGATCTCTGAAAAAAGAAGCTCTCCTCGGCCGTTGATAGAATCAGCCATTTTCTGTGCATTTCCATCTCATGTTCCGCATTAGATAAGTTTGGGAATTGAAGGGTTCTATTCTGAGCCTGCAGCAAAATCTCGTGAGCTTCTTGAGTTCGCTTCTCCAAGTTAGAATAGTTGAGTTTGCTAAACTCCCTGATGATTTGCTTTAAAGCTTTAAGCTTCTGGGAAACTCGATACATAGCAGACCCAGAAACAATGAAAGAGAACCAATGAAGACAGACAAGCGGTAAGAACTCTTGATTTTTGAGCAAGTAGTTATAGAATCTGAAGGGCTTTTTCTTACTCGGAGAGGCTGAATCCAACTTCACTTCACAACTAGCATGGTCAGAGAAATCCGGCTCTCCAAACTGACCTAAGGAGAGAGGAAAGAGGGAAGACCACTGATCATTCACAAGAATGCGATCTAGTTTCTTGGCAACAGGAGCATGCCTTCGCTTATTCCACCATGTGAATGTGTTACCTCTGAAATTAAGATCAACCAAACCTGAGATACTGAGAGAGTCTCTAAAATCCCTGGTTTGTCTATCCACTGTAGGACTCACAAGTGAAGAGTGCTCTGACGGGTGCAGAATTTGATTAAAGTCCCCCATCACAAGCCAGGCCTTACCCGCAACTCTACTGTCATTAGACAAATTGACTAGTTCACCCCACAAAAGCTGACGGGTAGCCTCTTCATTTGCAGCATAAATTGTAGAAATCACCACTGTCTCTGCACAATCTGGTAACTGAACAACACAACTGACCATCTGAAGAGATTTGGTAATCACCACAGCTTGGACACTAGGGTGCCACAAAACCCAAATTTTTCCCAACTCCGAATAATCATAGTTATTATCAAAAGACCAACCTGGCAACATAGCATTGAGAAATTTCTGCTGCTTTGGTTGTTTCACATGCGTCTCCACGAGACTGCCAAAAAGAGGTAGATGGTTCCTAAACCATTTCTTAAATCCGCGTCGGTGTGAGGAAGAATTTAAACCACGGACATTCCAACAAAAGAGGTCTATACACATATAGACTAATGGGATTTGGGGCCCTTGCCCCTCGCACTTCGTTGTTGCCTCTGAGACAACACTGCCGTGAACTTCAATTCGTCTTCCAGGTCGGTAGCTTCATCATCAGATTGTGAAGAAGGAACATCAGAAGAGTCAGGTTCTTCCTCCGATGTAGTTCTCCCATCCGCAAGCTGAAAGTCTTTACCTTTTTCTTCTGTAGCTAGAGCTATACCTTTGCCTTTGAATTTTGGGTCAACAACAGGTCTGCTGGAGCTGGCTTCATTGCCCTTAATGATGGCTATGTTTGGTTTGTCGGACACTTGGGAAAGCACTCTACTCCGAGATCCAACAACAACCCAGTCTCCTTCTTTTGCTGCTGGTTTTGGAGTTTTAGAACGTCTTCTGCGCTGCTTTACCTTCTCCCCCTGGTTCACATTCGAATTGTTCACCTTAATCTTAGGACAGAGCGTCGCAGAATGCGAAGTGGAGTTGCATCCCTTGCACAAAATAGGGGCTGAACGACATCGTTTCAAGCTATGTCCCACCTCCTTGCAATGGGCACACACTGGTGGCATCCAAGGGCTGGAGACCTCAATTCTGCTAATAACCCCTGAAGCGAATTGGACGTTGACTGCTTCTGGAAGGGGTTTCCTTGGATCGATTACAGTGAAGACTTTTGCAACCTCCAAATTTCTCTTACTTGCTGTGTCGGGGTGGAGAAACTTTGGATCGCCAACTAAGCTAGCTATATGTTCCAGCCCATCATCGTTAAAGAATTGGAAAGGAACATTTCTAAGCTCGAGCCAGATGGGTGCTGAAGTCAGTTCAGGTTTCACCGGGACAACACCTGGTTCCCACTTAGCCACAAACATAGTCTGCCCTTCAATCTGCCAGAGCCGCTGATTTAGAACCCGGTTTCGTGTTTGCACATTTGGGATGCGAAACAGGAAAGCATTTCCCTCAAGCTTGGAGACCGAGATGTCCTTGAAATGCTTGCTCCAAATTCCATTCACAATGGTGTGAATCGTACCTTGCGCAGGCGGGTCGGAATAGAACTGCCCAAGAATAAACGAATCCCACGATTTCTTATGTTTCTCAATGATTGAATCAGGTATCAATACACACGATTCACCTGAGGGAAGAGAGAAAGCAGTGCCTTTCTTCTGCAGCCTCTTGGACGATCCTTTGAACATATCACACCAAGAATCTTCTGTAGGTGCAGACTTAGATTCAATTTTTCCTGGGGTCACCGCATCAACCTTTACGGGAGCAGTTCGCGCAGCAACAGAGGAGGGATTCAGGTCCTTAGACAGAATCGCTACGGCGGAGGGCGAGGCTGTGGAGATCTCTGCGGGAATTGAAGGTGCCGCAGTCGACGCTACAACCTGACCTAAAATTTCTGGGACTGAAACAGATCCAGAATCGGAATTAGGGGAAACTGCTGAGATTGCAAGGGAATCATCAACAGGAACTTGCTGAGCCGGAGGAGAGACAGCTATTGCTTGGGGCGGTAGCTGATTCAAACCGGAGCTGACGGACGCAGACGAAGGAGAGGAGGAACCACCTTTAGAGTGAGATGATTTTTCTCCCGGAGAACCACCTTTGAGACGTTTTTGCTTCCCCATGAGGAGGGGAGGGCCTGGAAGAGATGAAGAGAGGAGGAGCCGGCGCCGTTGGAGACGCCGGAGATGAGAAGAAAAAGAAACCACGGTTCGCCCTTTTGAGAGAGTTCCCGATTTTTTAATTTTTTTTTTGAGAACACGTGTGTGTTACTGGACCATAAGTTGACTTTGGTGGCATATAAAGCATTGACCTTTAGACCAATTAATTCGTTGATAATGTCTAATCTTATATACAAATCTGCTTTATCTATGTAAAATGTGATTTACTCCAAATTCCAAAATAGTTTAGAGTTGATGAAAACAATATAAGAATTGGAGCTCCATGTGGAAGTGCATTGGGCTGGAGGCTGGATGATTCTCGAGTTTTTCACAAAAGAACAATCTTGGAGTCAAGGATCCTCTTCATCCTCCAAATAAATTAATATTTAGTATGATATAATTTGCTATTTATCATCTTTACACAGTTGTTTGTCTTTGTTATCTTTAGAACGGATTCAGACTTACGACCACAATGGGTCTACTATAGTAATATAGCAAGTAGTTTGTGATTTTTGTAAAAACATTGATCCAATATTCAAAGCGATCGATAAAATTATAAGGAAAAGATTATTGTATTAAACGTTTCACGAAAAAAGATGGAATCTAATCGAAAATAACAATGAGATCTATTTATTATATGATAGATATGGAGGTAGAGGAAAACAAAAAATGGTTTCACGAGATCCCAAAAAAACGCTTACAAGCTTTTACGAATGCTTTTTTCTTGAAGTTGTTGCTCTTCTTCTTCTTGTGCACCTTCTCTTTATCATCATCTTCGTCTTCATCTCCTTCATGGAAAGGAAGAGGCCACGTCGTGGCAGAGCTCTGGTCATAGATTCTACAGTAGCGTTCAGAGACAGACGAGGATCTTCTCATAGACATCTTCACTGGTGAAGGAACCGCTTGTGCTGATGCAGACACTGACCTGTTCCTGCTTAGCTTCGGTTTCATTTCAACAGGTTCAAGATCGGGCTTCTGAGTCTGAGGATCGACCGGGTGGTCCGGCTCAAGCTTCTGGTCTGTTGAATCCATTTTGGAATAGCCACTCATGTTTTGTTCTCTATTTCTTCTTCTTCAGTGTTTTGATAATGAATGGTACTCTAAGCTATAGTAATGTGCCATATATATATAAATGTGTTGAGAGGTTCATGAATCGAGTAATTTTTATTACAATGAGATCCTCACAATATTACAGCTGGTGGAGATTGCAATTTAACGTTTTTGACATTGGACATGTGCACTTGTCTGGCAAATGTTTGGCATCACATATAGCATCCATACTTTTCTGTATCAAAAATATGTTAAAATAGTTAATTGGGAGACAAAAAGGTCAAACTTATATTCTGTGCTATCTCATTAGTCAATACCTTGTAATTAGGGACACAATTTACTTAATTCATTATATATCGACCTTATTAACTATGAGTACAAGGATTTTACTTTAGTTGGCTATGGAGATTTCTGTACTATTTAGTTGCTAATCATTTCTTCTTTTTCCATCTTAATACAGTATCATGCTACTTGATTACTTAGGAAAATGATAAGTATGTTTTGTTCCTTAGTAGTCAATACTGAAATATCAAGATTCAAAATGCCCATACTCATGTATATTTTTGCTCCTAACACATAAGATTTTTTAAGGAATAAATAACTATTCGATTTGAATAAAATTTATGAACAAGTTATTTCAAGAAAACATGCTATTCAATGAAAATATCCGCCGTTAATAAAAACTTTGTTATAGTAATAATTGAACAATGAATTGCAAATGTATAATTTTTTTAAAAATAAGGTAGCTAGAGAGGAATAAAAGATAAAAATTAAGATATTGATTTTTTTTTTCCAAAAATATTTTCTGAGTTCTTTGTTTTTGTTAGAATTAACATAAGACATGTCTTCTCATTAATTACTGGTTTGTGGTATTTGAAGTTATCATATATTTATCCAAAAAAGAAAAGAAAAAGATAACATATAAATTCTGTGATTTTTGATTTTGTGGTACTTTTATTCCATTGTTTAATAATATAAATCTATAAAATATTAGTATAGTTAAAAATATATATATAAGTGAAAAAAAAAACTCTTCAAAAATTAACGTGAAATAAAATGGTCTGAATGTGACGCAAGGGCGGACGAAAATCTGAGGAATTGCAAAATTGGTGGCATAAAACCCTAAACCCAAAAATCCCAACTCGGAAACTTGAGAAGATGATGGATGATGACACTGAACTCGTCGTCAGTAGCAGCGACCACAAGATGGACGACGACGCTTCTACCGAAAACCCTGCCGCTCCCCGACCTGATCCCCCCTCGTCGGATGATTCCGGCGAGTCTGATTCCGACTCAGAGGATGAAGCCGAGTCGAATCAGCAGATTCAAACCCTAGAGTCGGACCTCTCCGCCAATCCTTACAACTACGATGCTTATATCCAAGTAACAATCACTCTCTCTACCTTCCCCTTTTGCTATAAATTGTCGTTTTAGCTCACTCAGAACCTGAGAGGAAAGCAAAATTTGATAATCTTCATATCAGATTTCTTCGGGAAAACTTTTATACAGAAACTTCATGTTTCTTTGGGATAAAATGATATTGCTTGTGTATATTTTGGAAAACATTTCTTAGTTACGTTTTTTCCTGACCTTTTGCTTTCTTATTTCAGTACATTAAGCTTCTGAGGAAGACAGCCAACCTTGAAAAGCTAAGACAAGCTAGGGAAGCTATGAGTGCCATATTTCCATTGAGTCCTTCCTTGTGGCTTGAATGGGCAAGGGATGAAGCATCTCTAGCCTCTAGGTAAAATTAATATTTGCGCTTCTTTGGCTCATACTTTCGGTTTTATCATAGGCTGAAGATGGTCATTCTTTGTTACGGTTCTGGCATGCAATTTTGACAGACCCTCTGAAAGTTTTGTTACATTTATCTGTCTTCTGCAGTGAGAATGTGCCTGAAGTTGTGATGCTTTATGAACGGGGACTTTCTGATTATCAGGTATTTTTTGCTTCTGTACTGGATATAACAGCTTGAATAATCATACTATTATCATTTTGTTAGATAGATTGACTAAAGTAATACTCTGGTATGCAATATCGAATTGTTCTGTTAGGGTTACCAAAGTTTTAACACTCTGGTAAATATTTAGTATTGCAATTATAAGGCAGCGATGCTTTATTATCTATCCACGTTAAATCAATAAGCTAATAGCTTTTCTTTTATGCAGTCTGTATCTCTTTGGTGTGACTACCTGAGCTTTTTGCTAGAATTTGATCCATCAGTACGTGGATACCCATCTGAAGGTATTTCCAAAATGCGGAGTCTTTTTGAACGTGCTATTCCGGCTGCAGGCTTCCATGTTACTGAAGGCAATAGAATATGGGAAGGTTATAGAGAATTTGAGCAAGGCGTCTTAGCCACTATTGACGAGGCTGACCTTGAGGTTGGATCCAATCTTGATTTTGTTCATCTACATTTCGTTCACTGTAGTCTAGCAGCATCTTAGCAAAGGTTGTGTAGGATGATTCCTTTACTAATTGAAATAGAAGTATAATAATGGGTTGCTGCGCATAGTTTTCAGTGGATAGAACTAACACCTTGTTATATACGAGAGCTAGTCGTTGATATGTAAATATCCTTTAGTCTGTAGGCTCTAACGTAGAAGTAAATCTGTTTATTCACATCTCTTTATAGTTCTTTTGGCATCATGAATTTAGTTTTATTTTACAGGAGAGAAATAAGCAGATACAAAGGATCAGAAGCATATTCCACCGTCACTTGTCTGTTCCACTGGAAAACTTGAGCTCCACCCTTATTGCTTATAAGGCTTGGGAGTTGGAGCAAGGCATTGACCTTGATATTGGATCTGATGATTTGAGTAAGGTTTCTCATCAAGTTGCTGCTGCAAACAAGAAGGCACAGCAGATGTATAGTGAGCGTGCCCATCTTGAAGAACACATATCTAACAAAGATCTATCTGACACGGAAAAGTTTCAAGAATTCATGGTGTGTATGGTTTATCGTGCAGTTCATATTTGTCATAAATGTTGTGTAGAAGTTGGATTCTAATATGCCTACAATCTGCTCATATTGTGTGAAGGATTCAGAATCTGCAGACTGGGCATGTTGTTTGCTAGTGTTGCATCGTTTTTTTTTTTAAAACTTATTCCTCTCTCTTTTGTTCTTGTAATTAGCTTTATCAAGTAAAAGAAGTTATCTATATGGAAACGTGATGATTGTAATTATTTCTTTGTAGAATTATATAAAGTTTGAGAAGACTTCTGGAGATCCTACCCGAGTTCAAGCTATATATGAACGTGCTGTGGCTGAATATCCGGTTTCAAGTGACTTGTGGATAGACTACACCATTTATCTTGATAAAACTTTGAAGGTTCGTCAAGAATTTGTTGTATAGCTTCTTTTTGGCGTTTTATCTATCATCTTTTCAAAATTGTCTTTTTATGGTGCTATTTTCTTACAATTTCTACTTGATCTGTACAATGGACTTCCTGCTTCAGGTTGGAAAAGCTATAACGCATGCCTATTCTAGGGCGACTAGAAGTTGCCCATGGATTGGAGATCTTTGGGCACGTTATTTGCTTGCTTTAGAGCGTGGTTCTGCATCTGAGAAAGAGATTTATGCTGTAAGTCTCAACTTGTTAAAATTGAAAAAACAAAAGAAATATAGTGAAGGAAAGGATACTGACCCTAACATTGATTTATGTCTCTTATCTTCCTCTTACCATATCCGATGTGTTATGCTATGAGATTTTCAGAAAGTTATACTGAGAATATTCTATTATTCAAATTGTTGCGTACAGATCTTTGAGAAGTCATTGCAGTGTACATTTTCCTCCTTTGAAGAGGTACAACTTTACTTTCATGAAGTTTTATTCATTTCTAGCATGTATCCATTCAACTCTATCCACATATTTCTTATGAGTTGTTCCTCATCAGTACCTGGATTTATACCTCACTCGAGTAGATGGCCTGAGAAGGAGAATGTTATCAACTAGGATGGTAGAGGCTCTGGATTATTCTCTGATAAAAGAAACTTTTCAGGTTTGTCTGCTGCTTTTACCATCTTATTAGTATTCTCAAATTCTTGCTCTCAGCTTTCAAGATCTTTGTATGCTTGCACTTCTTTTAGCTAATTGCATTCTTTTCGTAGCTTTCCATTTAAGAGGCTATATAAGATTACCTTTTTCTGTAAGAATAGTGTTCTTTTGTTTAGCTTTTCTCCTGACTTAGATCTCTTCTGAATAACTCAAATTAACTCAATGTTTCTTTCCTGTCAGCAAGCATCAGATTACCTAACGCCTCACATGCAAAATACAGACAGTTTGCTACATTTGCATGCTTATTGGGCTAATTTGGAACTTAATATTGGAAAAGATCTAGCTGGAGCACGAGGTGTTTGGGATAGCTTTTTGAAGAAAAGGTTTTGCAAGCTATATCCTTTATATTTGATTGATTACAGATTTAAACTTGAAATAATCCAGGCAGATTACAGATTTGTCAGCATAAGGCAATCTGGTTCACTATGGTTCATCTTACTTGGTTCTCTCCAGTGGTGGGATGCTAGCAGCCTGGCATGCATACATTGATATGGAAGTGCATTTGGGGCATATAAAGGAAGCTAGGTCTATTTTCCGGAGGTGCTATACAAGAAAGTTTGATGGAACTGGCTCAGAAGTATGCACTCGATTCCCTCTTGTTTTATGTGTTACTGTTAACATTTTTTTGTTATCCAAGTAGGATTATTTGACTCAGAACACATTCTTTAGCTTCACATACAACTGAAACGGCTGTCTATTAAATGGAAAGTAGAGAAACCATGTATAAATGTGCCTACTGCAACACAAGCACTTAGATTGAGTTTTTTGTGTTTTTGATGGTCGAGGAAGATTTGCAATACGTGACATTTCTTTGAAACAGGAGAGCATGTATGCCTGAGCTTTCACCTTTAATTTCTAAATGCCTATATTCATTTCCTAAGAAGGACAATTTTCCAGGACATATGCAAAGGATGGTTGCGCTTTGAAAGGGAGCATGGGGATTTGGAAGGTTTTGACCTAGCAGTTCAAAAGGTATTATTGTTTACTGTTTGGCATTTCTAGAAAATGGTGAATATTGATAAATTTGGGTGGGTTCGAATTTTTTTTTTGTTAATTCTTTTGTGATAAATACATTTGATCGATCTGTTAAATGAAGATTAGATTCATGTCTACCGTGCTGCTCTTGGCTTCTTATGATGTTCAGTTTTAAGAGCGATGCATTTTGTGCTATAAATCATGCAAAGTTGTAGAAGCTGTAGATTATGCGAGTTGCTTGATTTTTGTTCCGTAGGTTATGCCACGCTTGGAAGAGCTACAATTGATCAGGTTACAACAGGAGTCTACACCAGTCAAACCGTCAGCTGGTCTGAAAGAGCATAACTCACAAAAGAGTGCAGGTGAAAAGAGAAAAGCAGAACCGAATGTAGAAGAAGAGTCTTTGGCTAAGCGGCAGAAGAGGAAGGGTCAAAAAGAAATGGACGTAGGTGGTCAGAGTGCAACTGTACCAAACACAAAAAATGTTAAAGCAGAGAATGGAAAAACAGCTGATTCAAATAAAGAAGAGACGGAAGATGCCAAACCTCTGAAGCCGAAAATTTATACAGACGAGTGTACAGCTTTTATTTCAAATCTAAGTGTCAAGGTAAGTATATAAGCTTCATGTAAAATTCATGAAGACGGCCTACTGAAATAACATGTGTGGGATTTTCAGATACAAGCTACTAATATTGTTGTTGGCAGGCACAAGAGGAAGATATACGTAAGTTTTTTGGCGATGATGGTGGGGTGGATTCCATTCGCATTCTCCATCACAAAGACACTGGAAAACCAAGGGTCTCTCTCTCTCTCTCACACACTCACACCTTAAGCATGTGATGTCATTTTCTACTGTCACTGTTAATGAATCTGGGACTTTCCCAGTTTCCGTGTGATCATGTTGGGATTTAAAATTCCAGCCATATAGGAGTTGCAGGGAAAGGAAGTTTTGTAATAGATTTTTCCATCTGAAATGATTGGCAGGAACTGTGCACTATAGATCACAATTAGATGCATACTGCCAATGACTTGGTCCTTCTAGTTTCTGTTTTAGTGATTATGCCAATATGGTGGCTTAATAAGCTTGATCCTCTTGTGTCTCGCAGGGACTGGCATATGCTGATTTTGTGGATGATGAACACCTTGCAGCAGCTATAGCAAAGAACAGAAAGATATTCTTTGGTAAGAAGATCAGTATAGCACGGTCAAATCCAAAGAAGGGTAAAAAGGAATTCACTAGGCGTGGAAATGGTTAGAATCTATCTCTCTTTCTGTTTTTTTTCATAATGTAGCTAGCCATGTATTGAATTCGTAGCTACTTCTGGTTTAAATAATTATTAACTGGTATGATCTTGCTTCCATAGATGGTTCAGGGAATTCAAAGGAACCCTCCCTGATTTCTGAGAAGGCGAAAGCACCTCTTGGTGGAGAAATGGAGGATGAAAGGCAAGGAAATGAAGTCGAGGTGAGGGGTAAGAACACGTTTACTGTCCCAAGACAAGTTAAACCACTCGGCTACACTACACCCAAACCCAGCGCAGATGAGACGCCAAAATCAAATGATGAGTTCAGGAATATGTTCCTTAAGAAGTAAGCCTTTTGCTTGTCCTTATCTTCCTCCCCCTGGATACTTTTTCTAGTTCTACTAGACATAAATTTTAGTCTTGCTAGACGACCATGTTTTCGTTCCGAGATCGTGTGTAGAGAAAACACAGAGATAAGTCTGACGCTTTTTATTTTATCACTAAACTTTTAGCAGAAAATGTGAACATGATATCAAAAAAAAAAAAATTACAGTTTTGCCAGTCTACAATGTCTCCAGTTTCACTATTCAAAATGTCAATCAAAGGGGTTAATATATTTTGATGTTTACTGTCATTTAAATTGATGTTGGAACCAATTAGTCATGTATTCTGAGACCTTTTACCAAGTGATTTATACTTGTTTTCTTTAAAGAGAAGGAACTAAAACCCTTCTCATGAAGCAACTTTACATGCAAAAATTGCACTTTGTACACTTGGAATCTTTTGTAGTGACTGCCAAACAAAAAAACAATACAGTATATAGAAAAGCGATGTCACATGTCGTAGCGCCTGTTGGGGCCTCTGCAAGATAGTGATAATTTAACGGTCACAAAGATTGAAGATCCCAAAAGCTTAAAAGAAGTTCATGATGCTTTTTATTTTACTTTTGGACTTTTTGTTCTTCAACGGTTACAAAATAGTCTCCTTTTGATACAAAACGCAGAGACCATTTTCTTAAGCCTGAACATTACTCAATGAAGGTTATGAAAGCAATGAAGAAGCTCAAGTTCTGGTCAAGAAAGAAGAGGAAACGTAAGCAAGCTTGCCCATCTCAGCCTCACCATTGCTCTTATGAGTACTCTTCTGCGGCAGCAGCAGCGGTGTTGGTTGAGCCCACAGCGCCTCCTCTTCCGTTTTGGTTCGATGAGAGCCAGAGTCTTGGTCCGCCAGAGACATCAACATTTCCTTGGAATACTCAGTTGCCTCACCAACAAGAAGAAACCATTGTTGAAGCAACCCCGTTGTTGTTGTCTCAAGTGTCCAATCTTCGCATCTACCAGTCTTATCAACAGTACATGGTGCCGAATCCAACTAGTGACGTCCCCATTGTAGAACCAGCTACGGCTAAGAGATCAGTGGGAATATTCGGTTGTGTTATCGAGTTAAGTTCGAGTCTAGTTCGTTGTTTCATACCGTGATTGAGCAATTATGAAACCGATTTGCGAGAATAATTCAACATCTTTGACATGTTACATGTATCATCTTTGCATCTTCTCAATTACATCATCATCAAGTTATGGTCATAATTTTCTAGAAATGTAAAATAAAACTTTGTAACCTCATAAAAATGGTTGTAATATTAAATTAAAAAAAAAAAAGATTTTTGTTAATTTGAAGTTTTCGTTGATATTATATATAACGTCTGAAATTCACCTAATTGGTTTCTGAAGTAAATGCATTACCCTCTAATTTATAAAAACAAAGTGGCTTACGGACAAAACTTGCTGCCGCATCACCTAATTGGTTTTCTGACGTTGAAACATTACCCAAAACAGCAAAGTGGGCCTACGGACAAAATTCCAGCTATAAAAAAAAGACATAAAATCCAATGCACGACCAAATAAATTCCACGTGGCAAAATACTGAGTTAACTTACACTTCTTCACTTACACTTTCCACATCACACACGCCTCTCTATTACCCTAAAACCACACTCTAAGCTCTTCCTCTTCCCTCGAATTTCGGCAAATCTCATCGGATTAAGACTGATCACTATGTACGGACGTGATCCATGGGGCGGTCCTTTGGAGATCAATGGGGCGGACTCTCTCACCGACGATGATCGTAGTCGAAACCTACAAGACCTTGACCGTGCGACTCCTTCGCGGCCACTTGACGAAACGCAACAGAGTTGGCTTCTTGGACCAAAAGTGCTGAAGAAGAAGAAGTACGTCGATCTTGGATGTATCTTAGTCAGCCGCAAGATCTTTCTCTGGACCCTTGGAACCATTGTAGTAACCGCGCTTCTCTCTGGATTCATAACTTTGATCGTTAAAAAATTGCCACACCACAACCACAAGGAACCACCACCGGATAATTACACAACCGCTCTCCGTATAGCTCTTAAGTTCTTCAATGCTCAACAATGTAAGCACTACAAATTCGGGGTCTTTCTTACTAAATCAGTCTGTAACATGGATCAAGGAAGAGCTTTTTTCTTAATTAACATTTTTTGTTTCTGGTGATACCTATCTTCATGTCTCAATTATATTTCTTATGTGATGATGTTGCTTTGCAGCTGGGAAACTTCCAAAGAACAACAATAGCGTAAAGTGGAGGGGTGATTCTTGTCTACAAGATGGGAAGGGAGATCCAGGACAATACTACAAAGATTTGGTAGGAGGCTACTATGATGCTGGAGATTCTATCAAATTCAACTTCCCAATGTCTTATGCTATGACCATGTTGAGCTGGAGTGTAATCGAATACAGCGCAAAGTACGAAGCTGCTGGCGAGCTTGACCATGTTAAAGAACTCATCAAATGGGGAACTGATTACTTTCTCAAGAGTTTCAATAGTAGTGCTGATAACATCTATGCTATGGTGGAACAGGTAATAAAAAAGAACATACTTTAGAAAATATTACTTACTTCTCTGTTCCAGCTATTAACGTTTGCTTTTTCGCAGGTAGGATCTGGAGTTACCGGTGGAGGAAATGTATTGCATAATGACCATTACTGCTGGATGCGTCCTGAGGACATTCATTTTAAAAGGACTGTATTTCAATGCTACAGTGGCTGCTCGGATCTTGCTGCAGAGATGGCAGCTGCTCTGGCTTCAGCATCCATTGTATTCAAGGACAACAGATTATATTCGGCAAAGCTTGTTCACGGTGCTAAGACGCTCTATAAGTTTGCAATTACTAATGAAAATAGATACAGTAAACCTGGTGAAGAGTCTAGCAAATTTTATAACTCTAGCATGTATGAGGATGAGTTATTATGGGGTGGGGCTTGGCTGTATTATGCTACTGGAAATGTAACTTATCTAGAAGAAGTTACCAGTCACTACATGGCCAAGAAAACTGGTGCCTTCGGGAATAGCCCTTATTATGGTGTGTTTAGCTGGGACAACAAGCTTCCAGGGGCTCAGGTTTGGTACTCTATGAGACATATATCCTTAGTTCTGCTTTTGGAATTATAGCTGATGCTTATGTGCTTTTTTAGTTGTTGTTAACCCGGATGAGGCTGTTTCTGAGCCCTGGATATCCATATGAAGAACTTTTAAGCGCATTTCATAACCAAACAGGCAGAGTTATGTGCTCCTACTTGCCTTATTACAAAAAATTTAACAGAACTAATGGTGAGTTGTCTGTGAATTTGATGATTTGCACACGTTTTGAAAATGTGATCAAGAAAATAATCTTGGTATCATCTCTACAGGAGGTTTGATTCAGTTGAACCATGGAGCTCCACAGCCTCTCCAATATGTTGCAAATGCGGCTTTCTTAGCGGCGCTATTCAGTGATTATCTAGATGCTGCTGATACTCCTGGATGGTACTGTGGTCCTAACTTCTATACTACTGAATCCCTACGCGACTTTTCAAGATCCCAGGTATGCTTCACACTTCACAAATGAAGGAAAATAAACAAGATTTTGAAGGACCTTATCTGATGGAACTTTGTGTCTCTTGTTTTGGCAGATTGATTACATACTTGGTAAAAACCCTCGGAAGATGAGTTATGTTGTGGGTTATGGGCAACGGTACCCGAAACAAGTGCATCACAGAGGAGCTTCAATTCCAAAGAACAAGAGAGAAACCTGCACAGGAGGATTGAAATGGAAAAAGAGCAAAAAAGGTAACCCAAACACGATTGATGGAGCAATGGTTGCTGGACCAGACAAGCATGACGGATTCCATGATGTTCGAGCAAACTACAACTACACTGAACCGACTCTAGCGGGTAATGCGGGTCTAGTCGCCGCTCTGGTGGCTTTATCAGGAGAGAAAGCTGTTGGTGGTATAGACAAAAACACTATGTTCTCTGCCGTACCTCCATTGCTCATGGCTACACCGCCGCCTCCAGCACCTTGGACACCTTGAAAGAACTAAACTTTTAGAATGTAATAAGTCATTTTTTTGCCTAAATAAAAAGTAGTTTCAAGTCATAAAAAGTAGTTTTCTTTAGCTTATTACATAAAATGTGGTCTGAGAAACCAAACATTGATTGTTTTCTCTCTGGGTTTTGTGATGTATACAGTGTATATTCTTTGTTTTCTAATTTGTAAGTAGTTGCGTGAGAAGGAAGAAAGGTTTTATGCTTTATTGAAGAGATAACCTACACATTGTTCTTTCTCTCTATTCTTTTCCCTCTGTCTTCTTCCGTTTTTTATTCTCTGCTTTAAATAATAATAATAATAATTCAGAGTTGTTCTCCATCTTGAGGTGCAGAAATGGCAGAAGCGACGTCTGGTTCTCTTGAATATACACCAACATGGGTCGTTGCGTTTATCTGTTTCATCATTGTCCTCTTATCTCTTCTCGCAGAACGTGGTCTTCATCATCTTGGAAAGGTATACTATCACTGTCTCTTGCCTGTAAAATCTTGAGTTTTAACTCAATTCTTTTTCCAACTCTCCATTCTCTCTGTTTCAGTGTCTGAAGCGTAGGCAACAAGATGCCTTGTTCGAAGCCTTGCAGAAACTTAAAGAAGGTTTCTTCTTCCTTCAATTTCATCTGCAATCGTTAACATGCATGAATTGGTTGATTTGATTACACCTGACACCTGACCATATTGATGTCCTGACACAGAATTGATGCTTCTTGGATTTATCTCCCTGATGTTAACGGTATCTCAGGCCGCAATTCGGCATATCTGTGTACCACCAGCTCTTGTAAACAACATGTTTCCCTGTAAGAAGCCATTGGAGAAGCATGATGCTCCTAAATCATCTCATTCGGTTATCATCAATGCACGACATCTCCTTTCAACAGGAGAAAGTCCAGACCATTGTGCTGCCAAGGCAATTTATCTTTACTTTTCTGCTCATTTCATTTCTCTTACCACCGGATCCTTTTCCTATTAAAACATTGATCTCTTGCTTTGGTTGCAGGGTCAGGTTCCGTTAGTATCCGTGGAAGCTTTGCATCAACTCCATATTTTCATCTTTGTGCTAGCGGTTTTTCACGTCATCTTCTGCGCCTCAACCATGGTTCTTGGAGGAGCCAGGGTACTGTAACTTACTTTTATAGCTTTTTGCTCAAGTTACAAAACAACATTGAAACCTTCTTTTTTCCAAAAGCTGGCTCTGATTAATTCATTGATTTGAAACAATATATAGATACAACAATGGAAGCATTGGGAGGATTGGTTCAAGAAACGTCCTTCTCAAAAGGGTGAGCGAGATTCCACAATAGTAATTAACAATTACTTTGTACCTTAAAACACGCAAAGTACATAACATAATGTCGCAGGCACTACAAGGCGTGGTCATGCTCATGCTCATGCTCACGAGTTATTCAGTGCAAATCACGAGTTCTACGAGATGCATGCTGGAGGATTTTGGAGAAGATCTGTTGTCATCAGTTGGCTGGTGAGTTATGGATATATACTACTCCCAACAAGTATAACACATGAATCAAATTATCTTCTAACTAAACACCTTATCTGATTCCTAATGAGATTAGCCAATGTGTACTGTTCTTGCAGAGATCATTCTTCAAGCAGTTTTATGGTTCTGTCACCAAATCAGAATATATAGCTCTGCGACAAGCGTTCATCATGGTCTTACTTTTACTGTCTTATTCCAACATCTTATTTCGGTTACCAAATCTCTTTTGTAACAATAAGTATATTTTCTTACCTTGCCAGAGTCATTGCCGCACAAACCCATCATTTGATTTTCACAAGTACATGCTAAGAACACTGGAAATAGATTTCAAGAAAGTTGTGAGCATAAGGTAAAACAATCAAATCAGCTCTTTAGACAGACACACCAATTAATGACTTGATCAGTTTTGTCTGACACCTTCTTGTTGATGTGATCATATATAAATATAAAGTTGGTATCTCTGGCTCTTTGTGGTCGTCTTTTTGCTGCTGAATGTAGGAGGATGGAACACCTACTTCTGGTTGTCTTTCTTGCCTCTGATTGTAAGTTCTATATATAATTGGCCTTTTGTCACTTTTGGTCTCATTTTATCTTTTTGAATGGTTAAAAGTGTTTCAAAAAATGCAGCTGTTACTAATGGTGGGTGCCAAATTGGAATATATTATTAGTAGCTTAGCTCTGGATGTTTCCGAGAAGCGAAACCGCGCGGAAGAAGCAGTGATCACACCTTCTGATGAACTCTTTTGGTTCCATAGGCCAGGCATTGTTCTCCAACTTATCCACTTCATTCTCTTTCAGAATTCATTTGAGATTGCTTTCTTCTTCTGGATTTTGGTACTTCTCTTTTAACCCTCAGCTTCACTTTCTTTTTCTTCCACAATTATTGAACAGTGCCATTCTTATTTACGATTTCTCTATTGTATCATCAGTTCACATACGGAATACATTCATGTATCATGGAGAAACTAGGCTTCCTCATCCCAAGACTCGTCATGGGGTAATAATCTGAACTCTTTGAAGTCTAATTAAAAGACCTTAAAGGTTTAAATTAATATTTTTGGTTTGATATTTGTTCATACAGAGTGTTAGTCCAAGTGCTTTGCAGTTACAGCACATTACCACTATATGCCCTTGTAACACAAGTAAGTGTGTATAATAATAACATGCCTACACCAATCAATTAGCAAAATTTGAATCAATTGTTGTTATTTTTTTGTTTGAATTTAAAAGATGGGTAGCAAATTCAAGAAAGGGATATTCGACAATGTAGTACAGTCCACACTTGAAGGATGGTTAGAAGATACGAGGAACAAAGGAGAATCCACAAGCGAGGCTCATAGGATAGAGATGCAACCTACGACTCCTGAATCTTATAATGTTCAAGTCATGGAGAGTGAAAACCCTTAATTAAGTTGCAATTTGTGTCGTAATCCAATAAGGTCCTCTATGATATCCCTTTATTATTTCCATTTAATCCGTTGTGCTACATTTAGAGCTCTCATCAGAGGATTGTGTGGATCTATGACATTGACCCGTTAACGTTTCCTTTCTACTTTTGAGGCTACTAGATTATTATTAGTTGACTTTTTAGTTATCAGTTCTCAGTTTTTATTAGAAAGCGGCCATCTACAATGGGAGAACATGACATGTATTCTAAAGGTTTTTAAAATAATAAAAGTTGTTAAATAAAGTATTAAAATAATGTAAAAGATCTTGTGGGGAGAAGAACAGATCTTGCTCAAGAACTATCCAATGTGATCCAAGCCAACTGTTCTAAACTTTTCTTATTATTTTAATGTTAAGAACGTGGCCCATGTTCTCCCATTGTAGATGGCCTAAATAATACATGGATAAAAATGATACTACTATATACTGTAACAACGTTTAAATTTTCAATGATGTTAGCGGATGGAGCTTTATTTTTGAGACACGTTTGAATTTAAAATTTTAAGTAACTTTTTGTTCATAAGATAAAATTTTGTCCTATCTTTAAAAGAAAAGAGACTTTAGAATTGTTTTGTTGATAAGATAAATTTTACCTTTTTACAACAACAAATTACTCAAACTCATTGCTGTGTTTTTATACTTTCGACTTAATAGACGTTAATAGAATTAAAAACCGTCTTTAACTTTGTTAAAGAAAAAAAAAACTACTAATGACATTGCATTTGGAAGTTTTCTTTACGAATATCTAATATAAATAAAAACGTTTTTTTGACTAAGTGAAACTTTTTTACTTTCTCGCTTAATCGACAAAGACGCTAGAAACCGGCTGAATACTTTGGCTCAGTTGGGCTCACCGGTCTATGAAGGTGGTTTGCGCTACTGGTTCCACACCATAGTCAATAATCTCCTTCTCAGTTTTTAAAGCTTATATGAACTAATTCATCTCTTTTGACTAAATGATGCATTCTCTGTAAAATAGTCTTTTTTTTTTGGTGAATGCAATTTTACATTTATAAAAAAAAAAAAACTTTTTTACTTTCTGTTAGTGTCTGTAAAGTATAACGCAATGATGAATAGTGTTGATTTGCTTGGAAATAAATTTTGTCTACAAGTGTAACGCAATGTTAGTTTAGTTCTATTAAAGTACGTTAAGCTAATTTGATGATGTAAAATACAAATAGTTGTTGATTTTCTTTTCAACGAAATTTTAATTGCAAGTTTTTCATTTCATTGGAAACAATCCAGTGAATCTAAATAACTGTTGATTTAAAAACTAAAACATAGTTGTAGTTCAGCAGAAAAAGAAAAAAAGAATCAGAGATTTGACTAAAACAGGGCTAAATATTATCCTAGATAATAAATAAACAGAAAAGGACATTCACATGATTCAACTTCCATCAAGATCCACAACGTTCCTCTCTCGTCTTTATCTCTCCCCCTCTATTTTCTCCAATCAAAAGAAAGATAAAGCAAAAGCTTTTTAAAATGTTTTTCAAAAAAAGAATAATAAAGTGCAGTGCAGGCCCACTATGTCGTTGACTAATCTGGAGAGTGGTCACAAACACTTGCCCTCAAACTCGAGAAATTAAAGAGTTTTGTCATGATTCGTCGTCGTCGTCTCGAGAACCAAAGCATGGTTGTGGTCTCCTTCGTACGTCACGATTAGCATCATCGCATCGTCTAGTGCACGCTCCACATGCTTACGCGCCGGACAACCTCTTACACTGCTGCACTTGTAATATCCCCTGTTTGATGAAACATAACACCGAGTCCAAGTTCGAGTTTTATTAATTATTGAGAACACAAGAGTCAACTTAACTCTCGGCTTTCTATTTTCAAATTTATTTTGTAGGAAAACAACAAGTCAAAAAGAGCGTGAAACTGAACCCACTACAATACTACTAGACGACATGTTTGGTACAACCAATATAGAAAAAAAACAATTACATTTTTTTTTAAATCTATTTGGTACTAATATTGACAATACACAAGTTGCTCAATTTTCTAATCTTCTAGCCAATATTATGATTTTTGGTGTTGAATCTAGTGAATGATTGTGATATGTATGTGTGGATTATATTGATGCTAAATATGAAAAATAGTTGGGACTAACCGAGGATGAGGAGAGCCTTTAATTGGTTTTTGACCGTATTTTCTCCATGAAAACTCGTCTGATGGTATATCAGCCATTTTGCTACTTACTGCTGGAACTCTAATCACTCTCTTCACTCTTGATTTCCTGATTATATAATAAGGTTTTTATTAATCAAATCTCAAGATTTAGATCTAAAATAAGATTAATTTTTAAAGTCGAATCAAACCTTTTCTTGGAGCAATGGCAACGACTAGAGGGAGAGGAGTTACATCTTCTCTTTAGTGAAGCTGATGATAAAGGTGGTTTACCTCTCGAACCAGAGACCTGAGATGGGTTAGTGAACTCGAATCCTGATGACATATGAGTACTGTCGGTGTCACATCTATGACTATGAGAAGACATGAATGAGTTCGTCGCTGAGACTGGTGGTGACGGCGCGAAGTTTATCGTTGACGGTGCTCCGTTTGTAGGTATCGGAAGAGACGAAGAAGACGAACCGTTCTTTGTCTGATTCTGATTGTTGTTGTTGTTGTTGTGTGATAGAGGAGGACGACGATGAATTGGAGTTGGACAATAAACTCTAAAAGCAGATCCACCGTGATTATATTGCTCTGTTTTCTGTTTTGTTAACACGGAGGTTGTTTCTGGCTTCTTCTCCTCCGCCTCCTCCTCCTCCACCACCGTCGTTTGCTTAAACGGCGTTTGCGTTGACGCGGGGGCTCGTCTGAATCTAGCGTGTCCAGTTCTAGATCTACCGAGTAAAGAAATGACCTTCTTGAAGTTGTTAACGGCGACGTCAGTCACCGCCGTTATCTCCGACTGATTCTTCTCCGTTGGTTGACTTTGACCGATGAGTTTGAGAAACTCCTCCACACCGTGAATCCCTGCAGACGCAGCTTCTCTTAAAGCTGTGTCTTCCAGTTTCGCTGCAGCGGCGATTGCAGGAAAACCGTCTCCTCCTCCTCCACCACCGCCGTAGCTGCTCATCATCAGTTCAACCGTCATCTCAAACCAAGATACCAACCAATCTGATTGTTCTCAAAGGTCAAAGGAGATGTTATAATACACAGATTCAACAGTTTTCTTGTAAGTTGTGTTTTGGTTAAAGAAGCTGATGATGATGATGATGATGATGAAGAAGAAATGAAGAGAGTGAAAAAGGGAGAAGAAATTAAAGGGGAGAGTCAACCATTTGTGTTTCTCTCTCTATCTTTGGGGATGTGTTGATAGTGCATCAGTCAAATAGACCACCACTCATAGGCTTCCACGTGTGAGCATTTGTCAAGCGTTTTGACACTCTCAAACGTCAATGATTTTAAATTTGGAACCAGTGGAGCTCCAATTATAAATATTCGTTATATTATTCGAAAAAATCTAGATATTTTATATTTTTTTGAGGCTGATTATTCATATACTAACATCCTATACTATTATTTGGGGAGTATACTTTATAAGATATCCTTAACTAACCTTCTCATTTGTAAAAAATTACTTAAGAATGCCATTAGAGATAAAAATTTAAAGAGTAAATTAATTCAGCTCATTAAGGATAAACAAGTCAAATACTAATTTATGCAATTTAATTATTAAAAACGAAAATATATTATTAATTTTAAAAAAAAAGAATGACCAATCAAAATGAATATATAAGATTTGATATCTAACTTACTATATTAATTTGTTATTAATCATTATAGTTCACCTCTCATCTTTATATGATTCTATTTTTATGAAACAAATAAATCATCATATCATCCATATAAACAAAAAAAAATAATTTTTTTCTCCATATGCCAAGATTTGAATTTTTAAAAACGAAATTAAATTGTAAAATCTATGAAGAAAAAAATTTAACGAGTCAAAAATTCACATTTGAGTAATATATTTCTTTTAACCAAAAATAAGTTCAACAAAAATTTAGACTGAGTAACGGGTCAGAATTGAATATTTATATTCAATTTCATACATTTATTTTTTAAAATGTATTATTTTATATACTATAATAAGATTTTTAAACATTTTAATTTGCAACATATAAAATTAGTTTTACTTGATATTTTTCAAGAATATCATCAATATTTAAAGAATATCATCAATAAATATTCTAATTTGATTTTTTGTAAACAAATATTTATAATAGGCAGTGGATTAAATATAATATATTAGATTAACAAATGAATTATGATCCTTATAATTGTTTGAATATTTCTATTTAATTTCATATAATTCTTTTTTGAAATTCATAATTTTATATACTAAAAGAAATATTTTTAAAGATTTTAATTGGAACATTTAAAAATAGTTTAATTTAATATTTTAATGAATATCATAATTCATAAATATTTAATAGATTAAAAAGATAAAAAAAAATTATTAATACTATAATTTTCTAAAAAGATATATTTAAAATAGTTATAAACTTATAGTAGGCGGAGGGTTACATGTAATATATTATATGATATAAAATTATGATCCTTATAATAGAAGGCATGTTAAGATTATATGATCAGATAGATTAAATAAGGTTGACACCTCAAAATATTTGAAAATTTGATTGTGCAAGCAATTTTGGAAATAACGAATAATAGATTGTGCACGCAATATTTTCATTAGGATTCTAAAATAAAAATATAGACTCCACGCACGGGTTGAATTTGGTATATTATATACTAAATATATGTTCATAACATATTCGATTACGCGAATAATTGATAAATTCCGTAGTTACCTCAAACAAATCTCTATTTCAACAACCAAAGAATTAGAAATTGAAAAAAGAATTTTCTAAATTAATTCAAAATAATAGCTAATTATCTTAATTAATTAAAAATAATCTACGTTTTAGAAGCGATTCATTTATAATATTTTGATTTTTGATCTAACTGAATTATATGCAATCTCATTTTGTGGTTGTTAATATAAATTTACTCATTTTTCAGACTATATTAATTTATTAAAATAATTTTATTTTCTGTTTTCATATCTTTAAAAAAAATCCATAATTGAGTATAATTAAAAAAAAAAAGATATTCATTCTAATATTATATATAGGGACTGACAAAAATCTAATTATATTTTTTCAATTAATATTATAATATATCACAACTTTATTCTAAAATATATAATATATAAATTTTGTAATAAATAAAATTTAACCCGTACTGTAGTACGGGTGATGATCTAGTTTTTATGTATAACAGAATAAATCACACATACTGATTTTATAAATACTCTGATGTACCAATACCATTAAAGGAGATTTTGAAAGGAAAAAAAAAACAAAAAGGAGACTTTTGCTGTACTAGCCACAGTGATTAAGTAATTTTTTGGAAAAATCATTATTTTTTTAATTTATCGAGTTAAGTTTGCCTTTCTTTGTTTGGTAAAGTCATTAAAGGAAAAAATACTTTTAATGAAAAACGTTGTTTTATAATACGTACACTAAAGATTTTCTTTCAGTGAAGTGTGTTACCCATATTTCAAGTTTTGTTGTGACCGTAGTTGAGCAAATAAGGACGAGTGAGCAAAAAAAAAAAGGACGAGTGTCATGATTGTGGTTCGGTCACAAGTCACAACAACGGAACTTATCGACTGGATTTGGCCCATGGAGGTGAATGGGTAGGAGGACATCGTTACCGTAAAAAATATGTGTTTTGTTAAAAAAGAAGATTAATGTTCACATGGGCCTTAGACTGATTATGTGTTAATATATGCCCATTTATTTGGTTTTGCACATGGCCCAAATAAACTATAAACTTCACTTGCATAAATAATTGCACCAAAAAAAAAAGCTTAAAATATACTTTTTCAGTTTTTCTAAGCATTCAGTTCCAGTAGAGGGTAACTCAGAACCTTTTGATCTTTCTTTTGGTCTTATTTTCTATTTATATAAGATACCATTCAAAAATATAACTTAATTTCAAATCTAGGCATCAAAATTTAGTAATTTAATGTTCATTAAAGCTTTTTTAAAAAGCCAGATTTCATTTTTTATTTTAGTCGAAAACTTTAAAACTAATAAAATCTGTTTTATAAATCTGTTTTATATCATACGAAAATCCAAAAAAAAAAGAACAAAAAAATTAAAAACTCTTGCAATCATTATTTTATTTTATAACATATCAAAGAGTCCAAAAACAAAGATCCAGTGGAGGAAGAAAAAAGCGGCGCAGTGCATAAGGAAGGAGCCGGTGAGGTGGAGAAGAAGATAAGAATAAAACCGCAAGAGCCAAGTCAGCAGTCATAGCGGTTAGGCGTTGAGAAAATATTATTGACGGACGGACCCGCTTCCCTTATAAAGGCCTCTCTTTCTCTGAAGAATATGCTTTCTTCTTCTCTCTCATTTATTCCTTTTTCCTCTCCTCTTCTTTCCTCTTTAATTTCCTTCTTTTCTAACCTTTCGTATAATTACATTCTTTTTCCTTTTTCCTTCTTCTTCTTCAGGGATCCTAAGTATCTTACTTTCCTTTTCGTCATCTTCTTCGATCGATCATGGAGTTTTTCTTAGAGATGCTTCTCACGGCGGTTGTTGCTCTCTTGTTTTCTTTCCTTGTGGCCAAGCTGGTCTCTCTTGCCACGGTGGAGAACAGAGTAAACGATTTGAGTTCCTCCGATCAGGCGGAGAAGCACGAGATCGGTGTCGGTGATGAGTTTGTTACGGAGGATGTTCGTTTTGGTATGACGATGGATGCTCGTCGTGTGCTCGAAAGCGAGAGGAATTTCCAAGTTGTGGAGGATAATGTGGAACTTGTGGATCGGTTTCAAACCGTAGCTGATCGAGTTTATGAACTCGCTGAAGCTGCTACTGGAAACGCTAAAATCCGAGGTAACCGTGAAGCTGAGTCCTCGGCTGCAGTCTCGTCGGAAAATAATGTGATCGCCGAGGAGGTGATAGTTCGTGGAAAGGACGAACAGAGTGAGTCTGTGGACGAAATCGGTTCTGAACGCGAAGAGTTGATGGTTCGAACCATGGAAGCTGAGTCTACTTCTTCTGTCTCGCCGGAAAACGTGGTAGCGGAGGAGATTAAGAGTCTAGGACAAGAGGAATCAACAGAATTAGGAAAAAGTGTTTGCGTAGAAAAGGAAGAAAGTGGTGGAGATGTCGTACTCGCTGAATCTGAGGAGCTTAGGGTTGAAGAGAGTAGTGATACGGTGGAGGAGAGTGAAACTGAAGCAGAGAATGAAGAGAAAAGAGAGTTGACTATTGAAGAAGATGATGATTGGGAAGGAATTGAGAGGAGTGAACTGGAGAAAGCCTTTGCAGCTGCTGCAAAACTTTTGGAAGAATCCGGGAAAGCGGAAGAAATTGGTGCTGAAGCTAAGATGGAGTTGTTCGGCCTTCACAAGATCGCCACTGAAGGGTCATGTAGAGAGACACAACCTATGGCCGTCATGGTCACTGCTCGTGCCAAATGGTACCATACTTTTCCATGTTTCTATCTTCCTTACTCTGCAACTCAGCTTTTGATCTTTTAGTTTCTAGGTAATTGATACTTCCGATGTGAATGTCATAAAGGAGAGAACTTTGTGAGTGTTAGACTGATGATTAGGTGGTTAGGGATACATGTGTATATCATAGAGTTTTGTAGGTCTAATTGCTGCTGATATATGGAAGAAGAGGATTCCATACACTAGAAACTAGGAGGGATAAAGCTTTAAAAGGTTCCTGATCATCTAATTAGGACAGATTCAGCAATTGTCTGGAATAAGCATTGGTGTATTGCTTGTTTGCTTTATGGTATTTTTCAACAACTACGTGGGATTGACAAATTGTGCTTAGGAATGCCTGGCAAAAACTTGGAAACATGAGTCAAGAAGAGGCCATGGAGCAGTATCTTGCTCTTGTCTCAAAGGAGATCCCTGGTTTGATGAATGCTGGTCACACTGTGAGTTGTTTGATCTTGAGGGTTTGAATATCACCTGGATGTGTTTATTGGGTTTTGAGGTCTGAGAAACTTTTACTTGTTCTCTCTCAACAGGTAGGGAAGATGTCAGAAATGGAAACCTCTGTTGGCTTACCTCCTAATTCAGGATCATTAGAAGATCCGACCAACTTACACACAACTGGTGTTGATGAATCCAGCAAAAAAGGTATTTCCTAAGAGTAATGATATCTTTGTGTCAGCGATTTCTCGCATCTTTCATTCCAGACCCCAGTCATCTGTTTCTTTTTCTAACTGCAAGCTAATTGTCTTAGAATCAGTTTCAGGGGAGAGGTGAATCCAGTGTTTAAGCAGCCATGGCAAGGCTTGAAGGAGGGTCTTTGGGATAACAAAGGCAAATCTATTCTTTTGCATATAAGTATTTTTCAGTGCATTTGGTGCAACTTGGGTCGTCGAGAGTGTATGCATAATTCATTATCCTCACCCAATGGTTTAGGCTTTTCATTCGATCCCTTTGGTTGAAGGAGTTGAAGGAAACCAAAACACTTAATTATATGTATACATATGTGCGCGAGGATTGGTTGATTTCTAGTGCATTGATAATGCTAAGACCTTATGATTTATGAATCAAGTAAGGGTCGTTATATCCTCCTAGTAGTTGTCTTTGATTTGATTCTACGTACCAGACTACCTAAAGGCTAAAGTTGATTATAGATTTGCCATCAATACTACTTTCGATATAAGCAAGTTTCTTACTTGTAAAAGAGAGAGTAGAGATAAGTCCATGTGAATCCTTCTACCAGCTAGTGTCTTTAACCATGGTACCTTATTAACTGCGTTCACAAGACAACCAAAAAACACACCGCTTCTGGAACCAAAGGGAGTACTAGTACACTCCAACTGCAAAACACAGAATCTGGTGTGTTTAGGACAATACGGAATCAGCCTTTAAAGCTATTTCTCCTTAAGACAAAAGCACCATTGTCCAATATCTTTCCATTACAACTTGCAACAATATTTGAAAAGTGAAAACTATCACAAAAGAGTAGAATTTTCGGAAAAAACAAAGGGTTTACAAGACTAGAGATGGAATATTCAAAAACAGAAAAAGGGTGAATGCTCTTATTTCATTTTTTTAGCAGACACCAACGAACTGAGATTTTGGGAGAAACATAAACATGAAACCAGAGAAAAACATCCAAGTATATTTGGAATCACGGCACGATCTTGAACGCCTTGTACTTATCAATCCACGAGATAAAAGAGTTGTTGGAGTTCCTGAAACCAAGGAAGCCATGTTCCTTACTCTTGTTCATACTATCAATCATTCCATCAACTCCAAGTATAATATCAACAAACCACCACACACCAACTTCTTCAAGCTTCTTCTCCTGCAGTTGATTCTCCTTAACCATCTCCTCCCACACTCTCTCTTTCCCCTTCATCATCTCCACCAACCCCAAATTCTTCCCTTCCTCAAATCCATACTCCTCAATCCCAAATTGCTCAGCTAGAATCTTCCACAGATGTTTCCACTTAAAGATATCAGCATTGTTGCAGTTAAACGCCTCGTTCTTCGCATACGGATCAACCGCAGCCCAAATCTGCTGCTCCGCAATCAAATCCGCGTCTGAAGCCGTCGTGAACCCTTCCCAAGCTTTCTTGCTCCCAGGAAACAACAACGGAGACCCTTCATGCTTACAGATCGCTGCATAGACACAAAGAGTCCCAACAATGTTCATCAGACTGTAAGGAGAGAATCCAAAGATCGTGTTTGGTCGATGGATAGTCCACGTCACGGTTTCTATCTTCTTGATCTCTTCAAACAGAACATCCTCTTGAGTATAATAGAAATTCTGGATCTGCAATCTCGGCATATCCTCAGTGAACGGTGGATCATGACGAGGTCCGTCAACGTTGCTGAAAGGGCCGAGGTAGTGCTTTGTCCCTGTCTGGAGACAAACATGCCGGAGATTTGGCGCGTTTGGGACAATCGCTCGGAGAACGTTACGAAGCATCGAGCCATTAGCCTCGCAGTTTTCACTCTCCGATTCACGATTGGTCCAGGTCACGTAAAACACGTGCGTGACATCGGTTAAAGGGGAAAGCTTGGATCTTGCGTCTTCAGCGTCGGAGACATCGCACTGGATGTAATCGATCGGATGATCGGCGTTCCAGGTGGGTCGAGGACGACGAGCAACGCCGTAAACTTTCCAGGGACCGCCGGGAGTATCGGAAAGAGGGAGAATCTCCGCCAAGCTGTTTCCGACGATTCCAGTAACGCCGATGATGAGAGCGACGCTTTCGTAGCTTTGCGTCGGCTCATCGTCGTCTAGTTTCTTCTGCGAAAACCCAAATTAAAGAGAAGATTTTTAATCAGTGAGTAGATGAAGATCGGAGGATAGTTTGTGGGATTGGATTGGATTTACCTTTGCAGCTCCGATGGCGCCAGCCCACCACCAACTCATTTTCTCGATTTTTCTGATTTTAGAAAGCTCAGAGGTGTTCTCAACTCATAGGTTTTGCTTGCCGGGTTATGAAGTCTTTGGTTCTTGGTTTCGAGAGGTCAGCTCTCATTTTGATAGGAGAAGGTAGATGTTATTTTAGGATTGGCCGAGGGCATCCTAGGTAAATCTCATTCGCAGGTGCTTCAGAAGAAGTGGTTTCCTTGTTTTCTTTGGTCTATTGTTTCTCTTAAAGTTTTAGCCTTGTGCTTCTGTCTTAGTTTATGGTTTCGTTCTCTTGCGTTGTCGGTTTGATATATTTGCTTTGTATTTCCAGTGTTATAAGTTTCTCTTCTTTAGAGCCTAGTTTCCGGGGACATTTATGTCGTCCGCCGGCTTTTGTTTCCCTCTTTTGGGTTTTGGTTTCCGGGGATATTCAGTATTTCCGCCGGCTTATGTAATCTCAAAATGTATCCTTCTATGTTTTTATATATAAATTCAGATGACAAAAAAAAAAGAAAGCTCAGAGGTGTTTTGTGTTATGGTCGTGGCTTAAGTAATTTTTTGGTTATAAAGCCGTGTGGGGTTTGTCTTTCGTATGTGTTTATTTGTCATTTTTATAAGAATAATATATCTTTGTAGCTAAACCAAAAAAGATGAATAAAATCTTCTTTTCTTTCACAAAACTACTTTAGTACATTAACTTATGTTATTTTTAGTATGCCACATAAATGGTTTATAGTTTATTCGTAAATCACTCGAGTTTGTTTATAAATTTTCATATAAAACCAAGAACAAAAAAGGAGTATTTTTTTATCAATTCACACAAGCTCTTAATTTATTTGTTGACCTTATACATCTTATTTCATCTTTTTTCTTTACCGACATATCAAAAAAGAAAATGACAAAAGTGGTTGCAGAGATAATGATTTTGATTTGAATAAGGAGTGGTGGTACACGGTAATGGTGTTTATGGTGTAGCTATAACTCAAATACACATAAATCTGGCGAAATTAAGGCTAACCATCGCAAGTAATAACGAAATTAAACAACATTTAAGATTTACAAACAGTAAAAAGAGACGGCAAAACTGGCTCCGACGGAGTTGTAAAGAAAATAAACAGCATTACATAGCTTGACATTGATTCCAGTTTTGCGTTAAGTGGTGAAGTGAATGTTTGGTTTATTACCGAATTGGTTTGGCATGTTTTCGCATGTAGAACATTGTTTTTCATTGAATAATAAAACAGAATCGTCTCTAGTCCGTCCTTAACCTTATCAAACTGGATCATGAATCTGTCCTTAATCGGTTATGTTACAATCATTGTCCAACTACGGACCAACTTAACTTCACGACACAAACCATTACAACAAAATCGAATCATATTTGATAATATTAGTCTACTACTTAATCAGATCCGATTTAAGTAATCAATATTCTCATCAGCCTCTATTATTACAGAACACAACTGTTGCTAACAGTCTGGCTATGAATACAACAAATTTTATTGCCAGCTTTGAGCATCACATCACACTTAAACAATCAACAAACTCCAAATACAAACATAAGATAAAAACCAAATAAACCCTAAGAATTTGTAGTAATTAATTGGAGTTTGGGAGAGGTCTCTTAGTGAAACTCATCTTCTCGTAGTATCGAATTGAGAGAAGAGAAAGAGTGAGTTTAAGCTCGTCTTTACCGAATCTAGCACGCGGATTAGGTTTAGAGAGAGGCCAGAGGTAAAGTGAGTGGAGACGTCGGAAGCCACCAAGCGCCAAGACCACAGATCTGAGCTGGTTTTGGCCGCAGCCGATGTTAGTCCAGTGACGTGTACAGATCAGCTCCCAAAGCCGCTCGTCTTGTGCCGTTTTGTGCCAGATCTTGCTCACGCATGAAGACATAGCTAAGGTCTTTGCGTCAACGTGCTTCAAAACCTCGTACACTAGATTCTCGTCTAAATTGGAGAATCCGATTTCTGAATCGTCTTCCTCCGTACTCTTCATCTTCTTGTGTGTCTCGTTATGAGCATCACCGTCCAAATCAGAGTCGGTAGAACTGCGCTTCATGTGGAATTGATTAGCGAAGATCAAAGTTGTTTGATTTGAGAGGAGAGATGGAGAAGAAAGTATTGAATTGAAGAAGAAGATGAGAGATTGGGTTTTTTTCTCAGATGCCTTCTCTTCTGAGTATTTTCGTAGACGACAAAACAGATAAAATGCTTTTTGTGAAATGACGAATTTACCCTTCACAGCTGTTTTGGAGTCTTTTGGTGTGTTCGTAAATGTTTTTTTTTCCTTGTTTTCTTCTTCTTCCCAAATGTTCATTTTTCAACTAGTATTAATAAGGGTGTTCAATGAATGTACCAGAAGAGACCTTAAGGAATTGGTGTATGTTAACGGATAATCCATTTTTTTTATCTTATTTTCAACTACAATTTAGCATCACGTATTTTTCCAGATAAAAGAATCTGTCGTTTAGGACTTAAACAGAGTGACTAATTTTGGGGACCTTTTCATTTACTTACTTGAATTGTCCTTTTTTTAAGATCAGAGTTTGGAATTTGACCCTTTTTTTTTTTTTTTAGTGTGTCAGCAACCTGTATTTGCCTCTTTTTCTGATCAAATTAAGAAATATGGATTGCACGACGAGTCTTTTGACACAATCTACTATATAAACTGTCAGAGTTATGACAATGCTTGGAACTAATCAAGAATTCATTTGTTTAATGCTCTCTATCTAATATAACTTCAGATGAGAACAAATCATTGCCATCTACACTGGATCGTTCTTATCTCTCCAAAAAATGTTCGATGCGACGATCTCAAAGTGTCTGCGGCTTATATACATGTTCTTCGGTACTCTAAATTCCATCGCCGCACCATCGGATAACGTGAGTATCACCCCAAACCGACTCTCTTTAACTTAATTACTTTTCCTCCGGTGGGGCATTTTCTTTCCTTGCCTCTAGCTCCTCTACTCAATTTTATATCAAAAGAATTGAAGAAACCATCGATTAATTTATACGAGTAACTTGTATTTTGCAGGATGAGTTCGTTCGATGGTACTTGGAGCTATCCTTCTCAGCTAGAGTGGTGATTTATATTACAGTTTTGGGTACAATATATCTCCCATATTTATATAATTAACATATGCTATTTATGTTCAATGTAGAGCTAATTTGCTTGTTTTTTTTCTTTTTGTTATTGTTTCTCAGGGACTATAATGACGATTACTTATTTGGTATTGAAATTCCTGAGCGAATGTGACATGGAGGATGACACAGAGAGGCTACTACCATTGGTGGCAGAAGAAGAAGAAGTCCACACCGTTTGGACGCCGTTGATCAACGAGTCTTCGGAGGTAACGGGGAAGAGAGATGTAGAAACAGCGTCGTTTAGCTCGTCGGATGATGTGGACTACTCGACATTGTGTGTTATATGTTTCGAGGAACGTAGAAACTGTTTCTTTGTACCGTGCGGTCACTCTGCCACTTGTCGTGGCTGTGCTCAAAAGATCTTGTCGGAAGAAAATAAGGTGTGTCCGATTTGCCGAAGGGTAATACGCAAATCTAGGAGATTAGTGATGAAAAAGCTTTGAACGCCGTTGCTTTTCCTAATCACCATTTTGCGAACTCATGCTTCCAAGAAACGCCCTTTGCTTTGCGCTCGTTTTATTATTAAGTGTTCTTATCAGTTTTCAGCGACACAAGTGAAAAGAAAGATTCGAGTTTTGGTGTCACCACTACACTATAATTCCATACAATCTGTAACCTTTAACAATGCATTCTATAACAACAACAAAAACAAAGACAAAGATGACTCCATGCCAATGTACACACTAGCATTTGGATTTTTTTTTCTTTTTCTTTTTTTTTTCAGGTAAACTGATTTGTATTTATCATGTCATTAGACAATAATTTGCGTTTCTGGTAGTTTATGCGTATAGAGGTATATGGTTTATTTGGTATCCTTCTAATTGAATGTATCATATTTAACATGCTAAATAATAATTAGATCCGGTCCATCCATAAGCCAAATAAAGCATTTGCTTTAAGTCACAAGATATAATACTAACCAAAAGGCTAAATTTGCAAATTATCCGTTTGGTATGTTGGTTAAGTAGTCTAATGTTGATCCTATTTTTAAAAAATCTTTAATTCACTTATTATTGGATAGTTTGATTCCTTTTTATTAGGAATTTTTTTTATAATATTTGGTTTTTATAAATAAGAGATTTGTTTCTTATTAGTAAAAAGCAATCCTGGACAATTCAATAAATTTGCTGCAAATAATTCAGAGGAGCTAATTTTCATGAGGAGTAAATTTTTTACAATTTACTGAACATTTAATAAATTATGGTATTTTTAATATAAACTTTTTTTTTATCATTAATAATTATATAATATACCACATGTTTAAAGAATATTCTAGGCCACTTATTAGTTATTAACATCAAATAATAAATCATATGCATAAAAATTATTTTGGTAAATTAAAAAACGTCTAAATGAAAACAATACATTTAACAACACACTACAAAGTAACATATTAAAAAAACAGATTTTTTTGGTAAAAAAATCTCTTAAATATATATTATCAATTAGGATATTCACGCAATTTATCTGACTTTTTCTCCCATAGAATTCCGGAAAATTACAACTAGTTTTGGTGGAACCAATTGGGTTCTTGTTGACTCGACAAGTTGGTACATAATGACCCGGGCCGTGAGTCCCTACCGGTTCACTCCCACACGCTTAGCACGTGCAGTTTCATCAAAACGCAAACGAAATTGAGAACAAAAAATAAGTATTCACCAATCGCTTCATAAGATTTTAGTTATTGAATATTTATTACCAAAAAGAATAAACGAAGAAAGCCTTTTCTTCTCTCTCGTTTTCGCGACAACCTTTTCCTCGAAGAAGAAGAAGAACGAGGTTTTCTCTCAGAGCTGCATCGTTGCCGGAGATTTTAGAAGCTGCGAAAATCGTAACACAGTGAGAGATATATTTACACACATATATACAGAGGGACAAGGAAGAGATTGGGATATGCGAGAGTGGGCATCGGTTCTGTCGGAACGGCTAACTCGCTTGACCTAGGGTTTCGTCTTCCTTGTGCTTCGTGGTGAGTTCTTTATTTCTCTCTCTCTTTTTAGAATGATGAATAGCTCTGAAATTCGCCTAGGGTTTATTAGTGGTATTCATTTTTGGTCATCTGTCTTAATTAAATCAGATTTTTTGAATTGATCTTAGGAATTTTGTTCATTGAATTGGCTTAATCTCATATTCTTTGTCATTTAGTGTTTTCACATGTGTTGAATTTTGCTAGATTTTTTCTGAATTTAGGGTTTTGATCCTGGACCTGGGATTTGATTGGCATGATTTTGAAATAACTATAGTTTCTGAGATTGGGAGATTTTACAATATTTGTTGTCCTTTTACTGTACCATCAATTTGAAATTGGCTTTATCCCCGTTAATATCAGTCACGGTCATAAGAAGGTATCTTGTAGTTGTCCTGCAAATTGTAGTTATTTGTTGGTACTATGCCTGATGTAAAATTCGTATTTTTCGACATTGGAGTGATCTTAGTTTTTTTGGATTCCTTGCGTTTGAATTGGGACAAGCACGATTGTATTAGCAAAGCATGGTGAACTCAATTTTCATATTCAAATTTTTTCTGAACAGTTTGATTGTGTTTTTTGTACTTGTCACAGTAGGTTAATGACATAAAGTTTGTCCTGTTATGTTTTTTTTTTGTTTCTCAGGACTTTTTCGAATGGGAGAAAGAACCTTTTTGCTTCATAACAGTGTTCTATATTTTTGGAGTTGTCATAAGTAAAGCAGTATGACGCTTGAAGATTTCTTTACCCTAACAGAAATAAAAGATGGACTCACGGTCACTTCTCGTGTTGAAGAGCTCGTGTCTGTTATGCAGAGTAATAAAGATTCAGTTTTGAAGAATAATGGCGATGCTTCTAGACAATGGACTGCTGTTGCAAGCACAATTGCGGCCACTAAGAACAGAGATTGTCTTGATGTTTTTGTAAATTTAGATGGACTTGTTTACTTAAGTAGCTGGCTAGCTGAAGCTCAGATGTTGGCTAACAATTCAGTTGACAGATCTGTAGAGGAGTCAATTCTTGCTTTGTTAGAAGCTGTTGAAAATCTAGGTGTAGACAGTTCGAAGTTAGTTTCTTCTGGGATATTGGTTGCTGTCAAGAAACTTGTTGACCATGGTAGTTCTCGGGTTCAGGATCAGGCGAGAAAGCTCTTTGGTAGCTGGAAGGATAAGGATGTGTATGACCACTCTGAACATGACAGTGAAAGCTGTAACAAAATTCATGAAGATGAGATGAGAGTAGTAGCAGCAAGCATGGAGAGCAGTGGGCAAAAATCTGCTGTTACACTTTGTTCGACACAAAGTAATAATGAAAAACAGTGTCCTGAAATAGCAGATGAAGCCTTGCTGTCAGGATGCTCAGAAGGAAACATCCCAGATCAAGATAAGGGTTTGGAACTGCAGAATGACAAGGCTGGGTTTGACTCGAACGTGAATTCCCATTGCTCTAATGCAATGACTGAAACTGAAACTTTCAATGGTTCTTCTACAGATGATATCATGAAAGAGGTTCAAGAAAAACTTTCTGTGAAGGAAAAAAGCTCTATGAGGGAGACAAGTGGTCCAACTATTTTTGGTACTATGCCTACTGGTTCTAGTAGCCTACTTTATTTAGAGCGCGATAGTGCCGAAGGCCCATCAAATGCTCCGCTGGGTGCTGAGATACCCAAGGAAAAGCAGATGGCAAACTATTTTCTTGAAAAATTGGGTGAAGCAGGGACATCTAGTGCAGCAGGACATGTAGCTGTGTCTTCTGATTCTATGATCGCCAGCATGGAGTTGGGGAAAAATAGTCTTTTGCAGAGTAGTCTTGATTCAAATGAGGTGAGCAAGAATGCGTCTGAGACGATATGTGGGTCGCACGATGCGAGCGTAGCCCATAATAGCAAACAGGTGTCTTCATTGACTCATATAACGGACAATCAAGATTCTGACAATTCATCAAGACTATCAGGTGGCCTTGGTAGAAGTAGAAAATATGAGAGTGACAATTTAACTGCTCTTGCTGACAAAGAAGGAAAAGATGATAGGGGTCATTCTGACAAAAAGAGGAGAGTAAAACGGAGAAAAAAACGCAGCTCTTCTAGATCGATGACCATATCCCAGCGCCTTGGAGCAATTGACAAAACAACTACTGATATTGATCTTGGTATTTTGGATGCCTTGGAGGTCGCTACCAAAGTCGCACAGGAAGTCGCAAGAGAAGTAGACTCTGGAGAACCTTCTCATAGTTCTTCAGAAGAACTATCCGATGAAAGCGGGCAGTCTGGTTCGCAAGACTCCCGCGATGATGATGTACATACAGGTTCTCCATCTAAGGGATTATCAGTGGGTGAAAACCATTCCTTTGAGGAACCTCATGCTGGAGATGATGATGTCATGGATGAGAAGGATGACAAACCTGAAAGCGCGATGAAGAACAGTGATGATGTTGAAGAAAGCCACCTAGCAGCAGCTGCTAAATCTGAAGTAGGCAGAGAGAAAAGCCCATGTGGATTTGATCTTAATCAAGATATATGTCCTGATGAAGCAGATGTCATTATGTCCTCCATATCTACAGCCCCTACTCCTATGTCTGTTTCATTTTCTGTCTCATCTTCTGGAATGCCTGCAGGAGCACCGTTGCAATTGGAAAGATCTCTTAGCGGGAAAGGATCAGCTGCTACTAGTGTATTCCACCCAGCATTACCTCATAAAGTTCCTAGTGGGGATTTAAGAGAAAAGCAGGTGATTTCCCGTGGTATCGATCTGAATGTGGCTGAGCTAGGAGATGATCAAGTTGAAGATCTGACTCCCTGGAAACAGTTTCCTTTCTCCTCATCAAACTCTAGGGGTGGAGAGTCTTCAAATGAAGCCAGTCGTCGAGGATCAAGCAGATTCAACTTGGATTTGAATTGTATGAACGAGGATGATGAGATGCCTCCACCTTCTGAGTTGAAGATGGAGACAAGATTGTTTTTAAGTCACAATGGTCAGCAAAGCGCATCACCTGTCTCCTCATCGTCAGTTGCTCAGCAATCAGGCAAGGAAGTTAACTTTGATTTGAATGACAGACCACAGTTTTTCATCGATTCACGTGATCAGGGTCCCTACTATGGGCGGCACCCATGGAGTACGGCCTCCTATGGAGGGCACAAATTGGAAGAACCAGGTATTTCTATCTTGGGTACAAAAGTGGATGTTGACAGAAAAGAGTCTGTATCTCAGATGGCTTCGTTCTTGTCCAATGGCAAGTCCCTCGAGCCTGCAGCAGGATTATACATGGGAAGAACGGGAACCTCTTTGGGTCTAGCCTCAGGTGTCTCCTTTTCTCCAGCTCCTATTTATGGCTACAATGGAATGAGTGGTCCTCCTGGTTTGTCAATGTCATCGCCCATGTATGTTCCTGGAACTGCTATTCCATACATGGTGGATTCAAGAGGTACTCCAGTGATGATGCCGCAAATAATCGGATCGACCCCGTATGTGCAGCCACCATTCCCTCAACAACACATGTTCATGAGCTTGGCGGGTGGATCCCCTAGTATGAATGGATCAGTGCGGCCAAACTTTGATCAGAACTCTGGGTTTGGACTTGAGATAGGAAACAGAGAGTCGATAAATTTGAGGCAGTTTCTATCGCCGTCACAAAGCGGGGCTATGGGAGAGCATTCGGGAGCAAATGTAGAGCCCTCATCGAGTTCGTCTATTAGCATTGGTGGAAAGCGAAAAGAGCCGGAGACACGGTGGGAGTTCCCTCCATGGAGGTGAGTGATGTACAAGTGGTGGGGATGGGTTCTTGAATAGGTTGATGAATTGATTGATTGGTCAAAGGATGACAAGTGTTGAGGTAACTTATAAAGTGGTCTTGCTGAACTTTTCTCTTTCTTTTATTTTCCCCTCAGTTTTCCCTTTTTTCAGGTTTTATTTTATTTTATTTCATAACATATAGGAGGATTAGTTCAAACATTGGTATATGTCAAGCTTCTTTTTAACCTTGTTGGGTTTTTCTCCATAAATAAATATATAGTTTTAAGATACAGAAATGTTTCTAGTGGTTTGATTAATCTTTTGCGTTTCAAGATGCAAGGAAAAAGTGTCCATTTTCGTTCCATTCGTCGTCATGTTATGCTCTCATTTCTGAACGACTGTTTCATAGAAGAAAGCAGCGTCAGGAGGAGTGAGGGAGGAAGTCTCTCAAGTGTTGTATCTTTCAATAAATAATGGGACGGGCCAAAGTGAGTATCCATACAAATGGGCATTACCATTTTTGGACCGAGCGTACATATGCTACTACTGATGAGTGATGACAATGATCTTCCCAAATTGGCAAATTGGACCTTAGGCACCAAACATAACCTTGGGAAGTATAATCGTTTAGATCAATAGAACATCAATAAAAGCATCATCATATATAGTTATTGTCACATGTAAACAACTAAATTATAGCCGTCCGATCATCCCAATTAGGACGCAAACGAGTATCACCGTTGATTTACCAGACTTTGATAATTTAAAAGTCGTCCATCCACGCCACAACCCGAAATCCACGTCGCTCCACGTCAAGTAAAACCCCTTGCTCCAATAAAAAACTACCACGTGGCTTTCTCCCATTACGAGCCGTTAGATGTGCCACGTTGGCAAATCATGACGAAGCTAACCAATCACGAGAAACCAAAGTGTACGCAATTAAACAGTTCACACATCACTGAATCATTTTCCTATTATATACGGATCTATCGAGCTGAATCATCATCATCACTGAGTAACCCGAAAGCAAAAGACTGAGAGAGAACCAAGCGATCTAACAATGAGGAAGAGGACGCTCGTGTCCGTTTTGTTCCTTTTCTCGCTTCTGTTTCTTCTTCCAGATCAAGGTACGTTTCCATGTATATTGCTTGATTTTGAGTAGATAGATATAAGTGTTGCTTAGGATTCATATGCTGATGATGGCGATGTTTCTGTGGTATTTATCGTAGGAAGAAAGTTACACGCGAATGCAGAAGATAGTTCCGATGAGGTTACAGATCCACCAAAGGTGGAGGAGAAAATTGGTGGTCACGGTGGTTTATCAACGGATTCCGATGTAGTTCATAGGTTAGTGTCTTGTTAGTTTTACGGTAACAACTTTCGTTTCGATTGCGGAAATCTCGCTTAATTCGAATTTGTTTGATTGATAGAGAGTCTGAGTCGATGTCAAAGAAGACGCTTCGCAGTAACGCGGAGAAGTTTGAGTTCCAGGCTGAGGTTTCTCGGCTTATGGACATTATTATCAACTCTCTCTACAGTAACAAGGACATTTTCTTAAGAGAATTGATCTCCAATGCTTCTGATGTAAGCTTCGTGTACATGGTTTTTAGTGAGTTTTGGGATAGCTCGTTAAATAGGGGAACTAATAAGTGTCTGTGTTGGTAATTTTTCAGGCCTTGGACAAAATTAGGTTCCTTGCACTCACTGACAAAGACGTTTTGGGTGAAGGTGACACTGCTAAGCTTGAGATCCAGGTTAGCTACATGTTTCTCGATATGATTTATACGATGAACTTGAGAGTGTTGAAAATAGAGTTTCATATATTTGTTTTCATTCAAAGCTCATCTCAGTACAATAAGCCTTTCGTTTGGAATTGTGTCTAGTGCAAGCCTTTTTCTCTTAGCTCTCTAACTACGCCATGGTATGCAGATTAAGCTTGACAAAGCCAAGAAGATTCTTTCTATTCGGGACCGGGGAATTGGTATGACTAAGGAAGACTTAATCAAGAACCTTGGTACCATAGCAAAATCTGGAACGTCAGGTACGTTGCTTGTGTGGTGATACGTTGTCCTGCATAACAGTCTGGATCAATAAATTCCATGTACCTAAGATCTTGTCCTTTCGTAGCTTTTGTTGAGAAGATGCAATCAAGCGGGGATTTGAACCTTATTGGACAATTTGGAGTTGGATTCTACTCTGCCTATCTTGTTGCTGACTACATTGAAGTCATTAGCAAGCACAATGATGACAGCCAGTAAGTAAATATTATAGAGGGTTTTGTTTGGCAATATACTTGTATGCATGTGAAATCATTTGAAAATCTTTTCTGATAACTTCTTTACCATATTCAGGTATGTATGGGAATCAAAGGCTGACGGTAAATTTGCTGTTTCCGAAGATACATGGAATGAGCCTCTTGGTCGTGGAACCGAAATCAGATTACATCTTAGGGATGAAGCTGGCGAGTACCTAGAAGAAAGTAAACTTAAGGTGAGTAATATTTTGATAAGAAAGTAAATCTCCTTTTTGTTACAAACCAAAGTTACCCAATGCAAAGAACCAGAATAACCCAAGGTTTGTTGTAGAGAACCCCAAACTCTCCTGAGGGGAAGTGGTTCAGCATTATTATGAATTCAGTGCACTGCTTATTCAATATTTCTGTTTATCCTCTCATTGTGGTTGCTTATGATCATTGTTGTCTACTACAGGATTTGGTGAAGAGATATTCTGAATTCATTAACTTCCCTATCTCCCTATGGGCTAGCAAAGAGGTTGAAACCGAGGTCCCAGTTGAGGAAGATGAATCAACTGATGAGGAAACTGGTGAGTATTAATGAAAACACCATATTATAATTTTCTGCTGCAGTGTTATCTTTTTTTCCTTCAATTCATGCAGCCCTGATTTTTGGTAATGGTACTTGACTTCAGAAACCACCTCTACCGAGGAAGAAAAGGAAGAAGATGCTGAGGAGGAAGATGGTGAAAAAAAGCAGAAAACCAAGAAGGTGAAAGAAACAGTTTATGAATGGGAGCTTCTGAATGATGTTAAGGCTATATGGCTGAGAAGTCCAAAGGAGGTGACGGAGGAAGAATACACTAAATTCTACCACTCTCTCTCAAAGGTGAAAGCCATGCGTTAACAAAATCATACTTATTACATACTAAGTGTAAAAAATTCGTGTGGATTTCCCTGACACCAGTTGTTATACAGGATTTTACCGAAGAGAAGCCAATGGCTTGGAGTCACTTTAATGCTGAAGGTGATGTTGAATTCAAGGCTGTGTTGTATGTTCCTCCGAAAGCTCCCCATGATCTGTACGAGAGCTACTACAACAGCAACAAGGCGAACTTGAAGCTATATGTCAGGAGGGTATTCATCTCAGATGAATTTGATGAGCTTCTGCCTAAGTATTTGAGTTTCTTGAAGGTAAACTACTTGAAAGACTAATTAAAGGTTCCCTCAATACAAATTTAAGGGCTAAATCCCTAATGTGAGTTACTTCTGCAGGGTCTTGTTGACTCTGACACATTGCCTCTAAATGTATCACGAGAAATGCTTCAACAACATAGCAGCTTAAAGACAATTAAGAAGAAGCTTATCCGAAAGGCACTTGATATGATCCGCAAGCTTGCTGAAGAAGATCCTGATGAGATCCATGATGATGACAAAAAAGGTATTCCATAAAACATGCTTCTTGGTATCGATCCACTTTGACTGTTCCACACCTTTTTACCATGTGGTAGTTTCATCTTTCTGAAACATGGTCTATACTTATTGAATTGTTGGCACGCAGATGTGGAGAAGTCTGGTGAGAACGATGAGAAGAAGGGTCAATACACAAAATTCTGGAATGAGTTTGGCAAGTCAGTCAAACTAGGCATCATTGAGGATGCTGCTAACAGGAACCGCTTGGCAAAACTTCTTCGTTTTGAGACGTATGCTCTGTTTTTTTTTTATTTTTAATACACGTCTGTCCATTCATTATCACCAGCAGGCTAAAGATTTACAGTTTGCTATTTCAGAACAAAGTCCGATGGAAAATTGACTTCCCTGGATCAGTACATTAAGAGAATGAAAAAGGGGCAAAAGGACGTATTTTACATCACAGGAAGCAGCAGGGAACAACTGGAGAAATCTCCATTCCTGGAGAGGCTCATCAAGAAGGGCTATGAGGTTTGTACTGCACACGAATAATTCTTCTTTAATTGATCTCCAACTCGCATAACACGTTCCAATACTTGTGTTCCCAGGTTATCTTCTTCACAGACCCTGTTGATGAATACTTGATGCAATACCTGATGGATTACGAAGACAAAAAGTTCCAGAATGTGTCAAAGGAAGGACTGAAGGTTGGGAAAGATTCAAAAGACAAGGAGCTGAAGGAAGCATTCAAGGAGCTAACCAAGTGGTGGAAAGGAAATCTCGCTAGCGAGAACGTGGACGATGTCAAAATCAGCAACCGTTTGGCTGACACTCCCTGTGTAGTTGTAACATCCAAGTTCGGATGGAGTGCAAATATGGAGAGGATCATGCAGTCCCAAACTCTCTCCGATGCTAATAAGCAAGCTTACATGCGCGGAAAGAGAGTCCTAGAGATCAATCCACGACACCCTATCATCAAAGAACTCAAGGATAGAATTGCAAGTGACCCAGAGGTAAAACAAACATAAGACCCATCAATTGTTTTTTACCTTCTGTCTATTAGAGAAATAATCTAACACACCAAATACTCTCAGGATGAGAGTGTGAAAGAAACAGCACAACTCATGTACCAGACGGCTTTGATCGAGAGTGGATTCGTACTCAACGACCCAAAAGACTTTGCAGGCCGTATCTACAACTCCGTCAAGAGCAGTCTGAAAATAAGCCCTGATGCAGTAGTCGACGAGGAAGTCGAGGCAGCAGAGGAACCGGAGACCAGTGAGGCAACTGAGACGAAATCAGATGACTTGGCTGGTGGTCTAAACATTGAAGCCGAACCCGTTGAGCAACAAGAAGAGAACACCAAGGACGAACTGTAGATTTTACTTCTGATGGTTCTCCTTTGTGTTTACTATGGCTCTCTTAGTTTAAAGCAGAACATCGTTTTACTCGAATCTCAAGATTAGTTTAATTAAGCAGTTTTTGATGGATTATGTAAACGCACTACTTGGATTCTAGAGATCAACGAACCCAAACGCAATATATAAGTTTTATCTTTCAAGATTAATGATCCTTCTGTCCGAGTTAATCTCGATTCAGTACCATAATATGCACTCTTCTTAGCCAATTTAGTCACCTATAATGCATATATTACTCGAGTGTTATTTTCCACAAAATTTATTAGAAAACTTGACTTTTGCAAAAATTTCAAACAGATAATCTGTAAAGCTATAGATTTTATATGGAAAAAGACTTTAATCAATATATTCGTGATAACATAGCTTTTCAACATGTTGTTTTATCTTGCATCACTTTAAAAAACATAAAGAAAATGGTCAATACTTTTGTGAGATCACAGATCTTGAGCCTTGACCCTTGAGACAACGTATATATAGAGGCAAGTGCTCTTTAAACTCTATCTCTTGGTCTTTATTTTTTCTTTTTTTTTTCTCTCTTCGTCTTTCGTTTAATTTGTGAATATTCCAAACTTGATTTCTACACCAAAAATACTTTGCTTTTGAAAAGAAAAAAAAAACAGTGATGATCATAACAGTGCTTCATTCTCCAGTCTCATTCTATTTCATCATCCTTAGCTTCCTCTTCTTCCATGGTACGTAATATCTATCATACTTTATATCGGTATGACTATTTCTATAGAAAATGTAAATATTAACATATAGTTAAAAGCATTGCATTTGGTAGGAAGTGATGGTGCTACAATCACGATCGTAAACAGATGCAGTTTCACCGTGTGGCCGGGAATTTTGTCCAACTCCGGAAGCGGCGACATAGGCACTACCGGTTTCGAGCTCGTCCCCGGTGATTCACGTTCGTTCCAAGCTCCAGCTAGTTGGTCAGGTCGGTTTTGGGCAAGAACCGGTTGCAACTTCAACTCGGACACAGGCCAAGGCACGTGCATAACCGGAGACTGCGGCTCTAACCAGGTCGAATGTAACGGTGCAGGAGCCAAACCTCCCGCCACACTCGCCGAATTCACAATCGGGTCAGGTCCAGAAGACCCGGCCCGTAAACAAGACTTCTACGACGTGAGCCTCGTGGATGGTTACAACGTTCCCATGTTGGTTGAAGCAAGTGGCGGGTCAGAAGGTACTTGTCAGACAACAGGATGCGTAACGGATCTTAACCAAAAATGTCCAACGGAGCTCCGGTTCGGAACCGGGTCAGCATGCAAGAGCGCGTGTGAAGCTTTTGGTAGTCCAGAATATTGTTGTAGTGGCGCGTACGCTTCACCCACCGAGTGTAAACCATCCATGTACTCGGAGATATTCAAATCGGCGTGTCCAAGATCGTATAGCTACGCGTTCGACGATGCTACAAGTACGTTCACATGTACTGATGCTGATTACACAATCACTCTTTGCCCTTCCTTGCCTAGGTAGGTTAACTTATTTTATTTTTGTTTCCATTTTATTTGTTCCCACTAGCTTTTTGGGTAATGCACACGACGAGCTTAGCTAGCAAAGTAATGTGATTGGCTTGAGCCAGGCTAAGAAAAAAGAAGTTGATACTTTCTTTTTTTACACGTAATAAAGGAGTATATAATAGTCATTCCATCAAAGAAAAGGAAAACAAAAAGGTTGTTATAACACGTACAATAGGCCTACCATTATGAAACGCGGAAGCACAGATAAATTAGTATAATTTAGTCCTATATTTTATCAAAAAAAACAAAGAAACTATTATTTGTTCTTATTCTGTTAAACTGATTAACGTTGGAATGTTTTACAGCCAAAAATCGGCAGCGAATGGGTGGAGAGATGGCAGTGGATTGGCAGAAACATCATCGTCGCCATTATCGACGTGGTTGTCCGATGTTTTCACCTCTGATTCCTCACATGTTCAGTCTTCCCAATATTTACTCATATTTTCTATTTTTCTTCTTCGGCGATTTTGATATTTTTGTTTCTCATTTCCGGGTGTATATTTTCTAATCTTATTACATTAATATGCTTCATGATTATGCGCATTGAATTTAACAAAATTTATATATATGGGTTGATTTAAATTTTGGCGGAAAATAGCCTAGAGTCCATGCGTAACCAAACGCAAAGTATATGAGATGACACTTTAGGTAGAAGAAGTACGCGATAAGTGTTAGTCGCAATTCGTAGATTAGCAACAAATTAAAGATAATAAAATACTAGCAAGTGAAAAAGACTCGTGTATTTATAGATATGTATATAGTATTAGTTTTTGTTTTGCTTTGATGATGGATGATGTGTCCGATAAGAATTACATTGATGGAGAGATGACGAGAAATGCAAAGACTTGGAGTGTAAAAGAAAGGGAAAAAAAAAATAGAGGACGAAAAGATAACAGAAACAAAGGTGGAAAGAAGATACAAGATATTATCAAAAACAAAAAAGATACAAGACAAAAAAACATCTATGGAGACTTTCCTAAAGAATGAAGTAAGACGAAGGAAAGTAGACAGAGTTGTTATATGAAATCTCTTAAAGATCTATTGATTGGTCTGCTTGATGATTATGTCTTTCTACTGATGTTTGCACTTAGCCTTTTGATGATAAGTTGATAACGTCTATTAGTCCTGCATACCTTGAAGACCATCATCTTGAATGGGTCCGGTCTTATGAGAGATATCAGGTGAAAGAGACTTTATATTAAGGAGAATAGCTTAAATCCTTGTGCTACCAGTGTACCACATGTACTGAAGAAATACCAAGTTAGGTAAGTTCACGTTTGTTGACAAGTGGAAAGAATGATTACTTATTTACTATCATGAAATTTTCAACTTGGTACTACTAGTTTAAAGGTCCAAATTATTTTCTGTTTTAGGCATTCATCCTTAATGGCATGTGACCTTCCACGTAAAGCATCCTCCTTTTAGGTGTAAGGTAAGTTGTTAGGAGACGATCAAAGTCTTAACTCAGAAGAAATTGATTTTACTCAAAATATTTGTATTTATTGACTCAAGGATGACTCTAGCACAAACCACTAGACTAAAGTTTTGGTCATTTATCAAATATAGTTGTATGTGAAATGGTTTGTTTTTAGACATTTTAGATCATATTACTTGTTTGGACCTACCATTCAAAAAACCTGAAACCTAAATGTCTAAGCCTATTATCAGATACATTTTACAGAATAATGTTTCGTTTTGCCAATCTTATGTCTTATGCTACAGCCTACAGTATCATTCGATTAACAAGAGTAACAACATTCGCCTAAAAAACTATGGTCCTTGGGATGTCTCTGGGGAAAGAATGGAGTTTTGATTAAAAAAAATGTAGAGTCAAGAACACATTGTTATTCATAAGTACAAATCAGTCTGCTCACTCTGCATTTGTTTCGCCATGGAACAGAGGAATTGTTTCAGAGAATTTTCAGCAGTCACTAATGCAGCCTCAACTTCTTTCTGCTTCTCCTCTGTTGTGCCTTTTTTTTGCTCATGAACCAACTGTACTTTCCGAACAAGTTTACGCAATTCCTATTAACAAAAAAATGGGATAAAAAGTATTAAAGTTAACTAATACATCATTAAACCATATGATGCTTCTTGAATCAGACCTCTAGGTTTCAAAGACCCATACACATGATAAACAAGTCATACACATCTCCTTAACTTATTCAATTCATATTTGACTAACCTGTCTATCGAAATCAACACTCTGAAGAGAATACACTTCCTTTGTAAGTTCCACATTTTGACTGATTAGGCCATCAAACCACCTCGCAGCCATAGCTATAAATTCGTCTGACCCCTGAAGATATTCTTTCAAAATTTAGTTGAGTTTGGACAACAAACAACTGAAAGATATTCTATAAAAACAACAAAAGTAGTTCTCTTCATCCATTTAGACAACAAATCAGTAGCTGGTTGAAAGACTATTTATGAATGCACTCAGAAGCGGGATGGAAACGGTTACTTGGTTCTGTTTGACGTGTGGATTTGTTTTGTTACAAACAATGAAAAATAAATCTCTTCTCTGTCCTTAAGGAGGTTTCTAAAGGAAGCTCCTTAATCCGAATGTCGTCTCCCCTACTCTATCAGCCACTATACATATAAAATTTTCCGCAATGCACGACAAAATCTTCCCCTCACTGTATCTCTCCCATTCACTTTCTTAAGTTATCCTAAAGATGGAATTGAACTATTCAGTTTTCTTCTCTAATCCCATAATATCAATGTTATACTTATATTGAGATTCTTGTTTACACTTACCTCCTCTCCATCTTCTGACTCTGTTTCTGTATCATCATCATCATAGCTGCCTCCAACATCATCAGCGACGTCCTTCGCTGAACTAATCAGTGTCTGCAGCGTTGTGTGATCACCCTGCTTCGTGGCATTAATCAGAGTGTCCATCAAATCAGGTTCAACTTCACGCAACAATTTCCCTGAGATCATTTACCAAATTAGCAAAATCTAAATGGATGCTAATTTCCCCTAACAGTTCATCTAGATAAAAATGATGTATTGCTCACCGATATAGTTGAAATGTCTACGCTTTCCTTCTCGAACATCCGAACCTAGTCTCTGCGGCAAAACAACAAACACCTTATGTGCATTGTTCTAAATTTACGACTACCGTAACAATAACGTCCAAAGATGTACTCATTGTGACTTACCTTCGCAAGCATCAATGCATCATAAACCTCTTCACCAAGCGACGCAGCTCTACGATGAGAAAGCTAATTACTTTAAAACCAAAAACTTCAACACAAATATAAAAGTGAAGATTTTGAAGAGATGATGATTTCAAATTTGAGAAGCTTACTTCAGAATCCGTTTAACCTGATCACCGGAGAAGGAAGCAAGTTCCATACCCCATTTGACGGCACGACGAGCATCACGCTTCCGCTGGTTACGGCTCCTCAACGAATCAGACTCGGAACCATCGCTATCACCATCGTCTTCAGCAATAACAGTTGGAGTTAAAGCTTCCGGTGGCGCGGGACGAATTCGCCGACGAGGTGGAGACTTTGCGGTGGAGAAAGACGAGAAGAGAAGAAGAGTGGGGATAGAAGAAGGTGGGTTCGGAAGCTTTTTCGAAAATAAATGGCGGAGATTACGAAAATGGTGATTACATTGCGGCGACAATTGCCTTATTGGTCGTATTAGTTGTGCCATTGTAGCTCCGGCGAATCGTTCAAAGGTCGGAGCTTTATCTATCTACACTCTCTATAAAGTCTTCTCATTTATCAAAGTCAGTTTTTTTCCTCTATATATATGACTTTTTTTCTTCTATTCGGTGATTGGTTAACAAAAGTCTCAATTTTCAAATACCACAATTGAACTAGAGTTTGATTCAAATCCAGACATACACATATTTCACAATACACACAAAGACTGAATATTTCTGCTTTAATTGTTATCATCCGGTGAAGCTAATACGAGAGAAAGAGTTTGAGAATCTCCAGCCAGAGGATGGTTTAATGTTGAATGTTGTAGGTGAGAAGCTAAGACCAAACATTTCCTTTGGTGTCAGAGTTGAGTCAACAAATCCAACCAATGTAGCTATTAGAGAAGCACTCTCTTTGCAATGCTCTATGTCTTTGGTGTTGGTGTTCCATAGTTTGTGTGCTACTTGCAGGCTTCTCCGCTTTGAGCTGAGTTCAACACCCCATTTCTTGTAAACTTCTTCTTTTTCCTTCTTTCCGAACTTGTTTGGTATTTGCTTAGCTAACCATTCTCTCTCACGTGTTAGTGTTTTGGCTGATTGTTTCCTCGATGTCTCAGGCGAGTCCTTTAGAAAAGATAGCCTTCTGAGTTCGACTTCCATGTAAACAAAGTCCGATGGATCGCCTTTGAAGAGCAAGAAAAAGTATGTTCTGTGAACCAAAGGTACATTACATACTTCCCAAAGCTCAATTATTTGGCTTTGTTGTCTCTCAAATTCTGTTTTCTCGCCGCCATCATCTATGTTTTCTGGCTTCATCGTCTTTGTTTCAGTATCGCTATGCGTGGAATGGTGCTGCATTGTCCTTTCTCTAAGTCCTGCCATAAATTCATGGAAGCTACTACCGCTAGTCTCTGTATCGGAATCTTTCATGCTCTGTGCGTCCATGGAGACAGTGATATCTGAATCAAAGGATGTGTTAGTGGTCTCGAATATGAAACCTCTACTAGCAGCAGCAGCAGCAGCCTTTGTAAACAAGAGGTTCTCTCTGCAACTTCGGCTTCTTCTCATCTTGAAGTAATCTCCTGGACTCAAAGTATCATCTATCGTATTAAACGAAGGAGATTGTTTCTCTTCTGCTGATTGAATACTCATAAAGTACTCAATTGTCTTCTGCATTTCCTTCACCTTTTTCTTCAGAGCCTCATATGTATTATCATCTTTATCAGAGCCTTCATACACTTCTACACATTTCTCTTCCTCAGGAGGTGATTTATATAATTGCTCTGACTGATCCATAGATAAATTCTGTTCTCTGTCTTCTTTCTTTGAAGACAAATTCTTTTTTGTGTCTTCCTTCTCCACAGATTGCTCACTCTCTTTGGATTCTTGTAACTTGTTTATAGTTAGCTCATCTTGGGCTACAAGTTTATCGTAGCTTCCATAGACTTGTACACATTGCTCTTCTTCAGGGAGTGATTTCGTTACTTGCTCTGACTGATCTCTAGACGAATACTCTGCCATTTCTTCTTTCTTTGGAGATTGATTTTGTTTCTCCACAGATTTCTCAGTCTCTTTGACGTCTTCTATTAACTTCTTTAAACTTACCTCATCTTCAGCTTCAAGTTTAGCATATAAACTCAAATCCATATCTATAGCTTTTAAAGATGAATCAGCATCATCCTTTTGGGACTCATCGGGCGTAAAAGATTTGTAGTTTTGTTCATATTCTTTCTTTTCAACAATGTCGTCTGGTGGTGAGTCTTGGATTTGAACTCTTTCTGCTTCTGCACTGTTTACTTCAATGCATCTAACTTCTTTGCAAGCATCTTCTGGTTCTTGGGTGGTGCTTTGAGCCATCTCCTCCCACTTATCGTTTAGATCAAGCCCCGGAAATTGAGGGGTAGTATCATCCAGCAGGAAACCATCCTCATCAGGAGAGTACAAGTTACTCTTCCCCAAGTTATTTAGCATACGAGGCTCATCAAAATCCGTTGAATCGTAACTTATTCTTCTTCTTCTGCTATCCATTGAACTTGAAGATGACTGCTCTTCCGCTGTTGATTTAAGCAAATTCTCGACCCGAGATTGAGCTACATCTCTCTGCCATTTAAGTTCTTGGATTTGTTCCTCCATCTGCAGGTTTTTGCACAAGAAATGAGTAATATATTCTTTAATCATAAGGGAAAGAAGAAGCATTCAAGAAACCTTTGCAATCAACTCTTCTTTCTGTTTGAGCATTAATGCGTAGAACTCAGAGGTTGAAGAAGCAGAAGCAGGTCCAAGATTCTTTAATTCATTCTCCATTCTCGCCAGTTCTCGCTGCAGTTGCTTCACCAAAGCTTTCTCAGACACAACCAAATTAACTTGAGCATTTGTGGTCACCTCTTTAGCACAAGTTGCAAAGAGAAGCGTGTTTCTTGATTGTTCGAGATGACTACGAGCAGGGCTCATTGTACAAATGATAGCCGTTCTTGCGTTTCCCCCCAATGAGTTCTGTAGTATACGAGTTAGCTTTGAGTCTCGATACGGTATGTGTCCATTTTTCCCTTTGCTGTAGTATTTTCAATAAAAAGACTCATATTAGCTCAAAGATGAAGTGATATGAAACTTAACAAACTTAGCAAAAAAACTACTAAATTGGTGCAAAAGTGACCTTAGTTTTCGAATGACAGTTCCGAGAGTAAGTAAACTCCGATTAATGTGACAACCTTCTTTGAGTCTTGAACCAGCAGATAATGTCTGAGAAGCACGTTCACTTCCTGCTAGATCAACAAAGCACACTGACGCTGCAAGAGTCGCTGAGCTCTCTGGAGAAAATACTCGATTCGAGCTTTCAATTGTCTGCAAGAGAAAAAAACATTAATGTGACTTGTGACAATATGTGAGTGCAGTATTTTCATTAAAAAGATGACAATGAGTGTACCAGTCGGAGAATCTGATGAGATCTAGAGCTAGTCTCATTTAAAGACGTCTCTCCAATCTTCCTCTGAGCTGCAAGATTCAATTAATATATCATTTGTTTGTTGATAATAGTCAAATTATGAAGAAAGAAAGAAGCAATGAGTTTGGTTAATTACTCTCGCATATAGAAAGGAGTTCCTCTAGATGATTCCTGTCGGTGAGAGTCTCTTCTCTAAGTTTCTCAACGACCGTTCCTCTCTATCAAAGTTGACAATAGTAATATCAGTAATTAAGTTAGTACTCAATGATGATTAGAGAGTTATTAATGGCGTGGTAAAGAAGATAATCTGACCTCTGGATCATCTAAAAGCCTAAGTGGAGTGCTGCTATCTTCACAAAGGAGATCCCTTACAGCTTCATTGTAGATTTCCATCGCTGAGAATTTTAGAGTGAATTTTCTTTCTTGTTTATGCTAAAGGAAAAAACAGAGCATCTCAGAGACTAAAAATGTAGATTGGAAAAAGAGCATGAGTATGGAGAGGTTAATATATTAAACCTTGTCAATGTAAGCAAAGATATCGTTCATTGCAAATTCAGTGATTCCACTCATCGTGTACGTTTTCCCACTACTCGTCTGTCCATACGCGAAAATGCTCGCTGCAACACAAGAATCGGCTTAGTATTTTATCGAAATGATTGATAATAAGGAGAGATATGCTACAAACATATTTCTTACAGTTAATTCCCGAGAGGACACAAAGTGCAACTTCTTTGGCTCCATCATTATAAACTTGTTTCGTAGGGCATTCGAATCCAAAGACCTTGTCTGTAACACAATAAATGATTAACGTAATAGTATACCTCAAATCAAAATGGTGAGAAAGAGATGCAAATTCAAATTCTTACCAAATGTATAGGAAGACTTGTCAGGCAAATTATGGAATTTGCAGATGATTGTGGTGTCGTTGATACATTCCCAATCACATCTATCGTTCTTTGTCTTCTCTTTCTCGTTTAACGGCCTAACCCTCACCGACACCAATATCTTCTCTTCTCCTCCCGCTGCCATCTTTTCTTGCTTTCTATATTATCCCTATTTTGCAAATCCAAACCTATTCAAGGATGCATAGATCATTTGATGATCTTTTGATCAAATTGAAATGATCAGACTTTAGATATCATGAAGAAAAAAAAATGGGTGCTGAAACCAAACTTCTTCTCATCTTATCAGAAACCAATGAATGAAACATTCAAACATTTCATTGACCAAACCTAATCGACATATATCAGACTTGGCTCACCATTTGATCCTCACCGGATTCCGGATTGCTGCAAATTGAGAGAGGGACATTTCTTAATTGTGAGAGATAATAAAACTAAAGAAAAGTATTGATTTGAACAAAATCCATATCGGAAATGAAGACATGGACAAATATCAACGAAAATTTGTTGGGAGATGAGAAGAATGAGTCAGCCAAAATAAATAATCGGGTCAAAAACCCCTCTGTAGTTTCTTCTTCCTCAAGTTTTCAGCTGATTGAGCTGTCTGAGAGAGAACATGTCGGCATGGCCATTGGAAATGTTTCGACCACCAGGTCCAGGTCTCTCTACTAAAATAAGAATGTTGCCAATTTTTAACCTCTTTTATCCTTTCCCGTTACGGTAATTACACTATTTCCTTGCTGTACAAGGAAAGTTAACCTTATTTTGATGACTAAGTTAAACTATAAGAATTGATCAGACCCAGTGGTCCCCATTTCAAGCACATAGATTTGATCGTTTTGTTTCATAAGTAAAATATAAAAAAAAAAAAAATAGATGAAACACATAAATCTGAGGAATTATTTTGGATTATGAAAGATTACAATTTGGATATTGGAATACTTGAGAGGTTTTAGAGAGAAATCAAGAACGTTACAAATAGAATGAAACTCCAAATCACAACCAAATAGTAAAAATAAAATAATAATCCTTCTCTGTGATGTTTTTTTGTTTATATATACTTTTTATACATATATAAAAATAATTTTGAAAGGTAAAAGAACAAGACACTATAACTAAACCAAACGTAAACCATCTGGGAGTTGTTGATCATGAGACGAGTCTTGGGATATAAACTTACGGCAAGCATAAAGCACTGCAGAATGAAAACCACTTGGGTTGTCTATGAACACAAAATGACCACCCTGCAACATTTCGAACAAACATAATATCACATAAGCATCATTTTCTTCTCTATATTCACCTCTTAAATGTGAAAACAAAAGCCATGTATTTAGAGACTGACCTGTGGAACCCGAATGATTTCGCAAGGGACCTTCATGGATTTCCTCGCTTCCACCGCACCTTGATAGTTCATCCAATCATTCATTCCATAGATAAACGTTGTTGGCACTTTCCACTCTGATGCACTGCACAAAAAAAGAGTCATCGAATTTGAGTATGTAGAAACTCCATCTGCAATGTGCTTGCATCAGATTTGGTGGACATACCTTTGTAAGAGGGGCTTTCGAGCAAATGCTCCAAAGGAGAAGATGTATTTCAAGCACAATTCTCCACTAGCCTTTGCAGCCAAAGTATGGTACACATAATCTACGATACAAAACGAACCATCACTATCAGCGATTGCATTATCATCCTCCATAACTTCTATGGAACTTACAGAATGAATTACATACCGGTTAGCAATTTGGCTTCCTCTTCTGTTAGCACAGTCCCCTCCGAATGTGCACCAAATCTTGCAGTTGTATACCGATTTACAAGACCTGGACCCCAAGGACCTAATCCTCTGTACCCAAAGCACATTTAGAGAAATATAGTGAATATAGTACTCCTGCCAATTAATTTCATTGTCGAACAAGTGTTCCTATGCTCAATTGAGTGCCATAAATTTGTATCAACGAAATAGTATCTAATCAACCTACTGGTGGATGAGAAATGATTATATGAGCATACCTAATCAGCTTCTGAGGAGTGAAATTCGACTCCCATAAATGATTTAGGACTGCACCTTTCCATGTTGCTCTAAATTTAGTGAGCCATTCCGATTTGGCATCTGCTTCTGCTGAGAACCCAGCAGATCCCACCAGAATTAAGTGTTGAACATGTTCAGGATGCTGAAAGATACAGAGATATGCCCAATGAAGATTCAGATATCATAAATGTCAAAACTGTCACCTTTTACTAATGTAGTTGGTTATACCAAATATGAGAATTCAATTCACCTTAAGCGCGTATTTAGCAGCAACATAGCCTCCAAAAGAATGTCCTAATAGAATAAAGTTACTGAGATTTTGGGCTTTACGCCATTCCTCAAAGGAGTCGATAAACCATGCCTCAGTTTCTGCACAATCAAAGAGGGACCAATGCAGTTCCATTACTGGTAAACCAACTCCATATATACAAGCCATTAAGGGTGAGAGGGTTGCAATGAAATTTTAGCCACGGGTCATTAACAGTAGAGGGAATGAATACCTTCTGTGCTTCTACATGTAAAATCAGGCCTACTTGATCCACCCCACCTATGAATAAAAAGATAGAATTACCTTATTACACATTCACAATGTATACAAGAAATAAGAAAACGGGCTGCAACATCCTCGCTTCCATTTTTAAGACATCAAAACAAACAAATGGCAAAAACATGAAATCTTAAAGACTTAAAGCAGCCAAAAGGCCATATTGGGACTAATACATTTCAGGAAGACAAAAGTTGCTTACCCAAGTTGATCAATAGCAATCACCCTAAATCGATTGGCAAGAGCATCGAAATTACGGAAGAAGAAACCTTGAGAAGCAGCATAACCATGAACCATCACGAGTGTAGGAGCTCCCTCCTTAGCATCAAAGGTAACAGTATTGATGTAACGTGACTCATTGCTCGTGGACCTAAACCACCTGATTTTGGAACCTGGTGGTCCTGAACCAATATTGACTTGCTCTTGTACATAAGGCGTCCTGAAGATTATTCATCCCAAATGAGTTAAAAACACAGCTTATCCCTAATCTAGAACCTAAAAAAGCTCTCCTTTTACATTTCCTCCTCTAAGAAACAATGTCCCAAAAACAGGGTTAAACCCAAATTGCAGAACTTTTGTGAACAATCCAATTGAGAGTTATATACCTAAAGCTGTGTAATTGAGAATAAAAATTTGAGCTTGAAAGAGAGAGATGTACTTGAGGATGGAGAGAAGACGTTTCTCAGCGGCGATGATGTAATCGGTGGACGTAGGAATCCACCGGAGCGAATTAGGCCACAAAATTTTCCATCTTGATTTCGCTGCATCCGTTGCAGCCGACGTAGCAGCAGATGAATCAGCCACCGAAGCAGTAGAAGAAGATCCAACCTTCTTTGAGATTTCTTCGGCCATTCTTAATCTCGACGCAAAACGACTCAAGTTCATACAATCACGGAACAAAATCAAAATCCACAAAAATCTAGACTTTTCCCACGAATCAAGGAATCGAGAATTTTGCTACTAAATTTACTTTATATAGAAAAGACGAGACGAGAGGTTTTGCAGCGAAGTCGCTTAAAGGATATATGCTTTTAATTAGTTCTTCACACGTCATTGCGAACGTCACGTCTCCTGCAAAATCACAGAAGCTTCCCGTTGGCAGAATTTGGACCTGTCGGTCTGGTCAACTCTTGAAATAATTAGTCAAATTGTTAGAACAAAGTGATTATAATTAAGATTGTTAAGCAATTAACCTATTAGATTAACGTAAGGTGAAAAGTTGCAATTTGATTCGTATTTTGACTATAATATAGTGAAAACTGAAAACATATCAGAGACACACAAACCGGTTTCAAACAATTTTCCATCATTAGAGTAGTGGTTTAGTCTTCTGCAAAACACCAACAGAAGCTAAAAGGTCTCAGTTTTTCAAACAAAACACTAACAACGATGATCTCTAATCACTCAACCGGTTTAGCTTGAGCTTCTGCTGCAGCTGCTAGTAGTAGTACTAGAACTTGGGTTGTTGGAGACACCAAGACACAGTGCTTCAGCCAATGGTCCACCTGGTGTTGTTGAATAGAGCCATGATGGACCTTCATGGCTAACCCACTGATGCTGGCTTGTTCCCTCTGCTTCCTCCATGCCTCCTCCAGCCATTGATAGTGTCAGAGAGCTTCCCATTGCTTCGTCTTGCTTCCCTTCTACAACAAACCGCCTTGTCTCTTGGTTATGTTGTGGTGTCTCGTTTAGACTCAATAGACCCTGCACTGTTCCAAAGCTCTGGTCTACTATTGGCTCCTTCTGCCTGAAATTTAGATCATAATCGAATCCGCGTTTGAGCTCTCTGCTTGATCCAACCTTCAGCTGGACAGCTTCTTGAATCTCCGGGTTTAAAGTTCCAATGGCATCATCTTCTTTCCTAAACCACCTCAATCCTCTTCACATATCAACAAAAACAAAAGTTTCAATCTTTCAAATGATTTCAAAGGGGAGGGATGTTAATACTTTGACTACAAGAATGTAAGTAAAAGCACCTGTGGTGATCATATGAAGAGGAAGCAGAGGGAAGGGTAGAAAGCACAGGGATCTGGCTTACAGGTTGTCCGTAAAACTGAGGATAAGTTCTCGCAAACTGGCTAGTATTGTTCTTAGTGGTAGGAATGTCATTGTGGTGAGACGATTGGTGAGATGATTCCACATGCTTTCTTGAACGAGGACGGCTCTTGTGTGTGTGTCTCTCACAGTATTTCTGATCAGGAATCACGTTTCTAGAGCATCTCCATTTCTTCCCATCTGTTCTCTTGCATCTCCATGGCTCCAGATCAGCCGAGTTGTTGCTTGTGCTTGAAGCAATCCCAAGCTGCAATGAGCCTCCTTTTGCCACTGCCACTGTTACTGTCATCCACATAGACCACGGCAGATTCTTGTATTCAGCATAAGTACTAAACATTCCACTCCTATGCATCCACTAAGAGGTAACACTTCTAGAAATAACTTGACATTCTAATACCATCATAATGGATTTTAGTTGCATCAAACATGATAACAAGAGAACAAGAAGAACACATGAAACCAAGAGAAGCGTTTAAGTGAAAGGCTAGGGAGATCTAACCATCCGGGTTAGTGTTTGATGGGTGGTTCTTGGTAAAGGGTGTGAGAAGCTCGGGAGGAACAGGAACAGAAGCCATCATGTATTTATATATATTCCTCTGTCTCTCAAGCTCCTGCCATTGAGCTTCACTGAAAGCTGCACCTGTGTCTTCATTCACACTTCTTCTCATTTCTCCTGGATTTCATCCACCAAAATCACATCAAACCAACACATAATAAAATTCAACTTTTCATAGCTACAAAAGGTGAGAACTTGAAACCTGAAGAGCTCAAGGAGAAAAAAGGATCAGCTACAGTCACAGCAGTAGAAGCAGAACCGGCATGAGAAAACATATTACTGTAAGAAGAAGTATATGCCTGATTGCTTGAAACAGAGAACATGGGATCGCTAACACCAGCAGAACAGTAGCACAAAGAAGAATAAGAGGAAGGTGATGAATATGATGGATGATAATGATGATGTGGTAGCACCATAACGTCTTTATGCGAATTTTCTACAACTCCAAATCCAAACCCACCAACAAAATCTTCCTTACGTTCTGCTCTTGTTCCCATTAAACTGAAAACACACAATTTTCTCTCTTTCTATTTCCTGACTCTGTTATATCCACTCAAAAAGTCTCAAACTTTTACCAGAAACACCACCTCTATAAACCTTAAAACCCGATTTAAAAGCTCAACAACACACATACACAGAAAAACAACCTTGGAGATACTCAAAGCTTTATCCTTCAAACAAGCTACACCCAAAAAAATCCAAGAAAGAAAAAAACAGAGAGAAACAGAGAAGAAAAAAGCACTCGGCTTTTCACTTTAGCCTAATTTCCTCAACATAAAGAAAACCTTAAAAACCACCCACAAGAACACAAAGGCTTCCTCTTTTTTCTTGTTTTTTTTGTCTCTCTATTTATCTCAGTGGCACTTCAAAAATGAGCGGATGGGGAGAAAGATTGGGGATTTAGGTTAAAAACTAAGTGAGAGGAGGAGCGGTGTAGCTATTTGAAAGACTCATGAGCCATCAAAAAGCTCTTCTTTTGTTTCCTTAGTCTCCAACATTCGACCTTGTTTCAGAATACAGACAAAAATCTTCATTAACTCTCTCTCTCTCTTCTCCCTGACACAGACAGTAGCATCCCACGTTGTCGTTTCCTACACTAACGCCGTTAACTCTCTCTCCCATCCACCGCCTCTTCAAAGCTTTTTACTTCGACCTTAGGTAACGTCTTTTCATTTTGTCTCATTCTCAAATTACATCGTACCATAATTGATGATGAGGATAAACTTCCGTTAAGTAACGGCGTTTAAAAGAGGGTGCTTGGAGATGTGTGTTGGTAAATAGGACCCATATGAGGAGGTTTCCGTGAGAGCTTCTTCTCATAGGGGACCAGAGAGATGTGATGCTCTAACTAATTTACTCTCTTCGGGTCACTTTCTTAGATTTTACTACTTTTTCACCCCTTTTCTTTTCTTCTTTCTCTTTTTCGACCCCACTACTTTTATGTCTCTCTATTTTCTTCTGATTTAGTTAAATTATCTTCTTTTATAGATCACATGATGATAATTATTGGGGGAAGAAGGGAAATTATTTATTGGGGCAAAAGATGAATTCAAGAATAAAACTACATATCCTTGTTTAATTGGCTAATTCTAGTTTTCTTTGTTTGTGGTATTCGCCTAATTATAGGACCACTCACTTAAGTTCAAATGTCAAAACATATGGACTATTAAGGTCATTTGTTCGTAAGTGATATAGTAGTAGTCTAATTTTATCGGTGGTTATAGTCTTAAATAAAACGTGTTTTTTACCAAAAGAGGACTATAATTTTAAAAGACTCCAGAGTGAACCCCAACTTTTTGAAAATCAGGAACCACTCCTATAAGAGACACTAATACTCATATATAAACTCATGCGGATCTATGATAGGATTTGGTTATATCACAAACACGTTCCAATCTGTAATTCACCGAGACTAGCAATTTTATACAGATTCCGTAATTTGGAATCAAATCTGAGATGTACTTAAGGGGTAAACTATGTACAAGTTATTTCAAAAAATGTGACCAACCTTCCATCAAACTCCTAGTGTAAGAAATTGTAACTTACGTACTGTTGGAACTCATAAATTAAGATCATATAGACAATAATTAACATAAAACATCAAAAAATACATTAGTCTCTCTTGAGAATCGCCCTCAGAATCAGCAAGAGTATCGGCTTTCCGCTTGTCATTGTCAAGACTAGGTTGTGAGCTTCCGCTAGGGTTTCCTTCATGGAATAGGCTTGTCAAAAAACAGGCTGAGCTTCCACTAAGAATTTCCCAATCTGATTGAGTTTCGGATAAGAGAAGACCAAAACCATACAAACCTCCAATACGATGATGACCACGCGATTGTCTCTGACGATTTTTTAAGAGCACAATCACATATAAATATGCTTCTATTTTTTTGAAACCAGGTTTTACATATGCTAATTTTATATGGTAGGATATGCAACAGAAATTTGATGGCCTAAACGAAAAGGTTAGAAGCCAGGGGAAATCAATTTACGCATACATGAAAATGCATGGACTGTCACCCAGTAAGATAAGATAACCAAAATATCCAGATTAATATAACACATAAATATAGTATTGCGTCAAAATCAAAAAACACTCGGAATTGAAAGAAGCAAATTTAATTTGATAGAAAGACATCATACCCCAAAGATCATGCATGTCCTTTTCTTAACCTACGTGATCCGTACCGTTTTACAGTTAGATGTGTCGATTATTTATTTAGCACCGGAATGTTAGGAATTCTTGATATATATTTGTCACAGCTAGTGTAATGGTATTAGTTGTTGCCAATTGGTGGTACGAATGAATAGAGTTATCACATATAAGGAAGAATCAACCATCTCGCCATAGAAAACCTTATACGTCCAGAAGCGGCAAAAAAACAAAGGAAGGTGATGTTGTTTATTGAAACGTCTACGTTGGTCTGAAAATAGATATAATTGCGTGTCATGAAACAAAGAAATAAACGAGTTAGATAAGAAAAAATTGGATTAGCAAGTTTTAGAGGAACAAGAAATGATTATTCAAATGGAAAAGTAAATTAATATATAAAAGATAAAGTTTATTGAAATGAAGAATTGTGCATGATCATTTGATAAAGCCAAGTCATGGACTGATTCTCCTGTTTCACAGGATGGTTCAACCACCACGCACCTCTTTTTCTTTGGGCGTTTAATGACACAACCCACATTTATCTTTTTTTATATCCTTTTTTGTTTTGAATTTATTTGGTTACAACTGTTATTTACCTCTTTTATCCAATCTTTCTCACTTTCTAAGTCTTTTCCATACAAAGTATTTTGTTCATCTGAAGAATTTGGCACCTTTATACATTCAAGAAAGTTTTAAAGGTTTTCACTGCAGACAAGCAATACTTTGTGTGTATAGTATATATATCTGATATAAACATTTTTATATAGAGAATAATATTTATGTGATACAATTATGTACCTCATCTATACATATAGAATGAACAAGAATCCCCAATTTGTCACTCCCAACTTCATTCACAAGTTAACAAAATACACATAGTTTCTCTTACACGCTTTACTATGGAACCTTCTGAATTTGTTTTCAGCAAAAGTTAATTTCCTATTTATTTTTATGTATATTATAAAAAAGTAAAGTTAATTGCAATAAATTCGCCATCTTCCTATCAACATATATAGATTTTCGACAAATTCATATAAGGAGAGTCTAAAATTAACTCACAGCCACATGTTATTTAGCAAATGTGTTTAATACCAGACCGGTCAAACCGGTGGATCCGTGACCTTATATAGTAATTTTAGATTGTCTTTAATAATATCTCACCTTATGACATCATATCATATATTAATCACGTATCATCTATAGACTATATACATTAATACGACTCTCAGATTCTTCGTTTCTCTCCATAATCTTCTATTCTCAACTCTCAAATAGAGAGAGAAAAGGAGATAGACAGAGAGAGGTTCTATATATATATTATAAAGTACATTACACAATTGTACAAGTGGACAATCCATCACGGATCTCTCTTCATATATCTCAAATATATAAAGAAGATTTGTGTATTAAACTCTCTAAGTTTTGTTGAGCCATGGCTGTGATGAAGATAAGAGGAGCAGCGACCGTAGCAGGAACATGGCTAAACGAAGCCGTTAGCTTCGTCGTGTTCTGTATCTTAGACATCGTTGATTCATTTCTTTGTCTCCTCTACAAAGCAGCTGATTATCTCTTCGAAGCCGAGTGGAAGCCGTGCTATTGCTTGTCGGACAAGGAACCCATCACGACAACTCGAGGGAAGATCCTTTTGTCTCACAATAATGGCGAATCCAAGATCCTCACTCTGTCTCCGCTTCAAGAACTCGGGTATATTCATTATTTTTATGTTTTGTTAATTAATGCAAAATGTATTACTATCAGAATTGTCCAAATATATGCTTATTAAAAAAAAAGAACAAAAAAGAGACACTAATGAATCTTTTTAGTCTATTAAAAAAAAGAACAAAAAAGATACACATGAATCTTTTTCGTCTAATATATATATATATATATTAAATAAAAACTCATAAATATAATCTACAGCTATATTTGTTTTACATAATTACATGTGCTAGCTGTTCTGTGTTTTTTTTTCCTTAACGAAATCCTTTATATATCATTTTTTTTTGTCGTCCCTTTATATATCATTTATCATATTTACTATAACATTTGACGTGCATTTTAGAATTACAAATGGTTAAAAAAATCATAACCGAGATCACAATTGGTTCCTTCGGCCAATATTTTCCCTAGACGTTGGATATTTGAAACTTACTTTCGTTTGATTTTCTTGTAGCGGACGTTCCAAAATTGAGCTGGAGGATATCTCCGAGACCCTTTACACACGTCCTTCTCTTATTTCCGACCTCTCTAACATTTCCGAGCTCAATAAGCGGTTCGTTAAGGTTACTCGGTCAGAGTCCGAGTGTAGCGGCCATCATGAGAAGACCAAGAACAAAAAGAGGAGATCATTAACGAAGTCAAGCTTAACGGTGAACATCACGGTCGTTGAGATGCTTCGGGGGAAGATCAGACCACAGAATTTGAGCCACGATATCTCCCGATGGTCGGATTGTGATTGTGGCTTTTGTACATCGTGGGCCTCTACTTCCGACAAAGATCATTCCCTCTTTGTCAAAACTCAAATCCCAAATGGTAAAAGTTCGCATCTTTATTTGAGTATATAACGATTATACAAATTTTTAGCTTAATAAAAGAAAAAAAAAACCTTTTTGGCGTTTTAAAACAATCGGATTCATTACAACAGGGGTAACAGCCAAAGAGGATGTTCTGTTCATACATGGCTTCATATCTTCATCAGCGTTTTGGACGGAGACTGTGTTTCCAAGCCTGTCAGCCTCCTCATCGGCTCATAGACTCTTCGCCGTCGATCTTCTAGGATTCGGCAAGAGTCCAAAGCCAGCTGACTCACTCTACACGTTGAGAGAACACGTAGAGATGATCGAGAAATCTGTCTTACACAAACACAATGTGAAGTCTTTCCACATCGTGGCTCACTCTTTGGGATGCATTTTGGCGCTTAGTCTCGCCGCTAGACACGGCAGCTTAATCAAGTCGCTTACCCTCCTTGCTCCGGTGAGTTAATTAGTTTTAGCATGTTTTGGACTTGTCTTTATTGGTTTATATGCATTCATGAAATAAAATTTACATAATATAGATTGCTTAAAAAGTTTAAAATAACTACCTAATCATCATTACATTGATGAAAAAAAAAAAAAAAAAAGGGGAATATCATGATGGTCACTCAATTTAGCTACTTTCATTCAGAAAGATCTTAGAAGTTAGAACTTTCTAGTTTTTGAATATAAAATTGAAAGTTTCTGTTTTTTAAAAAATGTAGTAAGAAATAAGTGAACAAGCTAGGGAAAGTTTTCAAATCTATTGGTATGACAAAACACATGGTGTAAGTAAGAGATATGTGAGAGGTAGACTAATAAAACACGTGTGCATGTGTACGTGTGGCAGCCGTACTATCCAGTACCGACGGGAGAGAGGAAGCCGAGGCAGTACGTGATGAAGAAGGTGGCGCCGAGGAAGGTTTGGCCGCCAATAGCTCTAGGAGCGTCGATGGCTTGTTGGTACGAACACATTAGCCGTACCATTTGTCTCCTCATATGCAAACACCACCGTGTTTGGCAATTCATCGCCGGTGTCTTGACCCGAAATAACAGGTTTTTATTCTTATCAACTTTTTTATTGATCTGCTTAACCAAATTTCTAATCAAAATTAAGACCTAAAAAAAAATGGATCAAACTATATAAGGCGAGGGAATTCTCATTTGCTTAAGATCCGTAAAGATCTAGAGACTTCAGATTTCAAAGAAATAAAATCAAATGCTTATACTTAACTAGTACACAAAAAGCACCGCAAGAGTCAAAATGTTGGTGGTTTTGTATCACTTTTTGGAGTGTTTTAAAAATTTAGTGATTTAAAAAGTTAGGTTTAGTCTAAATTTAGATTTTTTTTTTCCTGCTTGTGGTTATTAACTTTTTCTAAGTTTAGAAGCATATTCAATTCATAGGAAACAAATGAGGGGTGATGTAGCTAGTTAGTTGCTGTCATCAGTTACCAAACCACCTCCAAATGACTAACTCTACTTACAAATTTAATTCGTAGCCGCATCTGGTCGCTGGCTAGTTAGTGTCTACTCATTTTACGATTATTAAATCAAATTCATTTACATATATACAAATTTAGAGATAGTACAACTCTATGTGGTATTAGCTTGACCCACAAGTTACATCAAATAACCAAAAATAGAGAGCCACGTATTTTGACATGCCATCAGTATATCTCCGCTCATTGGAGAAGAGCTCTAAGACAAATGGAGACTTAGGCAACCAACCTGACTCTAGTGTTATGCTAAATTTTAAAATTCCAACCTAAGTACTTATTGACTATGTGTAATTGGAGCAATTGAAATTGATTGTACTTTTGAAATGTCTAGGTTGGTTGATCGGCCTATTTCAGTGACATGTCCATAGAGATTTTACGATTCAATTCTATAGATTCCACTTTTTAGGTATTAAAAGTAATGGTTTAGAAATAATGCTCTCGTCCTACCAAAACAACCAACCCTTCGAGATTAAATAAAATATAGAAAATGGAAGAAAAATCCTCCGATTAGTGCTACCAGATATGAGTTCAACTCCAAAATCAATAGCTATTAATTTCTTAATTAAAAAAAAAGAAGAATAAAATTCAATCAAGTTTAAATAATGATCATCAGGAATAAGTAAATTAGCTATGATGAGAAGTGATGAGAATACACCAGCCATGCAAACTCTATGACTCTTTATTGTTTTTATGATATAATTAATGACTCATTATTGTTGTAGGGCATATGTTGATTTATTAATAAGTACGAAACTACATTTTGTCATATCATCTAGTTTACTAGTAGCTAATAATAAATTTTCTCTATCCAGGACTGTAAACTTTTTAATAGAAGGTTTCATGTGTCACACGCACAACGCAGCGTGGCACACACTACACAACATTATATGTGGGACAGGAAGCAAACTCGATACGTATCTAGACATCGTACGAGATAAACTAAAGTGCAACGTGACCATCTTCCACGGAGGAGATGACGAACTCATCCCTGTCGAGTGTAGCTACAACGTTAAAGAGCGGATTCCTCGAGCACGAGTTAAGGTTATTGAGCACAAAGACCATATCACCATGGTCGTTGGCAGACAAGATGAGTTTGCCAGAGAGCTCCAAGAGATTTGGAAGACTTCTTCTTGCTAAGATTATATATGTTTGATGAGAGCTTGTGATTTATTATGATTGTTCTATGTAAATATGTAATGGGTTGGTAAAAATATTCATAAAAGTTCTATCATTACAAATTAAGGAAATCCTTATGTATCATGAGATAATCCAGGAAATGGAGTATTAAATAATAATGTTTGCATCTGTTTTATGCTAATTCATTCACCATATATTAATATTTTTCTGTTCATATATAAATAGGTATGCCGACTTTTAACTTTGGTATGCCTTCTTTATTTCGACCTTTTTGACCCATTTACATAAACGATATCAGATTTTTTTTTTAAAAGATAGAAGAGTTTGTCTACAAATTTAATTCTTATATATGAAGTTCAAAATATATAGTCATCATTGTAAAAATGTAGACAGACATAAGATATTGCAGTGAGGTTTTTCCCTTTTGGTTTATACTACAGTTTTCTTTATAATGTACTCTTCTATAAGTTCATATCCTAGAATTCACTTTGTCAAGTGATGATACCTTATCTGCCTCACACAATGATGGCCCAACGTACATCTTAAGACTGAACAAAATCTAATCGAAGAGAAACAAACATTTGACACTGTATAGTAAAAGACTTAACAAAATCTAATCGAATAAAAATAAGTACTCTATATACTCCTACCAGTTAGTCAATACATATAAATAACATCTGACACTTTTTTGTTTTGTTAAAATAACATCTGACACGTTATGCTAAAAGACTAAACAAAATCTAATCGAAGAAAAATAAAATTAGATACTCATAATTAACAGTTACCCGATACATAATTAAACAACCGCAAATATATTTTTTCAGATTTGAACGTCATAAAGTTATTCTATTAATGTCTATACTCCGTACGTATAATTTGTTTTCTCAATGGTATACTTATATTTGCATGTGAATTAGGCGATGATTCCCTTGAAGTTGGTCAGATTGGTTGAACAAATTCACCAATATTAATGAATGTCTTGGACCCATCCAACCATATTATTCCGTCACTTTAAAGCTTTTAATGCATACCCATATTCAGTAACAAAGTGAATGAAATTTTGGGAAAGTGCTCATTCTATGATCCGGAAGACCCTCACCATTACCAACGGACGTAAATTTTCACTTTCCAACAAATATATATCGATTTCTTATTTTTCAGTGTTTACGAATCATGTATTGTCTATATGGATGGTTAAGTATCCCACATTATAATTAACGATTCAAAACTCTACAGTTTCAGGGAATATCGCTAGCTAGTAGTTTGACGAGATTTGTATTTTGGACAGGGCTTTTTGTTAAATAATTGTGAATATGTTTTTGACACGACTCTCTATATGTTTTCGGCCGGTTATATTTGAATCCCTACTCTACATGTGAATTATTATAGTGCATTTCCGTTATAATTAGTACATAGTTTTCGATTTACTAACATTCGTTCAACGTCCACTGTAAGGCGACTTTCCAAATCAAATGTCCACTTATAGAAATATATAGTTGCGAGATTTTTTAAATTATGGTTTCCTATTAAAAAATTACATAATTCTATAAATAAAATTTGTGAAGCATATCAAATTTGAATTTTTTTACTATATCGATCGTTTCAATTATAAGTTAAAGTCCATAAACACAAATCAAAATTTACTTCACTTTATAATTATCAAAATAAAATCTCACATATAGATTGAAAAATATTAAAGACTTATATATGAATAACGTTTTTAGGTAAAATAATCAACGCTCCCAGAAAATGTATTATTGATAATGGCATAGAGCAACCTTACAAGATATTAAAATAAAAATTAAAAAAGCATCCCAAAATGTAATTATAATTATCATAATAAAGAAGAAGTAATGAATAATTATTAAATGGTTTAATTTTTGGGATTCTCCAAGTAAAAGTTGCGTTTCTCTTCCTCGTCCATGAATGCGGTAACGGGGAAAGACTTGCCAATTCCCATAGGAGTCTTGAAGTAAATCTTCTTGCTTTTTGGCTCCTCCATACTCATCTCCACGATCGGTACCCACAAAAACATCTGCTTACTCTTCACTCCTATACATATACACATATACATATTCATAAATAAATCTATAACGATCCATATATATAATAATAATTACTTGGAGTAGTACACATACCTGTCATCTTCTTCATACAACACTTGTCGACGTAAGCGGTGACTTCGAGACCGTAGGAGACACGAGTGTTGGTGGCTTCGAAGAAATGCTCGTAAGGAGTGTCTTGCTTCATCCAAACGTAACCCGTGGCTCTAACCCTTCCACACTCCACAAGATTCTTCAAAGGCATGACTCCTTTTGGAAACCCTAGCTCCTCTAGAAGCTCCAATGATTGCTTGTAACATTCCTCCGCTCCGTACACGATCTCAGCCCCTTCTCTCTCCCCTCCGACAACTACGACTCCCTCGCTCGCCATTTAGTTACGATTTCTAAAATTCTACAAAAAAAAAGCTAATGTTTTCTTCAAATATGAAGAGGAATTTATATAATGTTTGTGGTGGAATTTTGGAAGATAATGAAATAAAAAGAAGATGGGGTTGGTGGTTGAGCGGTGGGTTGTGTGAGTTATTTATTTGGTTTGCCTAATTCTCTCTCTTGTTACTTTCATGTGGTTTTTGTTTGGTTACCTAATTGTCCATTTATTTGGTCAAAGTGAATTAATATTTCTTTCTTAAGAATAGTCAAATACATCTTGACCTATTTAGTAGATGATGAATATTGTGGGATTTTATTCCTAAAAGATGCTTATTGAATTAGGCAATTTATTGAATAGAATATCATAACAAAATCTTATCTTATTTATCATTTTAAATTGAAATCTAGTGTTCTTTATTTTAAAATACTAAAATCTAGTGTATTCAATCAATGGTCAAGGATTTCTTACTACTATATACAAAAGAAACAAATGTATAGGGGTTTATTGTGAAATTATTTGGTTTTAAATAGCTGGTTTTATTACATGTTGTTACACCAACTCACCATTATTTAAATTTATGGGCCAAGCCCATAACTATTTCAGAGATACCCAATAGAAGATAACCGGACCTATAAGTGTGCTGATAACCGGAAATGCAACAGATCTAGATGTATTGACAAATTATACCAAAGCAAAAAAACAGAGCACGAAGATCATCCGGATGAATATTATATTAATTATCTGTAACAAGTTTATTTTGATTAAACAACGATTCCATGTAAGTAGACTTTACTCTTAATTCCTAGAAAAAGAGATGTTCTTGTTCAGAAGTCCTCTTCTAGTTATTCTAAGAATAGGATGAGTTTAATAAACCTTGACGTCTTCTAACTACTCTAACATCATAAGTCTTCTTATCTCTTTGACTGATCCTATGAAGCTAAGAACTTCATACATATCGGAGGCTTTACTCCAGCGAGTGCAAGCACCGCCGCAGGTAAAGTCCAAAGCCCTTCGCCGCAGATTAGCCCTGAAGCCACCGCCGGAACCATAAACTCTGCTTTCTTCCGATTTATCTTCTCCCAAACAAACACAATCAAAGTCCCAACACACATGTCAATCGCGAAATAAGCTCCGACAAGAAACGGAACAGCCATAGCCGTCGGAAGCGGCATGAACCTCCCAATCTTCGCCGGAGTAAGATCCCTGACGACGTTGACCAAAACAGCAAAACCGAAAAACCCGTAACACATTTGGAGACAGTGAAGAGGCAGAGCAGAGAAGCCTTGCACCCCAAGAATCGCCATGTTTCTGTAAATCAAAGCGTAAGGAGCCTTGAATTCTCCGTTAGGGTTTCCAACGTCGAACGCTTTGTAGAACAAGAAGAAACTTAACGGCGTCACGATGCATCCAACTACCGTTCCGATCATTTGGCTAGCAAACATAGCCTTAGGTGAAGTCATCGTGTAATGAGCCGTCTTGAAATCTTGCATCAAAATACAAGAAACCGAAACAACTGATTTGATCAGTCCACAACCGGCGAGTCCAGCTACAACTCCATTCTCTCTTCCCGTCACAGCCGCGATAACAAAAAGACCGATTTTGCCGTAGTTATAAGCCATGTTAATGTCGGTAAGTCCAGCTCCATAAGCGTTACAGAAGGCGAGAGAAGGCGCGAAAATGTAAGCTACAATAACGTAATACCATTTGAGCTGAGGAAATATCAGAGGAATCACGACCGTTGAGACCGCAGCGAATGTAAGATATCCGGCAACTGCGAACCACATCGGGATCTTATCTCTGAGGAAATTCTCATCTTCCTTGAGATCTTTCCGCTGTTTCTTGTGACCCACGTCATCTAGATCATTAGGTTTGTTCTTCAATCTTGCGTTGACATTGACAATGGTCACAAAGATGATCTTAACGAAAGTGTAAAGACCATCGCCGAGGATTAGAGCTACGGATAAGAAGACTTTGTAGCCGTATATGCTCTTCATGTTGTGTTCGTCGAGATTCTCAGGGAACCAAGAGCCTTTGAGTTTGTCAAGAAGAGGCCACATTAAGCCATAAGAGAGTATAGCTCCTAAAAGCAAAGAAAGGTTAACCAAATGTGAACAGATCATTCCTGCTCCTACAAATGTCATGCTGAAATCAAAGTAAAACCTGAAAGAAGAAGATTTTAATTAATTAATATATGATTCAAGAACATGATTCACTGGTTTTCCCGAAAAAAAAAAACTTGATTCACTGAAATATGTCTGTTTTTTTTTTTTTTTGGTAGAATTATGCTTACGTTTGTTTCCAAGCTTTCAAGCCAAAGGTTGGGAATTGAGCAAAGCCACAATCTTCAATACCAGAGAAAAACCACTGGAAGAAACCCCACAAGAAACTAAATGAGAAGTATTTCATGAAACCACGCACTTGTTTCCTGCAAATCGATTCCAATTAAAGATTAGGAAACTTGAGTAACAATATCACTTATTGTAAACTAGGTTAATGGACTTACTTGGCTTGAGCATCTCCTTGTGTGTGGAAGCCATTGATGAGAACCGCAGTAGCTAAACCACTCGGATATGTTAATTTAAGGTCAACAATCATAACCTTTCGGAGAGGGATTAGAACAAAAAGACCGATGAAACAGACAACAAAGAGATAAGCAGTCATCCAACCAAGGCCAGGTTCTTTCACACTCTTTGGAGAGTTACCTTCCAAGTTCACACCAGACAACACATATGTCTTATGGTTTAACCCCAAAAGATATGAAGCAAACCCACCTGAAAGAAAAGAAAAAAAAATACTCAAAAATATTTTTAATCAAAATTTCACAACTTAAATTTTATATCATACACACCCCCAAAAGCAAAAGCAATCTCAACCCTTTTTTTGTTGTGACTCAACCAACCCAAAAGTTTTTCAAAAAGTTCATATATTTTAATATGTTTGGAACTGTTTTACATATCCTTTCACTGAATCTTTGCTTGTTTACCAAGAAAAAAGAAACTATTAAAAAGGAAATAAAAGCAATTTATGTTCTTAACCTCCAACGGCAATGCCGTAACAAGCAACAGCAGATGTCTGAATCATGGTGTTCTCTTGTCTTGTGAATGGTTTCGCGACAAATCCTGATTTCTTGAGAATCTTAGTCCAAGTCTGGACAAAGACAAAAGCCAGTAAAGCTGCAGAGCTGTTGAGATTTGGAACAATCCCTGTCGTGAGATTTAGCTTCTGAGCAATTACACTGAACACAACTCCGATCACTATGCTCACTAACACTCCTCTCACCGTTAGCTGCTTCGTCCACGGTTCGTTTGTCCTCCCAGACATCTCTTCCTCTGTTTCTGGTTCTTCTTCCTGTAGTGACAGCTGATTGTTATCTTCTTCTTCTTCTCCTTCTCTCTTCATGATCTTTCGCTGCTCTATTTCCATGGAAACTGAATTTATCTTTTATACTTATAAAAACCAGAATTTTTAGGAATATGAAACTTTGCTTTACAAAAAATACTTGTTTTTGGTTTGGAAGAGAATATAAGGAAAGCTAAAGAACTCATTGTCTCTACCCTCTTAAGTGCGCATGTCCGACACGCGCATTGTCCCACGTAGACGAATCCGTCAAAACACAAACGCCAAAGTTGTAAACGCAAATTCTGTGAACAAAAGTTGGGAGAGATTTGGTATACAAGTCAAGTGGCCAAGTAGATTGTCGTTAGCATCTTGTTCTAAAAGGACATTTAATGACATTTCACTTGTTTTGTAAGAATCTTTGAATTTTTATTACAGCCAAATGAAAGTGTGTGGTTGAAGTGGATGCAATGATTTAAATGTCTTTTTTGATCAAGAGGGTTTGAAAACAAAATTGTTTCCACAATCACATCGTCCATAATTAAATGTCTCGGACAGCATTACGTGTAGAAATTCCACTCTCCTTAAATTTGAGTTACTTTTCAAAGATAACCATTATAGCTAGTTTTGACTTTTGAGTAGAAACTTTCGAAACTGGCCTAGGTTTATGTCCACGTAAAAAGATATAATGCTGCGACACTCTAAGTTAGATTAGTTTAATAAAGACATAAGACTCATAATCTGACAATCACAGGTTAAATTAGTTCTTTCTCCATTGTCAGTACTCGAATTCATAGGCTCTGATTGGTAAGGTTTCTCTAGAGTAAACCAACATGGCGCACCATATGTGGAGTAAAATATATTTTTGTAATCAAGGAATTTTTTTTCATCTTAAACTTTTACTCTATAAAAGGAAAGTAAATACTTACGCCAAATTAATGGTTCTACATAATTTACTCCAATTTATTTACGCCAAATATGACATACCAATCATGTCTATAATTCTGAAAATTCTCTAGTTTAAAAATATATAATTTTACATGAAATCAAAATTTTGATATAAACCATAAAAAAAAAAACTCTTCATCAATTAAAAAGAAGGTTAATGATTATCGACAAGTCGAATCTTTACTAAAGATGAACAATTTACACTTTTTAGAAAAAACTATTTTATATAAATAACATACATATATGCCTATAACCTTAAAACATATTCGAAATTTGATATTTGGTTAAGATAATTATAAAATTTTATGATCAGGACATGAATATCCAGAAACCCATAATTGCAGAATAATTGAAAAGTAAATGTATATAGATGCTATAATCGATAATTAAGACGAAGGATTGCGTAGAAAGAGAAACGTAAAAACAAGAGAAGAAGAGAAAGTGCATTGTCTTTGTCGTGACATGTGGAAGTATCAGTCTTATGGTCCATTGAGCCACACTCATTTAGAATTGTCAATGCCATACGGGGTTAACTTTAGCGAATGTTCTATTTAATATCAATCGATAATGGGTTGATCATTACATTACTTTAGGTCTCACCTTATTTTTGATATAAAGTTCCTAACATATATCAATACTAAAAAACGATAAATCAGTCACAAGATAAAATTAGTAATTAAAATCTAATAGTGGGTACAAAGCTGAAACCAAAACACTTTAAACTTTTCAACTAACATGTTGCTTTCTAATCAGACATAAAATGCGTGTATTATATAGGGATTAGGCCTAGTAGGGATTAGATTCGCCCACTTATTATCTAAAACTGAGGAAAACAAAACAAAAAACATTTCAAAAATATATATAGAGTGGGGATATTGATAGGTGGATGGAGACGAAAGAAGAAAAATGAATACTACTCCTTGACACCATTCATTTGAGAAAGAATCTCATTCACTCTTAAAGTCACAACTTATCCTCTTATAGCCCTACATTGACCCCAAACTATATATGAAAATGACTTCTTTTTGACCCTTTGCTAAAACTCTATTTCTTTTTTGTTTGTTTTCCATCTAATTTCTGCGTTTGCGTCCAAACCGCTTTTACCAACAGCGTTTTATCAACGAGTACTACATTTTTTTCTGAGAGTACTATATTCTTATCAACGAGTACTATATTCTTTACTTTCATTGTCATCAGAGCCGTGCTAACATTAACAGATAGCGGAAGCGATAAAAACTAGAATGTCCTAATTAATTAAAAAGTTGAGTGTAAATTTTTTTTACAAAAGAAACAGAGTATGTAAAAAAAGGAGAAACATAAATAATTTTATCTAAGCAGAAAACTTTGATAAAAGAAAAGCTTTGTCACTAAAATCAACTTGAACCATCATAAGCCGTAACTAGAGATAAACCGAACAAACCTCTCTTTTTCTCCTAATTAATAATTATAGTATTTATAATATTTAATATAAATATATATAATTGCTTAATTATATTTAGAAGCAATGAATGCCCTTAAAACCTTCAAAGTTGATAAAATATTATGCCCTTAATTTGTTTTTAAAAAATGGATGCCATAGGCCAATGTTTCAAATTCTTGCACTATGGCACGGCCCTGATTGTCATGTTACCCTAAGTTTGGTATCTTGGTTTTACCTAAATTTTGTTTTTGTTCGAAGGCTACCTTTAGTTATTTTAGTAACTAGTTGGGGAAAAAAATGAGAGAAAAATTAATGACCATGTTCTTACTTACTTGCCCATGTTACCCTAAATTCATTTATCACTATGAATTAGTATAATGAGCGTAAAATATCAGTCACATGCGTCAGTGTAAAGTTTCGTAGTTAACACAACTTTGCATTTATGTGTCCATTTGTATGTAGTCCGTGTTTGACACCTAGAATAATTTTTTGTTATGTATAAGGACAAACTATACGGACTATTATATCTACTTGGTTTATTGTTTTATAATCTCAATTTGCAGTGTCCAAAACAGATGATCACATTTTTAAACTCTATGAAAACCAAAATCATAAATATCTAATGTCGAAATTCTGTAGTGTTCAATATAAGGTACGAATCCTTTTTTTTTTTGTGTGGTTAAGTTTCAGTTAATTTTCGGGTTCAAAATACTTCCTTAAATTAAATAGAAAAAAATCCAATTGAAAGTGAATATCGTCATAGTTTCAGTATTAGTTTTTGACATGGGTTTGGTTTCCTAACAAAATACATCATGAATCTGAAAATGATTCATTGTGTTTTTTTTTAATCTTAATTTTTCGTTTAAGCATATAGCACGTATTAAAAAACGAATAATCGGATATAAAAGTTGGTCATGGTCTTGTTCTATATCCCCACTCTAAAAGATAGATATTTGATTGTTTGTTTTTAAATCCCCTTCGTCCAGTCGATTCATGGGCTGAACGAAAAGACGTATTTCGACATTTATTTGAACCAGATTTTTATATCGTAAAAGGCCGGCCCATTAAGGACAATCCTATAGAACTATTTAATAATTTTATATTAACACGTTAAAAGCAAATTCGCTTTTGAAGAAGTGTGCGAGTTGAAAAGAGAACCCAAAACCAGCGGCTCAAGATCATGTGGGACCTTTATATAATATAAAAATCATGTCTAATCATTACAGCCAAAAATAAAAATATCTTCCAAGAAACAAACAAAAAAAAGTTAACATTCATTCATGTATACTACATGTATCAAGAAATTATTGAACTAAAAATGTATTATATCATTACATTTGACTACTTACTTTCTATAACAACAAATTCTTGTTGGAAATCGTCGTAACTGCAATTGAATCGAGCAAGCTTGTAAACTACGTTCAATCAAAATATAAATTATATATATATATATATATATATAAATTATAGCTAGTATTAGCTTTTTAAGAGTTTAGTTTGGGATTCATCTTGGGATTACTTTAGTTTCACTAATTCTCTTAAACCAAAGCGAACAGAAACGACAAAGGAAAAAGAGGAAGAAGACAAGTTGTGAGTAGAAGACAAACAAGCAAAGTCTGCACACAATTGTGCAACTCAAGATGAGAAACCACGTTCACAAAATAATGCTCGCTGTTGATATTTTATAGACCACCGATGCAAATCATGCAACCGTGAAGTGATGATGAAGCCACACGCTATTTCTGATTTTGACCAGAATTTATATTTTTAAACAATTACTAGGACATTTTCGTCGTGACGTCCACGTGAGCACTGAGCAGCCAAACCGCGTGCCACCCCTAGAATTCATACAAAACAGAGTCACAAGTCGCCACCTTTCTCTATGTTTCCCTCTTAAAAAAAGGCCCATCCTTTCACAAGTTTAGATCAAAGTATACACGAGAAAGAATCAGAGAGTTTTCTGAAGAACCCAAAAGAGAGAAATGTGTAGATCGCCGGATTTCGAGCGTTATGTTGAGAAAGAGAGCTTAAAGGTTAAAGCTTTCTTCGTCCGGTTCACTGGTTTACCCACACGAGAATTCTTACCGGATTCTCTCACTCTTCTCTACCCACCACGAATCAACGAAGCTGCTTTCGAGCTTGATGGGTCCAAGATCCGACCCGATTCTCCAGCTTTTGTGACGCTTCACAGAGTCGTGAAAGGAGGAGACGTGATTTACGGGTCTAGAGAACGGGTTCGGGTCTGGGAAGGGATCCGTTTCGAGGTGTACATGAGTGAGGAGAGGGTGATAAAAGGTATTTTCAGAAAAGAAGAAGTGGACAAGTGGAAACTTGAGTGCGAGTGCGAGATGGAGGAGGAAGGTGCGGCGGAGGTTGTTGTAGCGGCGGAGGGACACGTGGCGACGGCGACGATGGCGAGGAAACATAGGAGGAGAAAGCAGAGGGTTGGGTTTGAGTGTTTGGAGGAGATACCGGAGGAGAGAGAGGAAGGGAGGGAATCTGACGGCGGCGTGTGTTTTTGCACGTGTAGCGGCGGCGAATCCGACGACGGAGAGGGGGGAGAGTGGGAGGAGGTGGAATGGACGGCTGAGATGGAGTCTGAGACAGAGGGAATGGGATGGGCCGTTGATTTGGGGATTTGGGTTATGTGTTTGGGTGTGGGCTATTTGGTGTCTAAAGCCTCTACCAAAACCTTGACAAGTGGGAGAAGAAGAAGGACAAGAACTTTCTTCTAATGTCTTGTTTAATCAATCAGTTTAATTGTACAATAACGTTGGAACATAAATGTAAAAAACCATGATTTTGATTACAAGAGGTGATAGTTCATTTTTGTTTGAACATTGAACGTAGAGAAATGAACATTCTAGTTTAAATTGAATCCCCTTAAGCCTTTAGTCTTGAAAAATTAAGCAAATCAGAAGAATTTTTCTTAAGAATCTGATGAATGAATAACACAATTACGTCAATCAAGTTGCATTTACAAATTATATAATACACAAAAGAATCCGAAAGATGAGTTTTCTCCTTTCTCTCACTAGTAAATTATATGATACACCAAACAAAACAACAAAAATTGATCAAACGTGTGATAATAAATTCATAAGTATAAGCAAATATATGGGGTTGAGATCCCAGAGGAACTTTCTTCTCCTTTTTTATTTCTGTATTCGTTTCTGTTGTCTTCAACTATTAGTTTACATCAGAAGCAGACATCGGTTGTATGTTGTTTTCGTCGTCATCATCTGAAACCTACACTGAACCCAACTGAAGAGATTGCTATGCTCTTTGCTTCACTGTCTCTAAGCTCTTGTCTGGTTCTTACTATTATAACCAAAAGAGACTTCACTCTTTCTCCTACAGGTTCTGTGCAGTTTAGTGTTTCCAGTGTCGCTTTCCCTTCTGCTTACACATGTTCGCGACCTGTAAATGCTTTCAATTTCTGTTGCAGCTGTACACAAACATAAAGGAAACAATTGCTTGATTACATAAAACACAACAAGCGGATAATTGCGTTCTAACGAGTTGAAAATATGTTTAACTTACTTGGCTGTATTTTGATTTCTCTATATCCAGTTCCTCCGTTAAGTCATCCAGCCTGAAAATTTTAGCAGTTAAAAAGCTTGCAGGAAGATGCACTTAGAAAGACTAGACTAAATCATAATCTAGAAACAAAAGCTTTGCTGGAAGAAGGGGACTAACCTAGCACGGAGGTCAGATATACTGCTAAGAAGTAACCTCTCCCTCTCAGAAGCCACAGGTTCAACCTGTTATCCAAAGTAATATTTACATAGCTGTGCACAATATCTTTGATGAAATTTTTGAGAACATATCTGATAAATCAACTTACATTTCCATTACTATCTGAGCGAGGCAAAGGTGGTAACTTCCCAGATTGAGAACCTATAAGAAAGATGAAGGTGCCGTTACTGAATAGTCTTCATCAATAATAACGTCACAACAGATTGAAGTATACTTGTCTATCCTACCTTCTGTTGCCTCCGCGGGTTGTATGCTATTCAGTAAATTCATAATAAGATCCTGCAGCGAAATAATTCAATTGCAGTAGTTAAGATCCTGCTAAATAGTTAATAAGAGATAAGTCCCATGTCTTGATGGATGTTCCTCACCTGTTGTATTGAGTTTTGCTGGAATAGATGTTGAAGTTGAGGCACGATAAGTGAGGAAGACGTAGGATGGCTACTATGCTCCTTGATGGTCTGAGGCTGAGCTGTTGGCTGCAGGATATAAAACAAGACTAAGATTAAGATAATGAATTCTCGTTACTCACACTGAGTAAAATCAAAACTACAAATGAATGACTTGAAGGACACTTTGTGATGGCAAACTGACCATTTTGGGCTCAAGTATCCAGTTACCCACACTTGCAGATTTTCTCAGAGGGGCCGCCTGGAATTTGTGTATAATTTATCAGGTAATAATTCAGGTGAAGAATCAGTCTACAGTAATAAGCAGAGACAAGATACCAACCTGTGGAGATCGACGAGGGACAATACTTAATGGAACATCCTAGAGTACATTGTATGGTTAGTTACCGTTAAAGAAATTGGAAAACAAATAGTAGTAAATTAAATACCAACCTTCGCAAGATCTACATTTCCTGATGTTACTGAAAATCGTCCTTTCTGAACCAGATTAGCCTTTGATTTATCATCCAGAGAATCACGGAATCCTATTCGAAATGGACAAAACACTCTTTAACTCAACTGCAAGAGAAGCAATAAACCCACTAAGCTGGACGAAGACTGCCAATGTCACTTGCTCACCTCCAGAGTATTTAATGGGAGCTGACAAACTGTTTGAAGAAGCACGGGTTGAAAGATTCAAAGGACCACTAAAGCTGGGTGCTCTTCGGACTGTTGATGCTGTCTGCTGTTCACTCTGGGATCTAGCAGATAGAAAAATAACAAGTTGGATTGTTTGAAAGTTTCTATATATTGGACAAGCAGATCTGAAGTGTAGTCTCAAACAGCAATTAGCAAATGTCAAACCTTTCAAAGATATGCCCTTTTTCTGAAGCCGAGTGGCTTAATACGGTCTTGCTTGTAAGTGGTCCACTCAGGCTTTGGCGTCTTACTGGCTTAACCTTGGCCTCGGGAATGCCATGCTTTGAATTTGGTGACATTCGTTCTAAAGAAGAAGCAGTTGTAATGAAAGTGAATTTCTCTTCGCAGGTTGGTTCTTCCACCTCAGTATTGGAAACCTTTTCTTTTCCGTTCATGGTTTCATATAGTTGCAGACTATCAAATACTTGCACTCTGTCATTCACCTGCAGGGGTTTTCTAAGATATGTTCAGACCACCGGACTTGGATACCAAGGAAGTGAAATTTTATATATGCCTTTTTCTGAATTTTATTACTCGCCTTGTTAAACTGTGCACATAATATTTCTTCATCTTCCTTACTCTCTTCTAGATCATCATCATCAATTAGCTAGTACACACAAAAACAATACAAGAACAGGGATTATGTGATGAAACCAATGAACAAAAATTAAGGATGGTGCAATCACAAATTACTTGCGAGAAGTAAATTACCAAAGATGCTTGTGTTTTCAAGTCTCTGACGTCAAAATTCCAAGCGCTCACTCCTCTTTGGTATTCGCTCTGACATTAAAAAAATTGTTTTACGCCCACTCTGCAAATTCGACTCATAAAGTATTTAGGTAATGTTGTCAAACTAAGGGGTGTGTCACCTGTGATTTAGCTTCCTCGTCAGCAGTGGCCATTCTCTTTAATGCCAGCTGTTGAGCATCCTTATCCTGTCATGTAACAACCCGATCAAAAACGTACGAACATAATCATTTCAACAAAAAGGCTGAAACACAAAAAGAACATGGCTAACCTGAAGAGATTTTACACGTGTCCAAAGGGGTGGTAAATCGGAAAATAACTTTTTCACAGAAAGCTCTGGAGGCCTTGTGTGTTTGAAACAGGAGTGCTTGAGCAGTTTTTCAGCAGTTGGCCTTTTTGTTTGATCTTTCACCAAACACATTGCAACCATTTCTTTAAAGGACTGGGCACAACTGAAAGTCCTCTAGTTAGTTTAGTAAAACTTTGTTGCAAATGAAGAAAACAGAAAATTCAACAAAAGTATAACAACATAAGGAATTCACCTAGAAAGAACACGAGTACCTTAGAAAATTTCTTATCACGATCATAATCAAGACCAGGAGGTGCGTTTTGAATAGTCATTAGAAGCACCTGTAACCAGGGGAAAAAAAGAATCAGAACCGTTTTAATAGATGCAAATATAGACATAGGCCAGAAAATAGATAATAAGCACCTTCATGGGGGGATATTTTGAGAAAGGTGCATGACCATGGGCCAATTCAAGCGCTGTTATACCAAATGACCAGATATCAGCCCTGTTAAGAAATGACAGAAGAACAACTAACCAATAAGCTATTATTGCATTTCTTTGTTCCACAGTATAAACATAATTGTTGTGCATCACCAAGCAAATATGTTTACATTCGGATTAGAGGCAGAGTAGTTTGACAAGTTGTCTTAACATGCATACATACCAAAGTGAGCTACTTTCTATATTAGACAAGGAAACAAGCAGAAAATATAAATGTTTTATCTAGCATTTGAGCTTAAAGTATGGACTCACTTGGAATTATATCCATTTCCCGGCTGCAAGACTTCCGGGGCCATCCTAAAAACAGAAACAAGAGTTTAAATGTAAACCATTGAATATAAGAGTGATGATAAAGTACAAAAAGAAAGGAGTTTAATAACTAACCAGCAAGGAGTACCAACAAATGTGTTTCTTGCACGTTGCCTATCACCGTTGTCAAACAAGCAAGCAGAGACGCCAAAATCGCCAAGCTTAATCTCACCATTGTCATCAAGAAGTATGTTTCCAGCCTAGGTTGAAAGAAACAACAGAATTCGAATACATTATATGGATGGCTAAATATAAAGTCCAGTGAGCTGAAAAAGTTTCACTTTTTACCAACCTTAACATCCCGATGTATATGGCCTTGCTTATGAAGATAATCAAGAGCTTTAAGAGTTTCTTTAAGAACACAACATATAGCCGACTCTTCAAATCCGTCTGAATATGCAGTCTTCATAAGATGCAAACATGAACCTTGCGCCATGAATGGCATAACAACCCAAAGGCTATGGTCGACAGAAAATGAACAAAACGACTTTATAACGTTGGGATGATCTATCAAACTCATAGTCTGAGTTTCCCTCCTAATATCATCCTATAAACCAAACAAAAATATACATTAATTCACAGAACAAGAGATCTACAACAAATGGAAACCATTCTTATGGAGCAGAACAACTAGTCTTAGTCCTCTCCAATTTGTATGGAGCAGCATACTTTGCCATGATTTTGAAATTTTCACTCTACAAAATCAGATTCCAAACAGAAATCTACACCTAAACACATAGAGAATCGTGGACATATAAAACGAGCTCAAGCCTCTTCTAATTCATAAGCAATAAGGCCAAGGAAAACGAACCAGATTGCTATTGCAGCGATCGAGATCCAAACATTTGATGGCGACGACTTCATTAGTTGGGAGATAGATCGCTCGATAGACAACAGCGCTAGCTCCATGGCCTATCTCTTCCAAAAGCTTATAGTCTTTTGGATTCAAAGAGAAACCTCTCTGCTGCTTACCACTACCAACACCACGGAAAACACCACCACCACCACTACTACTTCCTCCTCCCACCATCTTCTTCCGTCGCTTTAAAACCGCCCTGAATACCACCAAATCAAAAACCAGCAATTTCGTCTTCAGATACAACAAATCAAATGAATTTAACAGAAGAAGAAACAAAATCTGGAGCTGAGAGAGAGAGACTAGTAGTTTACTCGAGAACAAGTCGAAATCCCATTGAAATTGGATACTAATTTTTTAATTTTTGTATAAAAATAATAATTTCAGCTCTATTTTCACTTTCGCTGCTATATTTTTCTGATCAGTTGACCTCCACGACAAACGCGATTGAGAGCGATACAAAGAGAAAAGAACTGTTTTTGCTGACGTGGTAAATCGGTAACCTTCTAAGATTATTACACGTGTCTTTAGTATAAATAATGAATGGCTAGGAATGGCCTTGACCCCATCTACCTCTATGGTTAAGTTCACAAGTGACTAATGACTTGACAAAGATAAATATTCCTGATAACTTTTTATACAAAGTTGAAAGAAAAAGATTCAAGAATTATGTATGGATCCATCATTCTAAATTAAATATTCTTTATGATCATACTTTTAGATCAGGTGTAAAAATTTAATATGATATGCTACAGCTATAGATTATAGAAATCTAGGGTGAAACATTTTTACATTTTAGACCAATTAATAATCCAAAAAACAAATAAAAGTCTTCAAAGTAATAATTTGTTCATTTCTACATTTTTAATCGCTTCTTCTACATACTACTAGTCGGAACTAGGAAATGGTCTTAGGAGTTTCGTCTTGAAACAGAAGTCCAAACCTATGGACGCAAACGCAAATATCAAGACGCTCTGAGACACCAAAACGGCGCCGTCTATGCCATGTGAAAACAAGCTTTCCCAGCTCAGCTCCAATGGCGGTCCTCTGCTCAACATACCAAGTCCTATACCACATAAAAAATCGAATCTATAATAAAACTGTTTTAAAAAAAGACAGATCCAAAATAATACAGGTCAGAGATTAACAATCAACTCATCAATTATTAAGAATAAATCAAATCGTTGATTAGTAGTATTATATTACTGGCAAATTATAATTTAAAAACAACCAAAGGGCGGGACAACGATGGGATTTTTCCAGCTCATACTTCCACACAATATATAACAAGACAAAGAAAGTCTTTTTCTTTTACCATTTCTCTTAAAGCTTATTCAATCACAAAACGCAATTGCTTTGAACAATTCAAAGAAGTTAGATTGAAACAGTAATCAAATGTGTTGTTACCTTTAACAAACCCAAAAGCTGCAACTGCTCCGGATTTGAGATGACTATCATCCAAGTCTCTTCTGACTGCATACCTGAATGTGACTCCAAACAATGCACAGCTTGCAAACGCTATTCCTAGGGGAAGAACAAGCTGCTCGATGCTCGAGACTTGAGAAAGAGCAAATGGGAGTTCCGCAATGGTCCCAACCGCAGCTGCGATCACTGCCGCTTTTGCAGATTCTAACCTCTCCTTGTCTTTGTCGATCGAATAACCCATTTCTGAACTTCCAATTGATGTGGTATCTGCTAAGGACAAAGCGCGTTCTGCTTCCTCAACCATTGATCTTGCTGCGACAATCTCCTGCTGGCATTCTGCGATCTTGAATCAGATATTGAATTAGATTAACATGTTCTGTCACAGTTTCCTTTCAAGAAATTTGTTGGTAGATAAACATGAACTTCCACTGTCTATAATAACAAACTAGAGACTTTGTACCTAAACACACGAGAAAACGAAAAATGAAAACTCGAAATGCTACCAAATTCATGGTTTGATAACCTTATGTCCTTATCTAATGAAAGTATCTTCACACGAACTAAGAGAAACCCCATTTCCAGGTTTCAAGCACACAATTGATAATAATTGATACTACATTACTACTTGCACTTATCCTAAGCATAAAATGCACAAGTTCACTACTCCATTGTAATACAAACCAGTCCTTCTCAATGTAACCCTAATTCATACTCTATAGAACCTCCCAAAATCTCAAATTCCAAAGCGCAAAAGAATCAAATGTTCCATCATTTCATATCTACAACATTTCCAGAACAAGCTCTCACCTCTGCGGCTCTTGATTCGAGCTGATTAACATAATCCTGTAGCAATTTCGCCTCAATTTCTTGTCTCTCTATCTCTTGGAGCTCTCTCTTCGCTATCTCCACTCTCATCGAAGCTTTTTCCAGACCATCAAGCAAATTCTTGTTCTCTTTGCTGCTCAATAGCTCCTCAACTTGGTTTCCCACAATACCGGACAATGACTTCTTCAAATCTCCGCCGTCACTCGAATTTGCTACATTCTCTTCCGACGAACTTCTAATTTTCCAGTTTCGAGTTCTACTATACGGAGAATTCGAGGCAATCACTTGTTTAGGATTCGAAAGATGAATTTCCGAGAAAATCATTGGACTTGGTTTCCATGGAAGCGATTGCAGAGATAAACATTGCATTTTGATAAAGAACAAGAAAATCTTCAAGTTCTATCTGGTTTGATCCGTTGCGAAGAGTGGCCACTAAAACGATATGAGAAGAAACGGCAGGCATTTTAATATTTCTAAACGGCATGCATTTCAATTCTCAAAAGAAACCAAGACTTTTTCATTTTCTTTAGTAATACAGTTTTGGCTTCTTTGGCGGCTCTGGAAAGCGAGAAATGAAATATGTTTTTCAACCTTCAAGGGTAATGCTCAGCTGTTAGTTTAGAGAAAGCAGTGGAAGAAGCCAAAGAATAGACTGATGCAAATTCAGAGGATCAACATTTACCAAACAGGGACAGTACCAGAACCATAGCTAATCACTCAACTTTATGAACTCGTCCAACTCTTGGAACCTTTAAATGTTATCTGAACGCAGTTTGGTCAAAGGATGCAGATAAAACAGGAATAGGATGGGTTTTAAGGGATGATCATGGTAGACTGAAGTGGTTTGGTGCCAAAACCTACCCAAAACTAGGCTCTGTTCTTGATGCTGAAGCTACAGCCTTATTGTGGGCCATGTCATGTGTCAATAACTTGGGGTTTACGCAAGTCACCTTTGAAAGTGACTCCAAGTCACTGATTCAAGCAGCCCAAGACCCCTTATCATGGCCAAGATTGAGAAGTTATACAAGCCAGATTTTAGGTCATCGTCAAGGAGGCCTGCAACCATCCTTTAGATTCCAAGGAAGGCTAGGAAATCCTTGTGCAGATTTGATTGCCAAAAAAGCCATTCATTGTTCAGTTTATTTTGCTTATCTTGATTCTTAACAAGACTTACTCAAAAGTCAAAACTCAAAACTAACAAAGTACTGACAGACATGAACCATGGGATACATAAATTCATTACGTACACTGCACTCTAATCACCGTTTTATTCCTGACTCTAATCCAATTCCGACCTAAGCTTTAAAAGCGTTGACCTCATCAACCACAGCCTTCTTGTAAAGAGACACATCAGTTGACCCAAGCACCACGTGATACCCACGTGCCTTGAGATCATCGGTTTTGTCCTGAGCCGTGGCCATCCCAGCCAAGTAAGCTCCGCCATTCGCCGGATCAGATGCTAAAACCGCCGTCTCAGCCACCTTCATGACGGACTTCAACTTCGGGTTTCCTGGATCGTGAAGTAGCCCCAAACTAGCACTCAGATCCCTCGGTCCCATCATCACACAATCCATCCCATCAACGGCTACGATCTCCTTCACATTCTTCACACCTTCCTCTGATTCTATCTGCAAAACTCAAGAATATACCAATTTCATAAAAAAATTAACCTCCATTTTTAAAAACAATTACGTATTTTAGATTTCAATTTAACAAATTTGCCCAATAAAATCAAAAATCAAAGGGATTTGAGAATCGAACCTGACACATGATGAAGAGCTTATCGGCGTAATTACCTAAATACTCTTCGTTAAATCCAAAGCTGGAGTCTCTCACAACGGAGTAAGCACAACCGCGAACACCGTCAGGACGATACCGGCAAAATGAGACTGCTTCGGAGGCAGATCTTCCGGTTTCGACCATTGGGAACATAATGCCGTCGGGTCCGAGATCTAACGCTTTCTTAGCCCAAGCCTGGCTAATGTCAGGTACACGGAGGACGGTGGAGCAACCAGCGGCTTCGATTGCTCTAATGCAGTGAAGCGCTTCACGAATCCCACCGGCGCCATGCTCCATATCGACGATGATGAAGTCGAATCCAGCTCGGGCAGCGATCTCCGCGAGCTCCGGTGAGAAAGAGAGAAGAAAGTGACCAAGCAGCTTTTCTCCATCTTGGAGACGTGATTTCAGTGATTTTTTGGAAGCCATTGTGACTGAGAAGTGGAGGAGGAGGTTGATGAAGAAGGAGAAGAAGAAGCGTTTTAGAGAAGAAGAAGACTAATTCCTTTCATTAAATATTGTACATGGGATTTTATTCCTTTTTTTTTTTTTGTTGTAACATTATTTTCTTACTAATTAATTTGAGAATTTATTCATTGAATTTAATTGGGTTGGTACAATTATATTCCAATTTTTAATGATATGTTTATAGTATCTAAATATATTTTTCTTAATAAAATAAACATTTCTAACTTAAGGCAAAACTAGACGTTTGAATTTTGATTACAACAAAAAAAATTGAGATAAAAGATAGTATAAATTTTTTATTTATTAGTATTTTTGGATTTATGTTATGTACATAAACTTTTTGTTTTCTCACTCGCTTCCAAACAAAACAAATGCACTTTTTACATTAGTCTGAATCTGACATGTGCATGTGACAATGTGAGTGACGATTTAACATATACGAAAACAAGAACAAATGTGAGTGAGACAGCAAGCAACTCTTTGGCAACTGTTAACTCATGTATAGAAAACAAAATGTATGAAGGCCGTTTTATTTTAGGGAAAGTAATCAGTATGATCAACAAATTTAATATGACCACACACTAAATCTCCAAATTAAGCTCGAGATTTACAAGAGAAGAGAGTTCAGCTGGTCCTGCTTCTTTTTTTCTTTTGGTTTCTAATTAGTTCAACTCTACCGTACATTGTCTTAGATCCCTTTGTAAGACCACAAGCGAATCGACATAGTCATGTTTACTTTGACGATCAACAAAACACCATAAAATGTAAATTTCCATTTTATTTTTCGTTAATATTCTTAAGTGACTAAATGTAAAATTTACAAATTTTCCTAGTATGTTTTTTGATGACAAAATGTAAAACCTCCACTTTTTCCGATTTACTTACAGAAATGTATATTCCTAGTTAATATTTTGAAGTAACTAAATGTAAAATTTCTAAATTTTGCTGGTATGTTTCTTGATGACAAAATGTAAAACTTCCACTTTTTTCCGATTTACTTATAGAAGTGTATGTATAAATAAAATTTGCACCCAAGATTAAGAAGAAGAAGACACGAGAAAAAAGTTACAAATTGTATTTTTTTGGGTGCGGTGAAGAAACAATATGGATATTGCTCTCATCATAATAATCGTAGCCACCGTCCTTGTGTTCGCCATCCTCATATCGTTTGCTCTATGGTGTTGTTTTGGTCATCATTCTCCGGTTGATCCTAGATGTTCTTAACTATTTCTATTATCAACTATTCTTTTTTCTTAACTATTTATTTATGAAAATTAGTATTCTGTTGAATAGCAGATCGATGATGTTGCGATGCTGATATATTTATCCTTATTTAGCTATGAATTTTTTTTTGTTTAATCATACTGTAACTCTTTATTTAATTGATATTTTAATTATTTTTTCATATATTGTGTTACACATTCATGATTACTAGTATTACATGTTTATTGTGAAGGCTGTTTGGGAAAATAACTACATTACTTCTAACCTAAACGAAGAATTACTCTGGTTTTTGCTTCTTCTATTTGTTAAACTGTACTCTTCGGTGTCAAGTGAATCAACGTAGTCGTAAAGCGTCTCGATTCGTAGTTGTGCTTTGAAATCTCTGACCTTTTCTTTCTCCATTCGGGAATCGTACCAAAACCTACACAAAACAGAATTAGCCAAATTCCCTTATACAAAGTTACATGATATACGTAGTTTGAGATTCAAATGGTCGGCCCAATAAGTGACGATGGACTTGGGCTTTCTTGAAGAGAGATATGACGTGTTATTATTAGTAAATCTACAATGAATCACTAAATTTGTTGGTGTTAATGTAAGTTAGAGACAAGCTGACACAAATAATTCAGACCTAGGTGTATGTGACCAAGGAGAACTTAACTGTGTGAAGTTTAGTTAATATCGACGGACATGAAAACGACTGCAAATGATCCGGTTCTATAGGAGTTGACCATCCATCTTGAGCTTTAATTTCTGTGTTTTTAATTTCTGTTTTTATTAATTTTGTTTTCGTTCTGGCAATGTATTGAAGCTTATAAGTCATATTTTACGGACAGTATTTGAATGTTTGGTGCGTTCACACTGATTTATACGATCACAACCATATGTGTACATATCACTCGCAATATAAAAAAACGTTCGAGGGTCATACCTTTCTCAACGCCTTTCAAAACCTATGCGTAGGTCGAATCAAATCTTCTTCTTTTTTTATGTCAACGGTAGCATCAAAATTTATCAAATTCAATGTGTACTTGATCAATCTTATCGAATATGTTTTATTGAGTTGTATGTATGAATTTAGTATTAATCTAAACCTACTAATACACACTTAGTAGTATAAATTTGCTAACATATATAAAATTATAAATTTACAAAATCAAAAATAATAATATTGAAAATGTAAAGAAATATTCTTCCGTGTATGAGAACATCTTAGTTTTACGGTTACACTTCATATTCATTTTTTTTTAAATATATTCTAGTTCTACTATACTTGATCAGCATGGTAATGTCGCCCTCCCAATCTAACTTGTTTTCCCTTTTTCTCACCAAACCATGTTGTATATGTAAGATGAAAAGTTGAATAATTAGGTAGGAGTCTTCGACTTATAGAAGTTCAGAATATTTTTCCATCATATCAATTCTTTTAGTTACCAAATAATGTCCCCTAGCTTAGCTATTATTATTTCATGAATGTTGAGATCTATTATTCTTCTCAAAAGAATATATTCTAACATTGATTATTTTTCCTTATGTAGTACGTACATTACATGTCATGGTCCATCCTATTAGATCATCTTATAAATTATTAGACTGCACTTGCCGAACAACTTGAAATCTACTTTCGAAATATACGTACGTCGACATATGATTGTTAAAAATATAAATGTAACTGACATGATTAACATGAATACAATTCTCACGAAGAAAAAACTATGACAGAAACTTAAACTGTGCTTAGATTGCATTACTCGTAGTTAGAGCATCTCCAAAGGGAGGTTTTCTCCTCAAAAAGTAGGGGTTCTCTCATATAATTGTAATAAAAATAAATGAAAATACATTAATATGCAGAGAATCGGGTCTCTTGAAAGAGCTTTTGTAACCTGAGAGAGCTGGTTACGTGGCAACCATGATTGGTTGGTTGAATTTTTTTAACAATTTTTTTTTGTCCTGTGCTCTATCTCTCTCTCGCTCGACTATCTTTCGCGACTAATTCTCTGTTGCTCATCTCTCTTGTTGATAACAGCCTAGTATCAGAAGCTTCTTAAGTTTGGTCTGAAAATCAGATCGAGATGCGATTGTTATGTTTATTACTCTGTTGGATCTCGTTTCTAACGTTATCAATCTCAATCGTTGCATCGTCGGATGATCAATTCACCGTCGACGGAACAGTACTAGAACTCACAGATTCGAATTTTGATTCGGCGATTTCAACTTTTGATTGCATCTTTGTTGATTGCTATGCTCCTTGGTGTGGCCACTGCAAGCGTCTCAATCTCGCTTTAGTACGATTTGGATTTGTTTGTTTGCAATTACTTTGTCGAATTTAGGTTTATTATTGGTTATATAACAATTGATCAATCCAATTTCAGTGTTATGTCATCGAATTTAATACAATGTTCGGTTTTAATGGAAGATGTGGCTTATTGATGCTTCAAATATGTTCTTCTTATGTTCTTTTTGTTGATCTAGTTGCAAGTAGATGCAACTGCTCCAATTCTAGCTATATTGAAGCAGCTCTATGACCATGGAGTTCCAATGGAGTACTAAGGATCAAGGAAAGCAGATTTGCTTGTCCGTTACTTGAAGAAGTTTGTTATGCTTTGGTATGCTTCGTTGTTATATGCTATGGAATTGAGGTTGGCTCTGGTTTGCCTTGTGTGTTATGTTATAGACATGGAATATAGTAATGTGATCCTTTTGTTTTAATAGGATTGTTAGAAGAATCAAACTCTTTTTTTTGATGATGTTGTCAGATTGTGTTGTGTCTCAGAGAATCAAGTTCAAGCGGTTTGTAGACAAGGAAACAGTTGAGCAAATGACAACTCTTAGAGAGATTCCAGAGATAAAACCCGGTTACATTGTGCAGCTAATAAAAGTCATATACAGTTTGCCTAGATTGTAATTTCTTTTTCTTGTGGGAATGGGATCAAGCTATCTTTCATCTTCTAAGTGAAACCTTTCATAGGCTTGCCATTTACTTTGTTTGAACAGGAAGTGCCTGAGAACAAGAGGCTTGTATTCAATTGTAGAAGCCGTCGTCGTAGCAAGGCGTAATGCTGGTCTTAACTCAACATATAGAATTAGAAGGCTTGTTGCTGGAGTGGGCGTAGAAACCATGTTCCCCTTGTAACTTCAAGCTTGTGCAACTACTTTAATATCTCTGTGCAATGGTGTTCTTGGTTGTAATGTCTCTAGTACTCTCTTAATTGATTGTACAATGTCTTGTACGAGTAAAAACAAACATGTATTGCAAACAAAAACATATATGTTTTGTTTTACAAATTTTAAAGTTTTTCATAAGAACCCCACCATTGGAGGAGACAAAACCTAATGACTCCAATTCAAGTTCTTAAGTTTGATAAAAGCAAAATTTAAACTTAAAAAATGGTGAGAGCCTCTTGAGGGGTTCTCACCATTGGAGATGCTCTTAGACCCTATCTCAACAATGTTTAAGTGATGCTCGAAAACATATTTAAAAATTGGCCAAATGTTAACTTTGAATTAGTGGCACTGAATATTCAAAATCAATATGACTTTTATAGAGAAGATCTGATTACAAGAAAAAGATAAAGAAAATATCTAAGCGAAAACTAAAAGTGTTCGAGAAAGATTTTGATAAAGATTCAACTAATGTTTATGGACGTGGTTTTATTATTCGAAGTTGTTGAGCTACAATCTGAGATAAAACTTTATTTGACATCTATTTAATTTTATTTTTTAAATGTTCCATTCTCCACTAGAACTTATCCGTAAGATCACATCCATACTTGAATACTTCAACACAAGCACACCGAATTTAAAACTTAGTGTAGAAGTATGCTCTTAAGGTCGAGTCATTGTCACTTTCAGACAAAATTATTTAACGTTGGTCGGATTCCTTTTCTCTTTCTTTTTATAGTGGCCACCATAACACATCACCCAAGTCCTTTGACCTCAATGTCTATGTAGTTCAAATGAAATAATCGATTTCAAACACGAATAGCATTTTAATAATTTCCTTTTCTTGTAAAAGATGAAATACTTCACGGGTAAACCAATGCCACAAAACATCGGTAACTAAGAGTTTTTGAGATTATCAAATTTGTTCTTGTATAATTGCCGTTGATTAGACAATGATCTTGTGGTTATCATTGGTCTACTTAAGCCAAGTTTGGTGAGGATTGTGTCTGAATTGTGAAGTGTACATATTAGAAGAATATCTGAATTTCTTAGAACTAACAGTTTATAAAACAATACTTTATATGCAGCTAATATCTTTCCTGTTTTGATAGTTGAGAGAAATATTCTCAACTGCCATTTGACCGTTGTGGTTTTGTAACATCAAAGTTCGACTCTAGTCTTTTTTTGTCTTACTGTGAAATTCCAAATTTATCGATGTTTTTAACAGAACTTTATAGCCAGACTAGAAATGTTTCTATAGCCTGTGAAATACATATATATTCAACCCCATTTCATTTTCGTAAAAACAAATTAAATTTTCATTAACAATATGTAATATTTGTACATGGTTTCAATGTAATTAAGTAGATATGAAGAGATTATTATATAAGTAGTATTTTTAGAAGAAAAAAAAAATCAAAGAGCAAAGGGTCAAGATCTAGATTGATGAAGCTGAAACCATAGTGGGATGTATAATTTCAAACACACAGATTTCAAGGAGAATGTTTTCTGTGGGTCCCACCTACTTTAATCTTTAGACTTGTGACTTGTCTCTCATACTATTATTCTTCACTCTCTTTGTTTTCAATTTTTGTATTTTATTTAATTGCCTCTTCATACTTTCAAATTGTTTTCCGAACCAAAATGAGATGAACATTCTCCAAACTCACTCCTGCCATATACAATAAAAATGCATCAACTTAATTAGGTACATTTCATTGTTATTGTAAACGAACACAATCAATTGTTTTTGGCCAGGAACGAATCCAATAATTTAAATTTAGATGGAGAAATTAAATGGAATATATATAGTTTTATTTATTAATTGGGATGGTAGGGCTAAACCATCTTTAGCAATAAATAATAGTTAAGTGTATTTAGTGAGGATCATGTGAAAGTCATCAGAGCCTACCTGTCTCTTTTAAAATTTTTAATTTTTCTTAAATATTTATTAATATGTACCTGTTCTCTAACAAAATGACATCCATGTGTTGTTTTACCAAAAAAGAAAAAACATACTATGCTGTTGAATATAATTTAGTTACACACTATTTATACAACATATTTCGCATTAATTTTTCCAATAATGTAAAAATATTGGGGAAATACATGAACAAGAGAAGGAACATCAAAAGACCAACCAATGTATCATTTATAATCTGTGTTAGAGATAACAAAATTCAAAACAAATTAAAGTCATTCAATATGCATGCACCCCAATAGTATCCTTAAATCCAAGTTAACAAAAAAAAAAACCCCACCAATAAGAAAATTCAAAGTGAAATTAAGAACATATTGATTAATTAAATAAATAGCACTAATTAACCATTAATAGGACTATCTTCATCAACCAAACCGAGAAATTAGCACCATGATCCTCCACTCAACATCCCAGTCCAATACCCACCAGACGTAGCAGCTGCATCACTACCACTTCCTCGCTTCTGATGTTCATTAATGTCGACATTAATTGTTGTTGATGAAGAAGAAACTGGCAATTTCAAATCCTCAAAAGGAAACAAGTGCCTTCCATTCACATCATCACCGCCTTCTCCACCTTCTTCACCTCCTTGAAACCCTCCATGAAACCCATTATTCTGATGATGATCTAATGAAAACCCTAGAAGTGTGGTGTTTGTGTTGCAAGGCTTGTAATGATCTTGCATTGAAAACCCTCCTGATGCTGGAGCTTGATTATGAACTGGAAATCCCATAAAGGAAGAATTTGATGAATTCCCGTTATTACTATTGTTTCTTATAAGATCCAGAGAAGAAGTAGCCATGGCAGAACATGAAGAAACAAGCAATGGATTGTTATTGTTGTTGCTCTTGTTGGTGTTGTTGCTGTTGTTGCCAATGTTGTGGATGAGGTCAGTGAAGTTGGTCCTGATCATCCCATGTGGTGGAAAACCTAAATTGAGATCTTGTTGGGTCGTCTCAAGGAATTTAGGGTTTTGACCGGTCAAACCTTGTTGAGACATGCTCATGAGGTGATGGTGATGATCAGAGAGATGTTTCTTTGTAGCTGGTTGTGTAGAATCCGAGTGATTGTTGTTACTAATATCAGAAGAAGAAGAGTGAGATCTCTTGTTCTTTCTTGAGCCACCGCCAACAGGAATGTTCCTAAGCGAACCGCCTTCGGTCCAATACCTTCTACAACCTTTGCAGAAGTACCTTGGTTGCGTCAAACTATAATTGTTGTAGTAACAAAACTTTGTGTTGGTTGAGTTACATCTCGGACAGTTTACAGCTTGGTCCTTTTCTGGCCTTGCCTTCCTCTCTCCACCCGCCGTCGATGGCTGCTGCGGTTGAAGCGGTTGCGGTTGCGGCTTTGGGCGTGTGTTTGTTACTATTTCTTCCAAGGGTTTCACTACAATCTCCTGATCATCAAAATCAAAAATACACCTCTTCCAACCATTAGCACAAAAACCTTTGCACATATACAAGTATAGACATAATTAACATATATGTACTGATTTGATTTATGAAAACCTTTTAACAAAAAAAAAACATATATGTACTGTCGATCAACAAAGTAATGGGTTTTCATCAAGACAAAAATGATTTGGATATTTGAGAAAAGCTTTAACTAAAAACATAAAAGAAAAAGCAAATTAATAAAGGGTAAAGTGAAAAAACCATATATTTAATTAAAGGAGAATTAGATCCAAAAACTGTTGAAGAGAAATTTAGTAACATCAAAACGAAGAAGATCCAAAAACATTAAACTCCAAGTTAAGACCAAGTACTGAGCCCAAGATGAATCAAATGATCTAACCTACATCAACACATACATATTGAGTTGTCAGGATATATAAATATGTAAATGTTTGTGTATAGTACCTGTGGCCATTGAGCCGTATCCATAGATGAACTTTCTCAGATCAGCCGAAACAAAACCTGATAATTCCTTTTCTTAATTAACTTCTCTATTTGGGAGAAAAAAGAGGTGTGTTTTTTTGTTGTTGGATGAAGAGAAAGGGAATTTTGATGGCTGAGAAATCTTTTTTGAATGAGGAACTTCTTTGTATGCTTTGTCTCTGATCACATTTGCTTTATGGTAGAGAGAGAGAGAGAGAAAGAGAGAGAACAAATTGTATAATATAAGATTATTAAAACATTCCGAGTGGGAATCTTTGTCGTACTTTAATACTCGTCCAATATAAATATAAGCATTGTATGTATGGGCTTATATTTTACATATATACCACATCTATATTTTGCCATGGAACTCTCTACATTATTTAGAACTTAATGGAAGGATTACTTAGGTGGAATTCATACGATTATATGTGTAGCCGGTGTGTTTATTTTAATTTAAAAAATGGTTTTAATTGTTTTTTTTTTCTGCAAAAAATGGTTTTAATAGCTTAACCATATGTATTATGTTTGTCTATATGTTTCGTAAAATTATAGTTGAAATGTATATATGGATGGATATCATAAAACGCTGCATTTTAAATCAATACATTACCAATAATCAAGTGGTTATGAGATAAACATGATTAATTTCAAATTCTTCAATAACATATTTTCGATTGTAATGATAAAAAAAATTACTTTAGATAAAAAAATATTTAGATAAAAAAACAAAAAAAAATATTTGTTATTCTTCTGCAAGGAAATCATCACAATTTCGTCGCTAAACCTGTAAGAAAATATGATTTTTAAAAAACAAAATACTATCTATATTCTAATATCGGATGTTAATCAAAATTAAAATTCAGTTCGTGTTTTTGCACACTGAATTTTAATTCTAGCATATATAACATGAACAGATTTTAGTAAGGATGTGAAAAAACATAAATTGTATCAACGCGTTAACTCCTAAAACAAGTTACATTTGTAAATCCTATTCGACAAGCAAAATATGCTTATGCTTTTGGAAATATTTTGACTTGTGTGTTATCTGATACAACATCAGCTTTCAGTTTCTAATTGTTTATTATATTTCGCTTTGTTGTTTTTCAGTTCAAGGAAACTTTCAAATTTGAAAATTCTGAGTCGGATTGAATTTTTGGTAATAAGTTAGGTTTTTGATATTAAAGTCTTAACGTCCACAAGGATTTCAATTGTGTTTAAATTTAAACTATATATAGATAGTACATCAAAATTTCCTAGTTTGATTTCAATGCCTGACCTTAAAAGTAGATTGTTCTCTTCTTCTGTTTCAAAAGTCGACTGTTCTTTTCATAGTGAAATAACGGAAAGGGGGCCAAATATTTATTTATTATGGTTTTTAGAAGGTTATCATCAGGCAACAATTTTGCGATAATTTTGAGTAAAAATATAATTAATATATATATATATATAGAAAATACTTCTAATTCAATAAATTGAAACTAAACTGTTTGATTATGTAGTTAACCATTCATTGAGAAAATTATGTTATTGCATGTATAAAAATCTGCTTATTACATATACCATTATATAGCATACTACTTACAAGTATAACGCATCAACACTATTTGTATTTGCTACATCATCACATAATTGAATGTAAAATCAATACTTTACCTTTTCGAAGACAAATGCATAGTGATAGTAATGTCCTTTTTAGCCATCTTGTTAAAAGATTATCTTTAGAAATAATTATCGAATGAAAGAAATTTTATCAGTTGTCCAAAAGCTATATAAAGTATAACTTTTTCACGATATAAAGTATACTTAGAATCATATTAGTACGGAGGAAATCAAATTCAAAGACCTAATAAGTTGACTACCCATTGACCTCTTATATTCTCTCTTATTTTGGTCGACCTATAACCTATTATATTCTTAAATCAAATAACAACAAAATGATACATTTCATGTATCTTTAACATGTTTTTCTTGGGACATAGTCACACGTACAACGGTACAAGGATATAATGTGCAAATGTTAAGAAGAGAGAAGCCAAAGACGCCCTTAAAGGTCCACATGCACCAGATTAAAAAGCTCATCGGTTATTTCATAAAACTTATCCGTATTTCACGTGTGACTTAAGATTCCAATTAGGTTATGATTACCTGTATCGCACGAATTTAATTCTGATTTCATTTTAGACGGTCACGATCTATACTCAGGATTTAAATCATAATGTTGTGGTGTGTTTGATTAGTCTGGCCCACAGATTTAACATGACATATGTGTCATCGCCACGTGAGCTATCTTACTTAGTGTACAAAACAGCTCAGGAACACCTAATTTCTTTCACTCCACATGCCACGCTCCCTACTTATTTAGTCATCTTCTTATCACCAATGAATTGTTACCAAACACATATAATAACATTTCTCTACATTAATATCTAGCACAAACATTCGAATAATTAAAAACTAAAATTTGAAATAGTCAAATTTCATTATAAATCAAGATAAATCTCTTTGGTAAACTTTATTAATTTTCTTAAAGCAGTAATCATAGGAGACATATCAGAGACGACTGAGATGTTGACAAGTGTCGTAATTTAAGTTGACTGAGTCGAATAATGAACGGTTATTACGGGTTGATATGTGTCCGGTGAAATTAGGTCCCACGTTTGCTCATGCGCGTGCCTTCTCTGATAATTCTCGCCGAAGAAAAGGTCCATCGAATCTGGACCGTTGGATTTAGTGATGGGTCCGACGTAGTGCGTGGATAGCATCTTAGAAGTTGCGGTCCATGTCAGCGTGTGTGGACAAACCCGCACCATATTAACAACTTGCCATTCTCTCTGCACCTTATTAGCCACTTTACCAATAGTGTATGTTTTTTTTTGTTTTTTTTTTCTCGAATACACTTTTGGAGTAGATAACAAATCTGATGCAACAGTTTGTTGCGGGTAAAAAGATTAAAATCAATGTCTCAGATAGATTTACTGATGGATTTGACTCGTTTTCAACTGAACTTTGGTTAAGTGTTTGAAAAGTAAAAGATTGTCGTTGAAGGTATGGTAATATATTTACACTCAAAACTCAAAAGGCTTAACTCCTTGGAGATGGAGACACCATACGTAACCTTTCATCTTTTAAGTGAGTGGTTAGTTGGCTGGTTTAGTGGGTTCGATGTTTGGATTAATTGATTGGTTTAATTTAGTTTTCATGTGTACTAATGGGCTAACTTAAACACGGGTGATCTTATTGGGCTTCCTTCTTTTCAGTTTTAATAGAAACAGAAACGTCTTTGATCCTTCCATTCATTTCATGCTAAAATATTGCGCTTGTATAGATTACACCACAATTAAGTTGATATTAAACACCACCGTTTGAAATTTAAAAGATTGATGGCAGAAGTTGAGCGGAGCCAAAACACAACTTTTATGGTAGATATCATCTATAACTTTACGGATACCCTACATCGAATCACTTGAAAATTGAAAAAAAAACAAAAAAACAGAAGAAGAAGAAGAAGCTCGCATAAGGACTTCAGGGGCCTCAATAACATGTGGGCTTTTAATTTTATTATTAATGCCTTTTCCAAATAAGATATAGGTCCATTAACAGTTATTATCCCGTAACTTTTCCTAAACACACAGCTAAATTCTTGCTCTTGCTTAGGTAATATTTTATCACCGAATAACTTTTAATGTTGTAAGATTAATCCATCAATTTATGGCACGTGTGAACTGTTTGGTCTTACATGCTAGATTAACACTAAAGTGTTGTTAAAAAACTAAGAAAGCAAGTGCATTGTTCCTTGTTTAAGTTTAAAAACCTCTCTTAATTCTTTGAGCCAACTTTTCTCCTTTTCGTCTTTCATGTAATGATAAATATTCCGTAAGGACGGAGCAAGTTTGATGGCGCACGAGATTTCTTTTTCAGAAGTGAAAACCCCTGGCGCATGTTAGTAGGGTCCCTTTGATAAAAAGAAAAAGAAAAGATAGAGAGTGAGAGACCCATGCTCAAAAGTATTATCATGCGCCATTTTTATATGGTCCTAAGTCCCATCTCTAACCGATTTTCTCATCTATCTATCTTTTTCTCACCTTTTTCATATTATATATTTTCGTTTTTTCCATCTTCTTTGTAGATTTCTTATCCGTATTTTTTTCTTCAATAGTTTCGATACACCATTTCTGTTATTTACTTTAAAATGAACATGTGTATAAAGTCAGAATATTAGTTCGGATTCATTTAGTTTTACATAAATTCACGAGTACAACATTTAAAAATATACAGACTTTCCTCTATTCTTCACGACTTATTATTATAGCTTTAACTATTAAAGCAAAAAGGTAAACTACTCAATGCCAAGTGCAAACACATTATTAAAGAATTATCAACATCCACACACGTAATAATATTAAAACAGTGATAGAAATATCTCACATGGACATATGAATAGTCAATGTCAAAAAGATTATTTTGAAAAAGAAAAAAAAACGATAAGATAGAGGGAGAGATCTCTCACAGATCAGTCCAAATGAGTTAATTATCACAAAATTATCAAACTTCCGAGCACTTTCGAAACTAATGATTGACATTATGATTTCCCACTTCAATTTATTAATCTAATTTTAGTATAATGGTCCAAGTTGAACTCTTCAGCATATGTACTTAAAAAGAAAACTATGAAATTTTTTTTTTATAATTTATTGTTCACATATGTATAATACTATAACTTAAGTATAAACAAAGACTACAAAGTACATCAGCTTCGCATTCGCACTATAGAAATAGGATACTAATTGTATATATCAACTAAACTTTATAATATATTTTCTCATCTACTAAAATTTAGTATAATTTTTTTCCTAAGGGTGGGTATGTGAAGAAGATAAGATAATTACTTTTTTTTTTTGTTTTTCTTTAGCTACACGGGTCGAAACTGGCCTTGGAATGTTGAGCTACCAGAATCTCAGAAGCAGCCCATAATTTGGTAGCTTCGGATGAGTTGGATCCGAGTCCAGACGGCGTCGTTTCATTACAGTCCGTGAAATACTTTCCCGATACGTTCACCAGTCTTGGATTTGTTGCCACGTAACACGTCGTTGCTGCTGCCTAATCCCATGCCAAAAAAAAAGTAGCACATAAATCCAATAATCTTAAACAGGATTAAAAACAAAAAGAATAACTTATCCACCACAGATTATGTTATAAACTTTATAATTAAAGAAAATAACAACTAATTACTTGAGGGACGGTCTTAACGAGCTTGGAAGCAAGGAAGAAGACGAGATCTGAGTAGGTAAAGACAAAAGAAAGTCATATAATTAGGAATCTTAAGCATGATTATAGTTGAAGATAAACTAATATGATAATGTAATGAGAAAAACTAAAATAAACCAACCTGTCAATAAACCTTCTCGGTCTCTTGTTAACCGGGTTCTAACAACTCCTGGGTGTACGCAATTTACCGTCACGTTCGCTTCAATTTTCTGCATATTTTTTTTCTTTACAATAAGAATTCTATTTTTATATACTAAACTTTAATCACTTTATTTTAATGACCCACATGATTGTCCTAAATCCTAACTATGGTCAATAGTCAAATAAACTTTCTAGTGTGTGACTTAACAAACACTTTCATAAAATTGGTTAGAATACAAATCTCCTAGTTATCTAGGTTTCTTGTTGTCCCCTTCCCATACCTTTCACCCTTTTATTTTACACTTAGAAAAATCAATAAATTTGACCATTATGACACATTAATTTCTACCATAATGCTTCTGAGTTTTTTTTTGGGGAATAATTAACTTTTGGGGGAATAATTAAATGGATGCAAGTAAATAAGAGAGAGAGGGGTGGAGAGAAAGAGACCTGGAGTCTAGAAGAGAGCTCCTTGGTATGCAAAACGTTGGCAAGCTTCGAGAGAGCATACGCACGTGTCGCATCGAATTGACTAATCGATCAAACCCAAAAAAAAAAAGAAGAAAGATTTATTACATTTCCAAAGGTCAATACTTTTTACTTCTATTTCCCATTTAATTACCCTCCTATCGAGTTCCTCCTGTCACTCATCAATCAAAACATAAACAACTACGCAGCTTTTTGCATTAGGTGAAAAAGTAAATTCCTCGACAAAGTTTTATTCACCTCTCAAGAACACCAATCCTACTCCCTCATTTATATTTCTAGGCTTCTAGCTATTAGGTTCATATATATGAATTGTAGATATGGTACAGTATTTACTCTTCTGATTTGGAGTTTTGATGTCTATGTAACAATTAAGTATGGAATGGAACATTTATGCCTCGTGACTCAACCACAAAAACAAAAAGATAACTTACCACTTGGGTTGTGAAATCAGCCGGAGATATTCGATCAAGTCGCCGGTAAACCAACCGTGGATACCGGACGTAACGTTAACGATCCGTCCTTGAACTCCTGTTTCCTCTGCCGTTTGAATCATCTTCTTTAGCAAAAGATTGGTCAACAGAAAATGGCCTGATAATTATGAATTGATTAAATACTCCATTAAGAAGGCTATTAACAAAAAAGTATTATATAGGGTAATTAAGATCTGTCATAGACTAAGGGAATCGTATAATTAAGAAAATAGAATACCTAGGTAATTAGTGGCAAATGTCATCTCGATCCCGTCTTCGGATATTGCATGTTCATGTGCTAACTTGCCTGCGTTGTTTCTGATTCCACAATTGCATTTAAAAAAAAAACAAATCATCACATAAGATAATATTTAAAACAAATCACATTCAAAGAAAACAAAAGTTAAGAACTGAGATTATGTTCTGTTCACATAAATTCCCGTAAGAAATATATATATATATATATACATGCATATGATTATTTTGATTTTTTCAGGAAAATAAAATTTTTTTCTTATAAAAGTTTAAAGACTCACATGAGAAGATTAAGAGGAAGATCAAGAGACTCGAAATCGGCGACGAAGTTTCGTACGGAGGCGATAGAACTGAGATCAAGCTCCATAACGACGATCTCTGTCTCCGGAAACTCAGAGACGATTCTCTCTTTCGCTTCCTCCGCCGCTTTCACGTTCCTCGCCGGGAAAATCAACCTCGCTCCTCGTTTCGCCAACACTCTCGCCGTCTCTGCTCCGATCCCCGACGTCGCACCTATCATCAAATCAACATCGAGTTAGAATCTCCCGACGATTCGTTTCACCGGAAAAAATCCAACCAGAGGAACAAAAAAAAAAACTCACCGGTGATAACCGCTGTGATGGAACGAAGGTCGCAGTTCTCGGTAACCTCCTCGGCGGTGGATTTAGAGCCGAAGCCGCTAGCACCGGCGGCGCCGAGAAGGTATTTACCAGTCTCGATCATCGGAGTTTGTTTTGTTACCGGCGACTGTTATGTGAGTGAAGAGTCTTTCTCTTTCCGAATAAATATGAAAAAATTTAAAGCCACAGAAAATAAAACAGAAGAAGAAACAAGGAAGAAAACAAATAAGAAGGAACGTAATTGCCGTTTTCAGTTAGAAGGGTATAATGGTAAATTGAAGTGATATTATCAGAAAAACTGTGTTTCGCTTGTCAGGTTTTTGTAGGCAACGCCGCCTGGCTAATGAGAAGAAATAGTAATGTGTTATTTATAGTCAACTTTCTATTGATGAGGTAAAAAAAGAAAAGAAAAAAAGTAGATACAACTTTTTATCAATATGATCGGTGAATTTTTTTTTATTTAATTGTTCATTCTTGTACCCTCTTCTTGTTTAAATCATTTCGTAGTGGTAGGTCTAGTTGTATATAAATATAAGTATTTTATATTAGGCTATTATTTGTCTCAAAATTAGTTATTGTTTAAAATCTAAAGGAGAGGTTTAGGAAAAGATCATGCATTACGTTGAAGCAGAAAATAACTAAATACTTATCCATTGTCAAGTTCTTTGTAAGCATCAAGAGTTTTCCTTTTTTTACATTTTTGATATAGAAAGGTGATATAAATAATTAAACATATATTGGAAAAAATCTAAACTATTCAACACAAATTAAAAACATATCAATGGTGTAACAGGAAACAAATCATCAAGACATCAACTTTTGGTATGGGTTGATTTGTTTAGAGAACTATCATGTGCCTTTTGGTAATTATAAAAAAATTTTATAATTATGTGATTTATTGGATTGATGAATAATTTATGAAGCTATTTTGGTCAAACCTAATTAATTTACTACTGAGTATTCAAACTAACTAACAGCTGTCAGTCTCTGATTGGGAGTTTAAAAATGACATGATTTCCTACTATATATTTTATTATTACTTTTTGGTAACTTTTTTACTAACGTACTCAATACTAAATTTATTAACGCTTACTGTATTTTTTGTACAGCAAAAACGATAGAGTGGAATCAGATCAAAAATGGAAAACGATTGTCGTCGAAGGCAAGATATTAACGGTCAAACGGCTTAAGGTTTGACTATAGGGGACAATTATACAATCGTGACGTATTAGTTGTATACTTGGTGTCACTCATTAACTCATTATTCTATCATCATTTACTAATCCTAAATTAAACAAAATACTTGTAGTTTCCTATATCAATCTCGGAATAAACACCGGTCTTGGGACTACCGAGACAATATTTTAAATCGAAAATTAAGAAATAATGAAACAATATAAAGTAATATTATTACACAGTACAAGATTACAAAAAAATAAGTACAAAAGCGATGCCATTTTATGTACATATTATTGCTCAAAATTTGTCAGATTATAAGTATAGATTAAAAAGTGTTATGTTAAGTAACGAAGCGGTAAAAAAGTATTCAAACGGTGATAATTCAGTAAGTTTCCATTGAATTCAGTTCAAATCCATATATTTAAGTCTAGACTAATTATGCGGATAAAGACTAAAGAGATGATTAGATAATTAATGATACATTTGTAACTATGGAGACAACGAGTAGTTAAAAAGTAAACGTGAAAACGGCAGGAGAGGCAATGTGGATGACTAAGGAAGTAATTACTAATTAGTCTCGTAGAAACATTAAAGAAGAATCTTGTGAGAAGGTTTACGCACGTGAGGTTTACACACTGCGTGCTGGATCGCTTCTCCTCTCCCTTGGAACACGGTCATAGACAAATTTTTTTATTTAATTTATTTACTAATTAGTTTGGTTATTATTTGTTAATGATCAATTATTTTTCAATAATTCAGTCTCTGTAACATCCAATGCCGTTTTTAAGTAATCTTTTTATAGGTTTTTGTTGTTATATCATTCAGCCAATGATTATATACATATGCTCGAAATTTCGTTGAATATAAAGCTCACATGCACCTTTCACGAATGAACGTATTTTACTTGAGAAAAAAATTATATATTCAATATCAATATGACAGAGAGTTTTCCAAGTATGAAATGAATAAAAATAAAATTATGTTAAATTGTAGAGGAATGAACGAGATGAATATATTTCTTTCACTTTTTCTCATATTAATTCACATGTCGTTTATATCTCAATTTCACAAGAAAAAATTTCCATTCTTTTTACAAACTTTGAATACATTCAAAAACCATGGAGCTTATGCGAAGCTTTCTTTATCTCTCTTGTTTGGCACATCTGAGAGCTTCATGTGTGTTCCCTTTCATACATATAACATAGCAACAAACGACAATAGATGATTGGGGATGCAAAGCTTCTCTCCCTCCTTACCTTTTTCGTATTGTCCTTGTTGTGTCTTGAGTACAAGATTCCAGCTCATTGTCACGTTGGTAGCTCGATTGCGCTTATCCAAAAGTGAGTTTGAGTGAATATTGAACTCTTACTCTCAATCAGTGTTTTCTTACCCACTTTTTTTTTTTTTTTTCCGGAGATAATGTGTTAAAAGTACTCTTTTTGATCTAGTGTCTTCGAGTACTCTAGTTTTGTCAGAGACTTTTCTCTATAAAAGAAACTTGCTTCAGTCCAGTGACCTAATTTTGGATCAGACTATGAGTTTTGTTATTTCACCTGACAGTAGTACTGTCGATGGACTATGAATTCTAAATGACAAAAGTTATGTGGCTCACATAATTACCAACCACACTTGTGAAAAAAATAAACAATCAACAGTGTCGTCTCATCAACATGGTAATGTTAAAGAGCATATCAACGATGGCCAAAGGCAAATCTGTCCAAAAAAAGATTGAAAACGTTACTTTCTTAACCACTTAAACTAAAAAGTAAAAATCACTTTCGGTTTAAAACAAAGGGAAAAATTGGAAATATAGAGATAATGGAAATTCAGCTTTTTGGAGCACTTGTATTGGCTAGCCAACGAAACTGGGGACCCATTTTCATTTTCCACATACGTACGTATTCCTTGGATTAACAATATTTTTCTTATTTAGAGATAATACTTCTGTTTTTTCTTTGTGAAGGTCGATCGATTAACAATATTTTTTGGGTTAAAGTTAACATTTATTACGTAAATAAAATATAACATGAAGTCATCTCTGCCTTATTTACTTTTTGTTAATACTCGTCTCTGCATTTTTATTTTCGGAAAATTGGTTATTGAGAATGCTTTCGATCGTCACTTTCAACATTTAACCCAAAGTACGTCTTTAGAATCATGATGATGTTGATATATATACTTTTAAATACGTAGTTATCGAAATAGTTATCAATATGACAATATTCTACCGAATTTGAAAGTACATATTATATTTCTGTAATGAATATTCTTTTCTGGCTTGTTATGCGTTTCTCTTTCGTTATAATTAGAAAAAGGTAAAGTTCCTCATCATAACGAATGGAATGGCGTCTTCCTTATCAAGCGAAAAGGTGTCATGGGACAATTTGTGGCTTCCATATATCAATCATATAACACAAAGCTGACAGAAGATAAGTATATTAATTAGTAGTAGGAAATAAAAAAAAAACATTAAGAAATCTACTTTCATACATAGTCCTAATTAATATCCATAGACAGAACATATGTTACGTACCATTGTTCACACTTACATGTGTTCTTATGTTAGTGATTTGGTTAACTACTTGAGCTTTAAATCTTTAATATAAACTAATTTTCATAACATGATTAGTTAATCATGAAATCGTACATTACAAGACTCATTTCTACACGGGGAGGAAAGGAAACAGCTAAAATCCAAATGTTCAACACCTAAGGTACTCATGGTCCAGCTCCTACTTTCATCGAACATTGGTATTTCACCGAAGAAAATAATAAAATCATTTTGGTAATTGACTTTCTAACACAAAAGAGTAATCAATTACTCAAAAGCTTTTTTTTAATTGTGTTTCGCTGTTACATTTATAATAGCAAGTAAATAAACAGATACTCCCTCCGTATTTTAATAAGTGTCGTTTTAGGATTTTCTTTTTATTAAAATTAGATGTCGTTTTCAAATTTCTATGCAAAATTTCTTACTTTTTAATGTTTTATGACATCATAAAACATTAAAAAGTAAGAAATTTTGCATAGAAATTTGAAAACGACATCCAATTCAAAAAAATAAAAATTCTAAAACGACACTTATTAAAATACGGAGGGAGTATTATGGTTTTTAAAATGTAAGGAAAATGATCATCAAAAGAATGCACTCAGGACTCAGCATGGTAATGTGAAACCGAAAACGAAACAAATTTTAATCGAACAGTCCATATTTTATTGCAAACGGTTTTTTTTTTTTTGTTTTGTTCAACTATTGCAAATGGTTATAGAATAAAGTTAGATGTTTTTTTTTTATGTAAAACATTTTTAAGTTTGACTAATGAGAAAATGCACATGGGGTTTTGGGAAACGAAATGAATTTTGACCAGCAGCAAACAAATCCCAACTTGGACGGAAGATTCTCTATGCATCATCCGTTGGCATAATTTAAACTATTAACCATTATTTTCCACCCTATTTGTATTTTTAATTTTAATTGAAAGTCTATATAACTAAGGTTTTAATATCATTTCAACTTGTGTTCCTGATTCTAAACAATTGTTTAAGCCCATCTAATATCCCCTGTTTTTATCCAACAACCGACTATTTTAAAAATAACTCAAAATCATGTTTAAAATATTGAGGTTTCTTAACCAACGAAAAATTAATATTCATATTAAATTTTTTTTTATCTCAGTGAGAATCATAAAACATAAAAAAAAATAAGAATTAAATCTAATATGTCAAAAAAAATTGAAATCAAGTTGCTATAGTCTAGTTCATCAATAAGCTAGTAGGTTCACAGTTTTTTTTAAAAAATTGTTGATACATAATACAAAGTAACATGAAAAATAAGAAATAAGCAAAAATTGTAATATTGATGACTAAAATGTTCTTCAAGGCATACTAGGTGGTTTTAAAAAGGGGGACTACTAAACTTTCTTTAGTAGTTTTAAAATTAGTAACATGTAATGCCAACACAAATCTGAACGTACTACTATACTAGATAATAACTAACAGATATAACAAAAGGTTTTGTTTTTATAATGAAAAGAAGTTTAATTATAACCCCATTAAACAAGCTGCAATTTTTCTATTATGATTCGTTTGGTACAATCTGATTCATCCAAATGGAGATTCTGTTTATGATCACCTTTTCCAACTTATATAAACCTTTTCTAACTTAAAAGAATTAAACTACTGATTAAACGAAAATCATAGACTAAATAGAAATATTTTTGCCAACTATATTTGACTAATAATCCACTTTTTGATCACTCAGTAGTCCTTAATCACTTATTTAAGTAGCTTCTATGAATAATTCAGCTTCCACTCACCCATTTCAAGCCAACAACTCAAATAACACCAAATTGAGTGTTAGATTCCACAGTTTTAATGTGAATTTCTTTTGTTTATTAGTATGTGAACATGGCTTTCGCTGGGTAAGCCGATTTGTCTTGGTCCTAACTGCAACTTAGCATTCCCCATTGAAGGAGAATTTGAATTTCACCAATCTTTGATCGATCTATACTATCAGGTTTTTTTTTTTGACCCATAATGTTGATGATTCACTGAGTTTCAATTTTTTTTTGCTGGAGCAACAATTAGTTTGTTATACAAAAACTTTAACCATATTTTCAACCTACAATGAATTATATGCTGTTAGAACTTAGAGTGATATCAAGACCAAACATTATTCAATACTTTTTGCTTAATATGGATAAAATTGTGGAATTATACAATACAAATGCTTAGATGCGATCAAAACTGGGATGATTTTTTTTATAATGTAAAGATATTTTAAAATGAAAAGAAGAGGACAACTTCTTCAATGATTGCCACTCTTTTGCTCGGCCCGCCCTTACACCAAATTAAGAGTTTTGCAAATAGAAAACTATACACATTTTGATTTTTTATTTAATAGATTTAAATTTTTAAAGCAATTTATATACGACTGTAAACTGAAATTTCAATAATTTAGTTATATTTTTTTTTGTTATTGCCTTTTTAAAATCTCTTAGATCTATTGGCTTATCTTTTGCCTTTTTAGGCTTCCTTTTTTTTTTATATACAAAATTTAATTACTCTTTTTTTTTTTGTAGAGAACCTTTTGATTTTATTTTTATTATGTCATAGATTTGCAATATTAAAATCTCTACCAAATCTCTTTCATTGTTATTAATTTGATATATACTACATAATGTTTGGTTTGTTATTTAGTTTTTATCTTGAATATTAAATTGTAATATTGGAGGAAAGAAATTTGATATCTTTATAAATTTACTATTTGTGACACCAAAAGGGAAGTTAGTCTGCCCATCATTCAAAGAATCTATCAAGTGGTTTAGGCAGAGAAGAGATTACGACTTAAAGTAGAGATCTTAAAGCTTTTTGTCATCTTTCTTTCTGTTTTTTTTTTCATCTTATTCACAAGTCTTAACCAACTGAATCCACCAGTCTTTCCATGTACCATTTAGATGCTTATTATATTTAACTATATTTGCATATATAATATTTGACCATAAAACATTTGGAACTCTAGCTAAAACGTTATGACAGAAATCCCCAAGTGATTATCAACTAAGATAAAATTTACCATTATCATTAAGTTTTTTGTAAAATAAAATGGCTAATTCCTTTATTTAACGTTTAATAAGAATTAGTAAATCTAGGGTTCAATGTTGAGGTGAGAGGGCCATCCAAATTCCTCCAAGAATGCTAATATAACTCCATTTGACCATCCGAATCCAGTCTGCATTTTTTTTGGAACATAAAAAAATATTACTAGAAACTTCTGTTTGTTAAGTTTAGACCCCTAAAACTCATGAAATCAAAAGAAAATTGAAGAAGAAATGTTTACCTGTGGCATATATTCTCCACCACCACCATATTCACCAAGCTCTGTAACTTTGAGCTTCTCATGGATAGTCCCACTTTTCTTGTAAACAAGATAACTGCTTTTGATCCATCTCCTTGCAATATCCTCTGCCATCTCTTTAGCTTCCTTTGAACTCGATCTCGCGAGTCCTGTAACGATCATCTCTTGTTGCGGTGCCCATCCATTCGGAGAATCCCTGTTCCAATGCAACCAAATCTTAATATACAAGATGCTTAATGAAGTAATTTCAAGATTTAAAATGAGACTTGAACCACATGTTTCATTTACCATTGTTGTCCTGAGTTTGTCAAAGAGGTTAGGATTCCAGCGGGAGCAATGAGCCCTGAGTTTTTAAGAGCTTTCACGACTTTCTTGACAAGAACTTCATCTACATGTTACAAGATAAAACGTTCATGTTCATTATTCAACATTTAAAGCGTACATATACAAGCAGAGATAGTTTACCTGAATTGAAGGAATTAATCCAGATTGGAGCAAAGTTAGACGCAAAGACATTGGTGTTCTGGTTCTCAGCTTTCCATGTCTCAGGCTCCTGAAGACACAAACACGCTTTCAAATGCTTCTCATCAAGAATATACTATAGGAAATCTCCGAAACTGTAATTATAGATTCTGTAACTTACATCACCATTCGATGAAAGCCAGTAATCTAGCCATTGTCCTGCTTTCTCATTCCAAAACACAGCTTTAAACGCTTTCTCTCTCGCTTTTGACGCTTTCAAAAAACGGCCTGAACCGTTTTTATCCCCGGAAATCTTCATCATGAATGCTATATCAAGTTCCATCTACGGTAAACAGATAACATTTATCGCTTATTAGAGCATATTTACATAAAATATGTGTAAGAACCGTAATCAAAAAATATTTATGATCAAGAAATGTAAAGACCTTGAGAAGAAAAACATTTAGATCAACAGGTACAACGGATGTTGTAGCCATCGTTGTGAAGTTAGGAGGATCCCTGCATTATTATTTTGAGAGTAAGTATAAGTGACAGTAGTAACATTAACTAAACTTGATTATTTTGTTAACTAATTGAACCTCATCCATCGCGTGCTGAAATCGCATCCTGATTCAGCAGCCGTGGCTATATCTCGATGGAACCGTTGTTTCTTTAACATAGTCGAGAACCCTGAAGCGGATTCTTCATCCTGTGGTACACATAGAAAGAGAGAGTCAACATTTTTCTCACAATAACATTATAAAACATGTTTGCAAATAGACAAGAGACATACGAAAACAGAGGATTCAGGCCTTGGCATGTTCCACATAGCATAATAACGGCTTAAAACGTGATCATGACCATTAGCGTCTCGAATAACCACTTTATGTTTTCCTACAAAGAAGATAACACAACTAAAGTTAAATCTAAGAATTGAACCAAGCAGTGTAACTAAACTATCTAACTAAATAACTCACCTGAGTTCCAAAACTTGTACTCTTTGAGAAGTACAGGGATTGCTTTCTTCACAAGTTCTTCATCTTTGGTTACATTATAAATCTCATAGACCATTGAGCTCAACAAAGGTGGTTGGCTTGTAACAATAAAAACATATGAAACATAAACATTTTATTTTCTCCGTTATAGACAAATCTCAAATAAAGAAGAAGAATATGTGGTACCTTCTGTTAGTGTAATAAGCTCTAGCACCGTTCAAAGCGTAACCATAAGTCTCCACAAGTGACATCAGATTCGTCACTAAACCTTTGGCGGTAGTGAACATTTGACTCGTCATAAGTCCTCTGCATATTACAAAAGCACATATTACAAAAGCACACGTGAGCTTGTGTTGCGTAGTCGACACGTAATTTCGAAAGGAGAGCAAATCAATGTAAAAAAACAAAAACAAATTATCAAATGACTTACTTGATGACCCAATAAGAATCCCAGTAATAAACTTCTCTGAATCTCGAACCGGGAATAATAACCGGTTCCGGCAACAGTAGAAGCGTGTGCCGGCCAGGAGACTCTCTTACTGAGTCAGAGACTCTGCAGCTCAGGTTTCTCCAGAGGCCGTGTACCTCACGCGCCCATTCTCTGACTTGTTCGTTCTCCACGTTGGAGAGGAAGCCGGAGGGATCTGAGAAGAAATCCACTGGTTCGTGGTGCAGCAGATCCTCTCCTGCGCCGTCGAAGTATTCCTTGACGAACTTTTCAAGCTTCTCCACTGGCACTGACTGGTCATGACGTGACTCGCTCGTGAGATCGTTGAAGGCTGATTCAATGGTGGAGAGATTGTAGGGACGTTTGAGAGATAGATCAATGTAGGATTTGGGATCAGGGATTTGTTTTTTAGGGTATGATCGAAGTGCCGTGTGCTGCACACGCTGGAGGAAAGTGACGAGTTGGGTTGTTGAAACCACAGGACCTGAGTCCGTGTCTGTGTCCGAGGCCACCATGGAAGTAGTCAAAGAGAAACAGAGGAAGAAGAAGAAGAAGAACAGAAGAGCGAAACGTTGCTGTTTAAGGTATATAAAGGAAGGAAGAGAGATTAAGAAATTGAATGGAGAAGAGGATAAGAAGAGTTTATGTGTATGCGTGGAGATTAGTAGATTAGGGTTGTTATGTTTGTGTGATTTCATTGCCAAATGTTTGAATTTGACTAGGGTTCTTTGAATAACGTATACCAAAAAGGAAAGAGTGTGAATATAATTGGCAAATGGTGACTATTAAAACCATTGGCTGAGTCAGATGGTTCATTCTGATTGGTTGTCTCAAGATGAGAACTACAACTAGATTTTTATTTTTTGGGATTTGGGGACCTCTCTTTCAATCTTATGAAAGATCCAGTTTCCAAAGAGGTCAATTTCAACACGAACCTATCAGAAAACAAAATTTTCTCAAACTAGAACGTCACTTTAATAAAGTAGCAAAGATCAAAACTCGTTGTTTCAAGAAGCTAAGTAATCACGGGGATAAAGTGACACGCTTCATAGTGTACTAAAATCTCTTTCACAAAGTGGTTTAGTGGGCTTAATGATTATAAATAGAGTTTATAGTTCATAGTTGAAACACATCGTAAGAGGTTTTCCTTACTTTTTTCTTAATTAATAGAGAAAAACATGCCTAACAAGTAACAATAGTACAACTTTTTTTTGTGTCTTAGTGAAAAATAAATGATGAAACTTGGAGAACGTGATTGCGTGCTGCTTTTGCTGAGGACTTCACATTGTATATTCTTTTTTTGTTAGTTTTTAGATGACCTTTTTGTTCCCTAAACCTTTAAAACAGATAATACTACGCACCCAACACATAAAGCCAAGATATATCAAAGAGACAGAGATATTATGTGACTGTTGAGTCAACAAATTGCTTCTTCAGAAATTGGAACGACGGTCTAAGCCATAAAGGAGATCCAATTCAAGAAACTCAAAGAACCCATTACTTTTCCTAGAAACCAAGTGAGAATATGGTCACATTATACATGACAAAGATGTTCAAACAAGATTTTTCTCTATATGGAAGAGATGGAATCACATTATGCATGACAAAGATGTTTAAACAAGATTGTATGTACCATGCTAAGGAAACAAATTGGGAAATTTGGATCAAACACGACATTTACTCAGTCTGAAGCATTGAATCCTTTTAACCAAACGAATGGCCACTGCCCACTGGTTTTGTCTGCAAGGACCACATGATCAAATAATCATATTTGGCGAGTTTGAAACTATGAAATCTAAAGTGACTAGAATCTCGACACACTGACAAAACAAAACACAAAACTGACGTGTTCCGGTTTTAATAGTTGAACACAAAGATCAGAAATGAAATGCAAAAATTAAAAGGTAAATCGAGAAAAATTGATCACAAAAGACAACTTCAAACAAACAAATGATCTCTACCAAATTTTCTTCTTGATATTTGTCAATTTAAATGCAAAAAGATAATTCATTCAAACACAAGTAAAGTCAGATACACGCAAAACAATCAAATTCTTGATACATACATTAAAATCAAGAAATTACAAATCCACACCAATCGATTAGCAAAAGAAGAAACACGAGGGATTAAAAATTATAATTTACCAGAGGTTAAAAACAGAGCTAAACGGTGTCGTTTGGATGAGGAGCGGCGGAGAGAGCCAGAGGACGGTGATGGGACTCGTCGTCGTCGTCGTCTTCATCATCATGAGAGGTGGAGAGATTGACGCAGGCGCAACGTTCGAGGGAGTTGAAGAAAGCGGAGATGACGGTGGCGCTGATCCAGCTCGCTGCGTGGTCGATCTTCTCCATTGAAGTCGTCGTGCTAACGTTGGAGGTGATGCTAATGCTTTTTTCCATGGCTTCCCGATCCGATTAGGGTTTCAGAAGACGACGACCAAGAAAAGAAGATCGTGGGATGGATCAATCTATTACAGGAATAACAAATTGGTGGATTTTTATATTTCTGACCATTTTTGAACCGTGGAAATGTATAAAAACTTATAAAGATGTTTGGTTTCTAAAATAGCGCATCTGGTGTAGTGGTATCATAGTACCCTCCCACGGTACTGACCAGGGTTCGATTCCCTGGATGCGCAGAGAAAATTTATTTTATGCAGAAGGGGATGTATTTGTTGCTAACAAGACTTTTTTTGCCAACAAAAAAAGAAAAGCATAAACAGAGTTGAAAACTTTGTTCCGAGTTAAAATTACAGACGTTGCATATTTGAAATTTCAGAAGATGATACACTTAAATACTTAAAAAAAGAATAATCTTTATTTATGAATAATTTTTGTCATCATATATACTAGTATACTAGATTTTAAACCGCGGGACGATTTATTTACTAAAAGTAGTAATTTTTTAAATTTAATGATTATGTATTAAATATAAAAATTTGCAAATAGTATCATTTAATAAGAAATTTCTAATTTTATAGTTTACAATTATTATTCAGTAGCGGTATACCACGAGATAACTTTTGTTTTATATACTTATTTTAATCAGCCTAATTCGATATGTCTAATAATCGTGGTAATAAAAAATAATAAAATTTGGGTTTAACCCGTATTGAAGCGACGAGTTAATGATATTTTAAATTTTTATTAATGTTAATTCAAATCCGTCATGCCATATAACCCATCCCGTAATATAATCAGTCCTTGCTATTTTTATTATGTTCAAATGTTCATAATATTATAATTTTTATTGATTTTAATCCGTTCGTATTGAAGAGGCGACTTAATGATATTTTAAATTTTTATTAATGTTATTTCAAAACCCATCCCGCCATCCCACAATATAATCCGTTCCATGTTACTTTTTATTTGTATATGTTCAAATGTTTATAATATTATAAACTTTCTATTGCTTTCAAATATATCAATTATAATATTTTTTGGTAAAATGAAACAGTTTTACTAAAATCCGAATTAACCCGTATGCAAAATTTTAAATTTGGATGCTTGTTAAATTAAGGTTCATGCTCATTCGGATTTGGATTCATTTTGATCTTATGTATAATAACTCTGAATCATTGTATAAACATTTTAGCCGATGTGGGACGTTGAACACACGCTTTTTCATTAATTTGGTAATATATGTTCGTTTTTAAAATTTAGAATCACAATATATGGAGAGAAAAATGAGATTTTTATTTTTATTTTATGTATTATATGATAATTCAACACAGTTAAAAAATAATTAAACAAAGATGAAAAGACAATCATAAATTTAAATCAGAACCAAATCTTTTAAATATATTTATTTTTAAATTTAGAAATGTAATTAGTGGACACGATCCAATTTTGGTAATATTTGTATTTGACTTTTAGGCAAATACCGGTGTAAGAGTTGGATTAAATAGAACCCGATCCAACCAAATTTTTATGAAGTAAATTTTTTATCGGGTCTGGTATCATTTGTGTCCGAAAACAATTTAACCACCCGCTAAAAATGACAAAATGTACTTCAAAATACTAGATAGATAAGTGTATCATCATTATAACATTTTATCACATTCTAAACACTTATTGTTACTTAGTTGTAATTCTTCTTATTCTTCGTCTTCGTCTTCTTCACTCCTCTTAGTTATAATACTATGCATGTGTATATCATCATACAAACGACTCTTGGAATAATCGGTAATTGCGTTGGTGTAGCTCTATTTTGACTCCCACGTAAGTAGGCAAACCCAATATTTATTTTTTTGCCAAATCCGTTAAAAATAATTTAACAAAATGTTGGCATTTGTGTTTGTGATATGTATGGAGTTGAGGTTTTGGTCGAGACGGCAATCGCCTTCACGGCCTTAAATTTTGTTCAATCATTTGGCCATGAGAATATTGATCGTGGGAACTTTTTGATGTCTCGTTACAATCACAACCTACCATATATCATCTCTTTATCTTTGTGGTGAGTTTGAATAGTCAGTCTTTGTTTTAGTTCATAATTTCATTAATTGATACGCTTGTTAAAAAAAATGCTAATGAAATTTTATTTTTATAAACACAGAAAGAAGTAAGAAAAACAAATTGTGTGGACAAGTTTTCGATATGGTTGATTCTAGCGACGTTGGGAAATGCGGCAATTTGGAGTGAATATGCGGATATGCCTTGTTCCCTTTCAATCCATTCATGGCGGTAATATATTGTTTTATTCTAATAGACTAATTGATATTCTTATGTATAATCTCTAATAATATTTTTTGTTTGCAGATATCGAATGGAGTTTGTACGTTTATTGGATTACTCCAAATTGTCATCTATGTGTAGGGGTGTCAAGTTGGTTAAACCAAACCAAACCAACCCATATCCATATTGATTTAGTGTTTAATGGTTAATGAATCAATCCAATTCATTTAGCAAATGGTTTGGATTAACCCATAACTCATTTAAATGAGTGGATTAATGGATTTAATGAGTTGATCCATAACATAGTTTTTTTATAATTTAAATCCTAATTAATTGATAATTAGTAACTATCATGTTACCACCACCATCATCATCATCACTCCATCATCACCGTCATCACTCCATCGTCATCAATTCAACACCACCATCATCATCACCATCACCGTCACCGTCGTCGTCGTCGCCGTCGCCGTCGTCGTCGTCATCGTCGTCGCCGCCGCCGTCGTCGTCGTCGTCATCGTCGTCGCCGCCGCCGTCGTCGTCGTCGTCGTCGAAATACTTGTAACTATGAATTGGTTCATAAATTGATCACAAAACGACGACCAAGGACTCCATGAGTGACGATGAGGGATCCGAGTGTCAGTGGCTTTGCCGGTGAACGGCGTTGTTGGCTTCGTCGTTTAACGTTGTCGATGGATTTGCCGGTGAAACCATAAGATTGAGAGGGATCGACAGTGAGAGATTTGACGCCGAGAAAGATCGATGGTTAAGCGATTTAAGAAAATTATGTTTATTTCGGTTTACTAAAATCGGTTTAGTGATTCAATTCGGTTATATTTGGTTTACATATTTGATTTCAATTATATAATTTTTATTGGTTTGGTTATGGATAACCCAGTAATCCATTTTAAACCAAACCATTTCAATCCAACTCATTAAACTCATTAAACCATTTAATCCATTAATCCATTAATATCCAAATTTTCAACTCATTAGATCCATGAGTTGGATTGGTTTGGATTGATCCATCAATTTTAAACCATTTTGACACCCCTATCTATGTGGTATATAAGAAGTCTAGCGCAAGGATCACAGTGGAGAATGCTTAAATACCAAAAAATAGTACTTTTAATTTAAGTTTGTGATGCTTTTCTTTTTTATTGTTATTTTCTATATTTTCTGTGTGTTTTGTTTAATATTGGCATTTCTTATGATGTGAAATAACATACGTAAGAATGTTTGTTTCCATAGTTGGTACGGAATATGCCTTATTTCGATCCATTTATGGCGGTAATGTTATATTCTAATAGACTAGTTGATAGTTTGATACCCTTAAAATATGTATAATCTCCAAATACGCTTTCTTTTTTATTTCTCTACATAATGAATGAATTTAATGATGCTCACATTGCTAAACAAGTTTTAGGTAATGTGAAATGCACCTAAAAGTTTTTCATATGCATATATTTTGTTTATGTTTTGCTTATGTTATGCATGCATCTATATACATCTATATATTCATAATTCATTAATCATGTAAAATATAGGTTAAAACCATCTATTTCTTAGAAACATTTTACTTTTTTTTCTTCCTTGTGATCTTCAAAACTGCCATATCTATATATATATAATTCTTGTTTAGTTTTTAGTTTCAATTACAAAGTTAACTTGTTCTGGGATTAAGGAAACCATTATATTAAATTATTTCTATGAGTTGGAACAAAGAACAAGCTAAATTTGTAATTTAGAATTTACCGGAAAACCATATGACAGTTTCTTTAATCAAAGAACCAGTTAAATTTGTAATTTGAAATAAAAAGGTACGAACATAGTTTGAATTGATTTTGTTTAAGTTTATTAAAAAAATATTGTTTTCAACAAAATAAATGTTAAGTAACTAGATAAAAGAAATTTAAAATTTATTTAAAATTGTATGTATGAGAGACATAAATTTTATTGAATACCTGAAAACATATTTTTTTACATGTAAATCATTTTCACACATAATCATGAGCAACTTCGTATGGTTACTTTCATGAGCAACTTCGTATGGTTTTATATCTTTTAGAGATATACTAATTAATACAACCATATCTAGGTACTCTCATGAGCAACTTGGTATGGTCCTTCTATGGTTTTCCAGCTATCCATGCTTACAACACTAAACTTCTCTATCTTAATGGTGTGGCCGTGTGGGAGTAACCATTCAAACCATGTATTTCTTTATGTTTATGATAATTACCAATTGTTTGAAACAACGTGTTGTGATCATTGTTATAAGAAAAAAAAAACTCAAACAGTCAAACACGAGTCATCCCAAATATGACACTCTGAAAAAGTAGCAAGATCGCATAGTTTAGTCATAAACAGATTTGTATTTTAAGAAGTAAAAACCATCCATTTCAACACATGCAAAATTTTGGCTTTTCGTTAACAAGCCTTTTCTTTGATTCTTTTGTTTTGGATATGAAAAAAAAAAAAAAAAAAAAAACAACGTATGGAGTTAGTTTACAACTAAAATTTACTTCTAACCTCACTCTCCCTCTTACACTCTTACAGTTAAAAGTTACAAACAAATGTTTTTTCTTACAACTTTGTCCAAACAATCCCTAAACAGTAATAAAATTCAAAAAAATTATTATTTACAAAATAGTTCGAATGAATTACCTCAGGTCACAATTCTCCGGTGCTCTCGCAGGAGCTCCCCAGATTTGTTGTTACATCATGAACTAAGAGCCTTACGATTTTCGTGCGGGAGGATCTAGGGATCTCCAGACATTCTTGAAGATCAGCATCA